AAACGAAAATATAAATTAGAAAAAGAGACCTTATTTCGTATTACAACCAATAAAAATAACAAATCGTCTCAGTCTTTACTTTTTGTACCATCTAATAACCGTTATAGTCTTTTGAAAATATTTCACGATGATCAAAGTCACATAGGTTGGGAAAAAACTCTTGCCTCAATCAGACTTTACTTTTGGTTTCCCCATATGACCAGGTATGTTAAAAAGTATGTTGAACACTGTTTGATATGTGCAGTACGAAAAAATCAGACGGGTCCTAAACAAGGCTTCCTTACTTCTATCCCAAAGCCCGATGAACCATTCCATACAGTTCATGTCGACTGTCTGGGCCCCTTACCAGGTAATCCAAAAAACTATAAATATATCCTTGTTATAATTGACGCCTTCTCCAAATTCTGTCTCCTATATCCTCAATCCACCGTTACTACAGAAGAAACAACACAAAATTTTGCTAAATTCCTCAGCATATTTGGCACGCCCTCCAAACTAATTCACGACGCTGGAACTAATTTCATAGCAAAAATATTTAAATCATTTACCGAATATTTTGGCATCGAATTACACGTGACAACCCCCGGTGTTCATCGCTCCAACGGACAAATAGAACGCTATATGCGAACTATTACCAATTTGTTAAGAGTTGAATCCAATAAAGTAACAGATTGGCCGAACAAAGTATGGAAGATCCAGTTAGTAATCAATACTACGAAACAAAAGACGACTGGTTGCTCACCTTTTAAGTTAGTATTTGGTCGAGAGGGTCAAACGCCTCAAATTCGTACAGTCTTAACCGATTTGCCAATCCCTGATGAAACTAAATCTCCAGTGGATTATTCCGCAGTTATAAAGAAACTACGGCAAAATTCAGAAAGGCAGTTGAATTATCTAAATAAGAAGCGAAGAGACAATCAGCTGTATAAAGTAGGTGATACTGTTTTGTTAAGCCGAGGTCAAAGACCTGAAAAGTTTTCTTGTGAATTTGTTGGTCCTTACATAATCAAGAGATCACTTACCAATAATCGGTATTTGATTAAGAAATTAGGTACTCCGAAAACTTTTAAATGTTCTAAGGATCAGTTGCGGCATTGGCCTACTGATTGGACGCCTGACGATTTCCAAAGATTATTACAACTAGACAATTGTAAGTACATAATTTGACTTGTTGTGCCGTGTTAGATTGATTTGAGTTGTGTATATAAAACTAATTTAAATAGTCTTTGGAGTATTTTGTGTTTTGATTTTGTTGTTTGAGAGTCCATCGCAAATACGTGCTTATTGCAGTATTTCCATCGCGCTGCTCAAGTCAACTCTGTGTTTTGATTTTGTTGTTTGAGAGCCCATCGCAAATACGTGCTTATTGCAGTATTTCCATCGCGCTGCTCAAGTCAACTCTGTGTTTTGATTTTGTTGTTTGAGAGCCCATCGCAAATACGTGCTTATTGCAGTATTTCCATCGCGCTGCTCAAGTCAACTCTGTGTTTTGATTTTGTTGTTTGAGAGCCCATCGCAAATACGTGCTTATTGCAGTATTTCCATCGCGCTGCTCAAGTCAACTCTGTGTTTTGATTTTGTTGTTTGAGAGCCCATCGCAAATACGTGCTTATTGCAGTATTTCCATCGCGCTGCTCAAGTCAACTCTGTGTTTTGATTTTGTTGTTTGAGAGCCCATCGCAAATACGTGCTTATTGCAGTATTTCCATCGTGCTACTCAAGTCAACTCTGTATTTGTAAATGCGTGCTTACTACAGAATTTCCATCGTGTCTGTCAGCTTGTGAGTTATTACGTAAATCTAGTCCCAATTGTTTGTGAAATTCATTTGATTGATGAATTCTCGTTTTTTGTTCATTACAGGGAACTCTGGGACGGCTGATGATAAATCTGCAGAATGAAAGGTTTACGAATTTTTACCGATGTACACATCTATATATTTTAACGTTGCTGTAAAGAAATAAAACTTTGTTTTTTTTCTGTGTGTTCATGTCTGTGACACTTCAAATGAGTCATGCATTCCGAGAGCGGAATGTTGTCAGTTTGGCCGTGTTAGATTACGTTCGAATATTTAAATATTGGCGCGATCTATCGATTTCGGATGCGTCGGGAAATCTTCGGGTCTATTCGCGCGCGTGAGTCGGGACGCCGCAGAGGGTGGCGACGGGCATCAGTTGATGCCCTGCTCTGGCATGCACCGCTCGACATTGACGCCAAGATCGGAAAAGTCGTCTTTAAAACAATCTCGATTTATTTAAATCTAACACTATAGTAAACCGCTCTGTATGCGGTCGAAGACATTCCAAGCGCAAAACCGCAGCGGAGATTATAATTAAGTGGAAATGGCCAAAGGTTTACTGCACTATGTTCGTTTCCCACCATGTGTCACGAATACAAATAAACAGAAGTTGGTGGGCATGTGGATATTACAGGCTGGTATTACAAAGAGAGCCTAAAAATAATTTTTCCGATAATAACAAACGATTGACAACTTTTAAAACTAGAATTTAAATCCGGTTCCATTTGAAAAAAACTCAGGAACTATTTAGAGTTGTTAATAATAATATAACTGTACTTTAATTAAAAGAAAGAAAGAAAGGCAAGAGCTTTTCTGAGGTAGCAAAATTCACTTTTTGATACGAATAGCGAAGATTTTTATATGCATCTGAATAGTTTTTGGCTATTGCGAAATTTATTTTTAGATATTTCAGAAAGATATATATTACAACAATAGATATTTTTTTACTGATCTATTAAAAAGTTTTTGTTTTCATATTTTCCATTTTATGTTAGCAAAATTTGGCTAGTTTATAAAGTAATACAAAAAATAGGTACATTGCAAATTTGCGAAGAAATTTTTACTATGCAACAACTTTGATAAATGCTATTTTAGTCACGAGTTTGATTTAGCAAGAGCAGAGTTCCACGGAGCGAGTGTGTAATAAACTAGTGAGTGAAAAAGTTTGCATTACATAATATATTTTTTCTACGACCATTAGTTTTTCGGTATATTTCGGTAAAACACACTCTAAGTGACATGTGACATGACCATCAGAACGGACAAATGTGAAATTACTGGCTGGCGGCTGTGAGTAACGAAGCTGACCTTTTAACGTGACATTGTCCGCACGCTTGATCCGTGAGAGTAGGGAAAATTTGTCTGAATCTGAGATCAAATTGAATAGGCAATACTGTTTGCAAAGCTCTTTACTCATCAATAGAAAAATTAGAGAGCAGAGAATATAGAGAATATAAAAGTGCTCATATTGATTCATTTATGCATCATGTTATAATTTATTATGTCAGCTTCATTCAATTTCATACAATTTATTATATAGATATAGAATGATTTACGTTGGTCCTCTATAAGGCGCCCCTTGAAACCAACTATTCGCCATTTTTCATAGCCTTTTTATTTTCTGAAGTAATGCTAATAATAACATACCCTCTCCCCTCGCAGTCACATCGCATATAGTCTGTCTCAATCTTCATCGTTTTGCCTTTGTCCGCACTTATGGAAGTTACCTGCCGACGGCAATAAAACTCGGGTCCGGTAGGTGTTAAAGGACAGAACATTAGGGACGGACTCTCATTGTTTTGGTAATAATATTTTTTTTGTTTATTTAGGTGGGTATAAATTATTAATTATTATTAAATTGCACTTACAAAAAGCAATGACATTAAATAGATTCATTTTTATTCTAAATGTCTAAATCTAATTCTCAGAGCCGTCATTGAGATTAATTATAATAGGATTTATGTTATTTTGTATAAAAATGTAAGAGTCCTCATTTTTGTGATGTACTGTACCGAATTTTTCCAGCTTTCAATTGGTATGTTATTAATTACATTTTTATCAAATTTGTAATACTGGAACTTAAAATAGGAGTAATATTTTTGCTCTGACCTTTGATTTTACTTGGTTCCAAAAATGTTCCATTGGGTTAAACATGTAATGATATGGAGGAAGACGTAAAACAGCATGCCCAGCCTGTTCAGCCAAATTATCGCATACATACTGTTTTTTAATTGCATACGAATTAAGGATTTCCAACAGCTGAATTTTTTGAAACTGAATTCAAAATAAATATTATTTTTAACAAATATTCCTGGATTTCAGTTTTTTAACTTGATGAGGCTGGTGCTTTGCGTAGGAGACGGCTGTTATTGTTATTGTGTATCGAACCATGTTTCATCAACGTAAATTATGAATCTGTTGTTTAATCTACATCTTTTAATTTCTTGAAATTAATTAAATCTCCAAGTGCGTGATCTGTGAGATTCCATTAATACTTGCCTGTTGACTATTTTGCGGAATTTAAATCCCATTTTACAAAAAACTCTGGGGAAGGTGGCTTATATTTTCAGTTTATTCAAGGTAGGAACAACTTTCATAAAGACAATATATTCTCCTTCTTACTAGGTCCTGAGTTTGACGATTACAATGTTTATTCCTTCAATTCTCCACTATTAATAATATCCCTTATCGACGATATTGGCGTTTTTGTAAGTAGACAGGTTTCTTTTAAAGCTTCTTGTCTAACAAAACCTCTCCTGATTAAAGTATCATGCACATTTTTCACAAACTGTTTTGCATCAACACGATGAAGATCGAGACAGACTATCTTAAGATTTTCATATTATCTGAAACTGGTCTGCTCGTTTCTGTCTATCTTACAAGAAATGACGAAACCGCCCCTCGCTTAAAATCAACATATTTTCCACTACCGTTTTTAAAACTCGTTAAACAATCGTAAAATGTTAGTCTGACATCGGACATCGAAATAAAGCCCTTCGCTTGATCTATCGACGAAATCTCCGAGATATATCGAAGTGATTAACCCGTTTTTCGGAAAAAAAATCACACTGTCGATTCCAGAAAACGCGTATTCGGGAATACACGACCGGACCGCATCGAATTGCCCGTATCGAACCAAACAGTCCGACATCGCAAAACGCAGTTGGTCAGCTGGACCGCCTCTTGGAAACATGGTGGGGAGGCCAGAAATCGCGCCGCTCGTTGTAGTCAGTAGCAATCCAAAGCGTGCGGAGGGATTCGTCAATCGTGTACGCATTTCGTGTTTTAAAAAACGCTTCTAGAGTGATGTTCCGGTTGATTCGGGGGCGCGAGTAACAGCTGGTTCTTGCGCGGAATTCTTCGAGTCGGGACACGGCTTATTTGTTACCGAATTGAGCCGTGAAAGCAGCTACCATGTATAAACTACTGGGGGGATTGGCCAATTACCTGAAGTACCAGGACATTGTGACGGATTGTGCCATATTCAGGATGCATAACCTCTTCACCACCGCCTTGCTGATGGCTTGCAGTTTGATTATCACCGCCAATCAGTTTGTCGGCAACCCCATCCAGTGTATAGTGGATGGATTGCCCACGCACGTAGTCAACACTTACTGCTGGATATCGTCCACTTTTACGATGCCCGACGCTTTCAGAAGACAGGTATTATGAATGTAAACAGGGCGTTTCGTAACCCTTGTTAAGGTTTTCGCGGGATACTAAATGGACTCTCGTCAAATGATAAACTGCTCGATCAAGACGATTTTTTTTAAGTAGAAATCGATTTTATAAATTGTTGTCGCGACCGCTGTAGACGGCGAAAACAAAAACATATGAGGTTATGTTCATCTGACCAATGTCAAAGTTTCCGCCGTCTAGACCCCTATACCTATTCCTCATTTTTCTAACCGATGAATCAATGGATAAGATTCCTATTAGATTCGCTTACACCATTAATAACAGAAGGTTACACACCAATTTAATATTTAAACGATTTTGCGTATGTGCGAGATATACCACGGACCTGCATATACATATTTAACATCAATATGAATGGGTTACCGTGGGAAAGTTAGATGCGCTTGCGCAGTATATGCCGCACACTATTCGATAATTTTTAATTATAGAAATACTGCGGTTATTTAATTGCGATCCGACTGAATGGTTTCTGCGTTTGTGTGCGAAGGTTGCAAACCTCCGAATTTGTAAAAAAAACATGCGTGACTGGGGTATGGAAGGCCGTAGCTTCACTATTCATAGTTATTTGTGCATGGATGCACCCAATTTTTTTTTCGTTAACCCAATTGCTTTTCGTTCACACGTTGAGATTTAGCGGACAAACTTCAGTTCAGTCTGTAGAGTGTGGTTTAGTTACAGCGACCTCGAACGAGATATAATTGAACTCGAACAATAAACTATTCAAAGGTCACGTGTGTCATGTTACGGCCGATGTACCGAAGTAAACTGCGCCGTAATTTGAGTATGCGTTGTTACTTGCTGTCTCGAGATAAAACCGTTGAACCCTCCAAACAGACACTAGATAATTAGGTCGCCCTTAGTTCTACGAAGGTCTTCTTAGAATAACGCAAAAACGTTTCGGAAGATATTTAAGTAAACGATGTCCACGACCCAGGATGTAGGTATGTATATATAGTTTGATCAATTTATCTTGGCCATCAGGTCATGAAACTATGAGTTCAACAAATAAATCGACTACTCCTTGTTCTTTCAGGATTATTTCATTTTGTGATGCAATCTGGAAGCTTCGTAAAAAAAACGAGACGGACAAATTATAGTGTGAAAATAAAATTCCGCCGACACTGGTCCTGGTCTGGCCGCAGAGTAATGTGAATAACGACGATGCGATGCTTCGCTTGTGTATAGTAAAATAAGTTGATCCAACTATATAAAGCAGTTGATTTAATAATTATTCTAACTACAAGTTAGGGAGAATATAGCTTTGACCGGATAACCATTAAACATCGTTCTGGTTAATAAATGTTCCGTTTTGATTTGTAAATGGTGTAAATGCATTTTTAACCCGAAGAAAATACCAAGGTACCATAGTAAGTGTTAGTGCGCGTGTGGCATTCCCGATCCAAGGCCTAATTCGTCGTCAGCATAATAGCACTTGCAGACGTCGTAGTTAATGGCATTAAATTGATGAGCTAGCAACTTAAAAATCATTTTAGATTAACTTATCACATTTGCCCCGGCGGATGGTCGATAATATAACATAATGCCGCAATAATTTAATAGTTTAATTTTAATTAATTACATAGAGTTTAAATTCCTCAAATATTAAACAAAAGAACTGCTTGATAAATCCTGGACTCAACTCAACAATTTTAAAACAGACTACAGTATATTATATACGCAAGTTAGTTTAGGGCAACGTCAATGACATTCCGAAAGAGACCAAATGAGTCATTTATTTTAGTAAGCAAATAGAGTATATTAAGTTTGTGGTTAGAAGTGTTTTTTAGATAAACATCGACATTTGGGAAAAAAATTCTTAGTCTGAACCTTGGACCCTACGAATTCCAAAATTAAAAAAAAAATGTCACAGCCAACATAAACAACGAGTTACGAATGGGAAAACACCTGTGTCCCCACCCTATATGACTATAAAATAGTTGTGACAATGTAAATTGAGCAGAGAATATATTCGTTTATTCGACAATGTGACCAATACTAAATCGTTGTCGTAGTTTTAAAAGTTTAGACCTTTTATTTTCATGCTATATGTGTTACCGGGAAAGTCCCAAATTATTAGATATTTCGGACATCGCCTACACTGTGGTATGGAAATCTTAGGTTTGCCAAGTGTGTCGCCGGCAAATCTCAAAATAAGCTGATATCCCGATTGTAGACGCTCGAAACTCAATTTCTCCAACTGTAAACAAAGAAGTTGCCTATGAAGGATTCAGGGTTCAAGCAGAGAAGGTGAAGCAGATATCGCAAAAAAAGTTTCCGGAAATTCAAGTAGGGGAATCAGTCACAGTGCCAGTTTAAGCCCGTAGTAAACTAGGTGTGATAATGGAAAAATCTTCAGATGGTTTTTACAAAAATTATTAGATATTTAGGACATTGCCTACACTGTGGTACGACAATCTTAGGATTGCCAAATGTGTAGCAGGCAATCTCCGAAATAACCTGGCATATTGTCATACTGTCAATATTCCTTGCTGTACAAGTATAAGGCACAGTTTGCAATAGAAGAAAAAGAAATCAATTTGTAATAATAATTTATTGTATCTTAAAGAACAATCACAAATACACCTTGTATTGTTTATGTATGTCACTTACTACCAAAAAATAGGTATTTGCCAAACAAAAAGTCTCTTTGGGTAGAATTAGGGCTCCTGTAGTATACACTTTTTACAGAGTACATATTATAGAGGGACGCTTATAAAATATATTTAGTGTTAATTATGTCGCTTATTAGTACAAGATGTCGAATGGTGACGCTTAGAATTGCGTAACAATTTTATTCTTGTACATTTACAATAGTTTCGAGCGTCTGCAATCGGGATATCAGTTTACATAAACCCAAGATTGTCGTACCACAGTGTAGACAATGTCCAAAATATCTAACAATTTCTCGACTTTGCCTAAAGTGGTCCGGCATTGCGGACGTTGCCTAGGCAAACCTAGGTATGACTGACAATAAACTAGTAGCGGGTTTTAATAAAATCAAAACTGAAATATTTGAAACATTTGTTGGACCTTAGTAACTCCTTAACTTTAACTTCAGGTTGGAACAGAGGTGGCCCATCCCGGCGTGGCAAACGACTTTAGCGACGAGAATGCTCAAAAATTCTACACTTACTACCAGTGGGTTTGCTTTGTCTTATTTTTCCAGGTAAACGGGTAACATTATCTGAACCGAAATAATGTGCCTAATTGAAATATTTAATTATTCTATTTCAGGCCGTCGCCTGTTACACGCCAAAGGTAATATGGGACTCTTTCGAAAACGGCCTGATGAGAATGCTGGTGATGGGGCTTCATGTCGCCATTTGTCCCGACAAGGAGCGAAACAAAAAGAAACAAATCATAATGGATTATTTGATGACACACGTTGGGGTTAGTATACTTGTGTATGATCTTGGCTTCTGAAAGACCCTTCCCCAAAAAGTTCCCTAACTTTATGTCATCGTTTGTTCTATTAGTACTAATATGACTTTATCATGCCTAAATAATCCTTCAAAGTCCGTTTGTGATGCTCTGTCCTACAATACCGAGTGGCCAGATGTTTTATTGTCGTTGGCAGATGATTGCCCTCAAAAGCCATATATTTTGCTTCCTAGATGACCCACAGTGCTTAAGCTGTTGAAAAAACATTTAGTATACATAGCATATTATAAAATACAAAAAATATTCTTTTTTTGTATTTCCCATTTTTATTTCCTGTTATTTAGCGGATTGTGCAAAAGAACCTGAAGGGTCCAATATTTCAGCCATGGCTTGCCATAAAGTTATGAAAGTTGTATACGTGAGTAGTTGTAGGCCCGGATCCAAAAATAGGTATTTTCGAGGCGCTGATCCCGAACCTATCCGGAATATAAACCGAATAAGTGATGGACTTTGCCCTCGCGCATGCTCGTCACCGAACTGATTCAGGATTTCCGATTTGGATACCGAAATTACAAAAACAGAGTATTAATACAACTCTCATATTCTTGGTTTCATACAAAAGATACAAAAAGCAGATTGGAACATTGAAGTGTAAAGATCGGAAGGTTCTGATATAAAAGTAATTATAATTTAATATATTTTGTAATTTCTAAAACAAATTTGTACATCGTAGCTTTATCTATTTTTCTTGTCTTGTATTTCAGTCAATTCACTAATGCGCATGCGTTAAACCGAATAAGTGATGGACTTTGCCCTCGCGCATGCTCGTCACCGAAATTATTCAGGATTCCCGATTTGGATACCGAAATTACAAAAACAGAGTATTAATACAACTCTCATATTCTTGGTTTCATATAAAAGATACAAAAAGCAGATTGGAACATTAAAGTGGAAAGATCTTAAGGTTCTGATATAAAAATAACTATAATTTAATATATTTTGTAATTTCTAAAACAAATTTTTACATCGTAGCCTTATCTATTTTTCTTGTCTTGTATTTTAGTGAATTTATTAATGCGCATGCGTTAGTTTTTCGAAAGCTTTTGCGATTCGCTCTGCGAAAATATTTAATGTCTGTAACGTTGCCTGTATTATAGTTTTTCGCGCATTCGATCTGTAGTCTTGAATATCAAATTGTAAATATGACAAATGACCATGGAAATTAATTTATACCTCGACAGTTCCCTTTTTTCGTTATAGTTTTTGTTTATTTCTTAAAGCAAGTTTTCCACCAAAAACGGATACTCAAGTTTATAATTTGTTTCCCTTTTTTGAAACTTAAAATTACAAACCCAAAGCTTTTGTTTCCATCAGCGGACTACGTTTTGTTCGAGTTTTGTTTTGTTTTTGACCATTTTCTTTATTCAATGTCGCGATGAAATAAAAACACATTTTTTTCAATAATCAACTGGTATGTTCAGAAAGAAGATTTTCTTATTCTTTAATATACATACCATACCTTTAATGTCACGTTTTTTGCGCGCGAGTAGGTATATATATATTCATAAATTTCTTCAACATTTCAGGATGAATTCAATATTTATAAAAAATACTTTATTATGCTATATTTATCTATCAGTGAGATAAAAAATTCGCATCCAAATTAACAAATCCAAATGCAAATAAAAAATAGAAAACAAAAAACGTATCCACTAAATAGACTATTTCCCAAATAAATTGATACATTTTAATTTTAACGAGTCCGAGTGGGACCCGAAACAGCAAATACCATATTTACTACGATTTGTTGACTATATGTATTTATTTATGGAATATAATTCGACGTTATTCACTTGAGCGGGATGTTTCCTATAATCGTACCTATTCTAATTAGCAACATTCTCGTTTATTGTAATTGAAGTCAGAACTTCGATGTTAACAGATGGACTTTGCTCCGCAATTAAGCAATTTTCGAATTTGCTAACACAATTAGGCGCAGATGTTAATTCAAAGTGGACAGTGACGTGCCACGCGTCTGGATTCATTTTTCCCACAGTAAATTAAAAACGCGTTTGTAGTGAAATGAAACGTTGTATGAACTTTTCAAAATTGTATACAGTGTGGTCTATTTTAAATGGGAAGTATCTTTGTCGATTGCGCATTTTTCACTCAAAAACTGTATTATTCTGACAAATTTTAATATTCTGGCATTTATTTTCAATGCGGTTTAACATTTTCTTTCGTTGTGGAAAATGACAAAAGTTTATTCGTTTTGTTAGCAAATTTGACTACACCACTGGATTCAGAATCGTTCTAAATAGAAACAACCAGAGTTGGATAAAAAACATTCATTATAATAACAAAGTTATTATTAATTTTGGAAGCCAATGCTTTAATTTACACAGTTTGCTAACAAATTACAAAATGAAAATTATTGAATTTTTTTTCCCATTTTATTTGAATAAAAATCAGATATTGCGCGATTTTATGCTTGTTTCATATTATCTTTCTTTTCTTATTTTCTTTTCTTAATACTACCAAAAATTTAGGAATTAATCTAGCAGCTAAGGTTCGCATTGCATTGTGATTTAGGTGCAATATTAAATTAATTACAACATATGTTACTTTTTTGCACCTAATGAAATTCTGTATATAATTTTTCTACAGGAATCTATACTGTTAAAACATTTTGGAGACTTTGTTAGTAACCTAAAAGTCGATAAAACGAAAAAATAAAGTGAATCAACACTTTGAGAATATATTTTGAATAGCACAGGAAAATTCTTGACCATTTTAATCTCTTAATCAGTGTAATAAGCTCCTGCTGCTTATTACCTATGGATTTAATTTTTTTTTCAGAGACACAACCTCTACGCCCTTAGATACTGGGCTTGTGAGTGTCTTTGCCTCATCAATATCATTGTACAACTCTACCTCATGAATAGATTCTTCGACGGCGAGTTTCTATCGTATGGTCTCCGAGTAATGAACTTTTCCGAGCAGGCTCAAGAGGACAGGGTCGACCCTATGGTTTACGTCTTTCCTAGGGTAACCAAATGCATCTTTCACAAATATGGTGCCTCAGGCAGCATACAGAAACACGATAGCCTGTGCATCCTGCCTCTAAACATTGTAAATGAGAAGACGTACATTTTCATTTGGTTCTGGTTCATGATACTGGCAACCATGTTGACAGTTTTGGTTGCTTATAGGGTGCTAATCATCGTGTACCCAAAAATAAGACCAAAAATTTTACACGCCAAGCACAGAAGCCTGCCTATTGAAGTTTGTCGAGTACTATGCAGGAAAATCGATATGGGTGATTGGTGGCTTTTACTAATGTTGGGCACGAATATGGACCCTATCGTCTATAGGGAGATTATTAGTGAATTAGCCAAAAATATTCAATCCAAAGGCGGCGGCAAACTGCAGTACTGATCGAACTTGCTATGTTGCCAAAATAAATATGTAGGATGTGATTTTGCGCACAAATCGCACTGCCAATTCAAAACAAAAAACTTTTCATGACTGTAACAATGTGATCTTTTTATACAAACCTATTGTCGAAGTGTCGAACACACTCATTTTATTAGGTCTATAGAGGACACTATTTTTAAAAAAAATATTAAATTATTGTAATCAATCTACTAAACAAATTATTGGTAATTTTTGGAAACCTTTTTATATAGGTCAATTCGAATGGATTCAATTTTAAGTCCCGATTATTATTATCGCTCAGGTTAACACCTATAGTATTTACGCTCTGGTAATGTTCTTCATATTGCTTCGTCATACCATCGTTTTCAGTAATTTTAGACCGGGGGACCAAATATTTAGTCCTTAACTTAGCAAAATACAGTAATTCAATGCAATAAAATTAATTAAAGATTAATCTTGACAAAATAATGATACCTATCTAGATATACGAAAAAAATTATAAAGCAATAACAATTTTGGCAAGCATTAATTTGTAACACAATTTTAATCTATGGCAACGCATACATTTTCGTGTATATAAAGGGAATTCATTAAATCTGCAATTAAATTAAATATGTTCTTGATTTTTATCTAGGATTATTTTGGTCCACGCGGAGTAAAGTGTTTTTTGTCTGGTGTTTTCCTTGATAGGTTAGTACAAATTACTGATGTTATTTTTTTATTTAGGAAAAAATATATGTTTTTTAAGTGATCCTGCTTTTGTTTATTTCCTTTATTACTTACGATTTATTATGTAGTTTTCAAATTTCTTAACAGGAAGAAAAATTTGTAGCGTGTACTACCATAAAGTGATTAAATTTTTCTTATGTCCTTATTCTCAAAATGAAAATTACAAAAATTATTGCGTGCCTAATAAAAGGTCAGAAAACTATTATCCTTTAAAATTTCATTCCATTCATAGAGTGATATAACAAAATCAATCTCATTACTGTAGATATCAAACCACAGAGAACTTTTAATTCTATTCTGTTACAGCCTGTATATTAATAGTATATTATGCAATGAGTGCTGTAAACGGCATTTGACTCGCGAGTTTATTTGACACGAGCGGAGCGAGTCTAATAAACGAGTGAGTTAAAAAGTTTACCGAACGTGTTGCATACTATACTTTTTCTACGACCGTTAGTTTTTGACAAACGTCAAAATTCAAGGCGTGGGAAATATCTCCAAAAACATCCGATTGCTCTCAAACCCGTGCGGTAAAATCCCGGAAATGTCCGAAGTGGCTCGGGTCCGTGGGAAACGAAACTGACGGTAAAGTGACGCTTTCCGTACGCTAGATCGGTATGTAATTAGATATTTTACAGACGGGAGTAGAAAAAGACCTTGTTAAAGTTAAGTTGTAACGAAAATGTACCGGTTAACCTTTCAGTCTGTGAAATAATTTCGGTAATTAAATATTGGCAGATCTAACACCTTACCAACTGAGTCATTCTCGATCGTCATTGCAATAAATTTGATATATTGTTGTATTTCGCAAAATTGGTAAAACATATCTAACAAACGTCAATTATTAATCTATTCTTTCAACAGAGAATTCGAAGGTTAGTTTTGATAAGAAATACTTCTTGTGGAATCTTGAATCTGGATGTAAACTAACCAAACTATCAATCGTCTTTATTGTATCGTCCTTGACGAATTATATTTCTCTGGTCTGTGCTCCAACTGACAACCGCAAACAAATAGCATTCCTAATCTTAAAAAGTGTCTGTGACTAGTTTAGAAATATTTTTGCAAGTATGTTAGAAAATAGCTGTCCGCAATGTAAAAATTTGTTGCATAAACCTTCTAATCGTTTGGTGCAAGATTCTTGTGGCCACAAAAAGTGCCGCTCTTGTCTCTTAGAAGACGAGGAAAGATGTAAACAATGTATTGTAACAAACGGTAGAAAAATAGACAAGTTACAATTCGAACATCAGACTGGTGTAATTCAATGTAACGGGAGACCTCATATAAAATTAGCAACGGAGACAGGCGGCGCGGAGGACAATGATAAAGCAAAGGAACAAAAGACTGATAACATTTGCAATGGTACAGATACTGGTAATGACTCGGGGAATGATAAGGATGTCTTTAAGCTTCCAAAGAAAGCAGACACAATTTCAAAAGATTCAGATATTCCAAAACATGTTAATCAAAGAACTGATCCTATCTCATTCTACTGCACCATCTGCTGTAAGAGCTTTCAGACCAGAGCCCATGTTAAATACCATAAGTATTGTTCAGGAGGTAGATTAGTGCTTATTTGCAATTTTCATTGTAAATAACTTTATTTTTCAGAAATTAAACCACACAAATGCAATACTTGTGGAAAGGAATTTGTTTTAAAAAATCAGCTTCACTTGCACTTATTTAAACATAAGGAGGGTCAACCATTAACTTGTATTGTATGCAATAAAACATTCTGTGAAAAAAGCAAACTTAATAGACATATGAGCCTACATTCACCAGAAAAGCGTCATTTATGTACAGAGTGTGGTAAGAGATTCAGAAGTAAAGAGTCACTTAAAATACACCTTACTATACACCGAGGTGACAAGGCCTACATTTGCAAATTATGTCCAGCTAAATTCAACAACTCTTCAAACTTGAAAAGACATTTGGTCACCCATTCAAGTAATAAATGTTTGTGTTTTTATTGAACATTGTTTTAGATATTTCTTTTTAGAGGAAAAAGTTCACATGTGCGATCAATGTGGCAAGAGATTCAAATTAAAGTGGGCTTTATTCGTACATAGGAGGTCACATTTGAGAATCCGCCCATTTGAGTGTAGCATTTGCCCTAAAACCTTTGTTAATAACAAAGATTTGCAAAGGCATAAGCTTATACACATCGGTAAGTGTCCTTATGTTTGGTTTTAATAAATGATAGTTTAATACTAGGAATAGAGCAGAATTAAAGTGTTAGAGATATATGTAATTTATAATAAAGTGGGGGTCATTTTCTTAATCTGGAACTTTTCCCAGAATGGCAAAAAAAACTTCAATTGCATAAGTAAAGTCGGAATTATACCCATTTTTGTTTAATATATTCCAAACAGCAGTGGCAACAAAGCTTTTACGAAATTATCAACTATTGGCTTGTCTCAAGCTATTATTCTAAAAATCGGACCCAATACATTAGTCTAAACTGGGATGATTCATCTACTTCAAATCTAAAACATGCAGTACTTAAAAGATCTGTCCTAGGGTCACGTTTCTTTATTATTTACATAAAGATTGCCCCTCATGCATTAGTTCCAATGTTCACTTTTCACTGATGATACGGCAATAATCTGCAGATACCTTCAATCTTTGTATATTGTAGCTTTAATGAAATCCATAGAAATAAGACGAACTACATTTTCCACCCAGAAATTCATAACTTTTCTACAAGAAATTCTCATCTTCTCCGGGTATTTAAGTTTAAATAAAACTAAAATTAACTCTTTAAATCTAGCATTTTACAATGCTCTTCCAGCACATATTCATGCTTTGATTGAAAATCTTTTCAGAGCGCAATCAAGCCACTTTTTATTAATAATTGCTTCTATAGCAATAATGAATATTATAATTATAAATTCTAATTGGCGCCATTAGGCTTTTTGTTTGTCTAAGCTATATTTTTGACTGACTTGCTACATATACATAATCTTGTATTATGTGGTTAAATAAACAAAATATATATTTTATTTAAGGTTATGTGAAACATTGATTTGTCAATTTGTGGAAAGTTATTTGACAAAGTTTTAAATAATGCTGAGAAAAAGTTTACAATAGGTAGGTAGATTCTAAATTGCAATAGATTTTTTTAACAAATTGGTACCTTTATAAATGAAATTAAGACTTTATGCACAAAATAGTGCCATATATTCATGATATTTTTGTGCAACTCTGTATAGTAAGAATATCACTGCCAATTTGCAACCTGTAATTAGTAGTAATCAGCGAATATATGACTTGTAGCATGACGTAATTACAAATGGGTATAATTTCCACTATGGACTATTTGACAGTGAGAAAAATAATTATACATTCATTAATATCTTCATAGATTATTAGTTTTACAAGTAATTTAGTATTAGTATTGTCGTAACAAAGAAGTAAACTAAATTATATTAATTAGGTCTATTCTTGTAGAATCAAAAGGTTTCATATGCAGCATTTGCGATATGTCATTCAGACGTAGAGATAACCTACGCAGGCACATTAAAAATACCCACCCAGGCAAAAAAGGTGAAATAATTAAAAAAGTGCTCAATCCACCAGATCCTCCTGTAAAAAAATCAGTAGTGGTAGATAACCCGAACGCTATCCACGTCATTACTGCTTCGCCTGCCTGTTTGAAAAGTAAGGCTGCGCCTGTGGCACTCTCTCCTGAACCCTCTGTTAAATCTGTTGATTCCAGGAGGGTCGGGTCGGTCATCAACGGACCCATCAAGCTTGCATTTAAAACACCGGCTTTTAAGAGCCATTACAATATTACAAGGTGTGTAAATGGTTAATGACATCTTCTGACTTTTCAAAGGATACATTAATACTTTCAAATTAAAAAATAATGTGGGCGAATGGTGTCTTTAGTTATCTTAATAATGTTTGAATATATTTTTTTTATTACAGAGACTGCGACTATGTACCATCTCCGCAAATACCAAAGCCAATCGACCTGGCGGAGTCGGTAGACATTTGTCAGAAAATTTTATCTCCAAGCACGGATTTTTGCGCGCAGGGTCCAAGGAAAATCGACGAAAAGACTTCCACAGAAATTTGTCAGAAGATTCTGTCGATATCCAGTAGTAAAATTGAGACTGATGTGGGACGGGAACAAAGTTTGACCGACTATCCTAGTAATTTGCATTACGCGACTTCATTTCAAAACCAGAAGCACGCGATGATTAAAAATATTAAATTTAAAGTGCCCGCTCGCTATACCAACCTTTTCAAACAAACTACCGCTCCCGAAGATGAGACTGCTCAGATTTCTCTGCCCAGCTCAACTAAACAGGTTGAGACCAGCGTTATTGTGAACAAGGGATCGAGTAGTGACCTACACTGGCGCAGGAGAACCTCGCAAAATTTAGTTGTCAAATATTAAGACTGTTTTTACGGATTAGTTAGTGCTTTTATAATTTTATTTTAATAAATATTTTGTTTGATGTTTCAATATCTTTTCGGGATTACGTTTTTTAAATTGGCCCCGCTTTTTATTATCATCTATAAAATGCATCCGTTTCCTCATTTATTTTAACAATGTCTCAACACCGATCTGTAGAGGGCGGTAAAACGACAGAGTGTAAAAAATCTGCTAGTCATCACGAAAAGGAATATAAATGCCATAGAGTTACATGTTCCTTTGTGTAAAAGTAATATTAAAAAATATAATTGTCTATCAAAACAATTCACATTTAAAAAGGTCTGGTAATGCTTCCTATAAGCTGACTTCGAATATTCTTGTAAAAAATATAACTGTCTCTGATAACAATCCACTTTTAAGAAGGTCTGGTAATGTTTCCATAAGCTGACTTGTAATATACTTCTAAAAAATGTGTCTGTGTCTATGAAATCAATCCATATTTAAAGATGACTGGTAATGCTTCCTATAAGCTGAATTCTAATATACTGCTAAAAAATGATATTAAAAAATATAACTCTATGAAAACAATCCATATTTAAAAAGGTCGGGTAATGCTTCCTATAAGCTGACTTGTAATATACTGCTAAAAAATAATATTAAAAAATATGAACACTCTTTATATGAAAACAATCCACATTTAAAAAGATCTGGTAAAGCTTCCTACAGTTCATATAACATAATCCTAATAAAATAATTTTGATAACCAAAATAGGTACAAAATATGTTCTTCCCATTCTTTTTCTTTAAAAAAATACAATTTTTAAAATGTCTAGCTATTCTACATAAAATAACATAATGTAATTAAAACATATTTTTTCCTTTTATTTTATATTCTGAACGCTAGTCAACCAGATTCATTGCTTCTTTAGTTTCACTGCCTTTCAATGTAAGGTATTGGTTGTTTCCTTGATGCTGGTCTAACTTATTAATGGTAAAAACAGGGGTTTGAATGACTAATATTCTAAAACTAGATATTTGTTTTTATTATCAACTCATTCTCACTGGAAAGTATTTTATATGCAGTAAACAATGCGTGTATCTTTTGTACATTATGTTTTAATATATTAAAGGAAATGTGTTAATAACAACTTCAAAATCCAAGTAAAAAATATATTACTACTATTTTAAAAATGATGAAACGAATTTTGCTGTATCGTTTCTAGCAATATATAAAAATATCAAATATCGTTATCTCTGAATATTTTAACAACTAAATCATGGGCACTCTTGTAGCCCAAGATATCCAGATTTAACTCTGTCATTTTCGATATGTATTGCTTGTGCTTTTTACCACCATGTTTGTAATGCAAAGATGTAATAACTTTGTCCAGAATATAGCTGAGCCACAGAATATTACTATAAGGCTCGAAATGGCGCCACTCGTTTCTGCAAATCAAACATGAAAATTAGTGAAAGAAAATTTTGGACAATATGTAGTATCTTTACCCATTTTTTTCTTGCATCAACCGGTATATTTCGAACTGGTAATCACCAGTAGTATTGAAGTATCCTAAATCCCGGCCGATGTCATTGAATATAATAGCGCCACTGCACTCAACACGGGACATATTGAAATCAATGATGGATGCTTGGACTCCATAAGATTTTATCATGATGTCTTGCCCATCTAGTTTGTACTTTATTGTCTTATCTTTCGGAACTCTGGACACAAGTACATTGCCCCAATGCAGATCACGGTGCTCAAACTGAAGTTCTTCTTCAGCAACAGCCAAAGTCAAAGCAACCTAAAAAGTAGATATGAAAGCTTAAATTTTAAGATCATAAAAGTTTCAGTACCTGTGTGATCACAGAAAAAGCTTGGGAGGCATCATCAAAAAGAAATGACTCCAAATCAGTGCCTCCATAACTAGATTCAAATACAATATAAAGCTGATCATCCTGGAACATTATAGGGGAATCATTTTCTGAACCCCTAGTCTCATCAAAAAGTTCCCATAACTCCAGAAGTTCCTCAGGGTAGCGACCTTGAACACACCTCACCTTTTGAAGTTGTACAAATCCATCAGTTTGATTCTCCCTAGTGAATCTCAAATTGCTCAATTTCCTTTAAAATGTTGCAGTTACTATAAATCAATAGCTTTTCAAAATTTAACTTACTTGGCAATGATAATTTCTGAGAGCAAATCTTCAAATTTTCTTTGGCAATCTCCATTAACCATTTGGATACCCTCTATGGGTATCACTTTCATGACTGTAGTACCTCCATCTTTGTTTTTGTATAAAAATACCTCGCCATAGATACCTTCGCCAATTTTGTGACAATTTTGAAGTAAACTTTTGAAAAAAAATTAAGGTCATTAGACTCCTGTATCATCATCATACATTATCATACAGTAGTATAGGGAGGGAAGAAGGTGCTCAGTTAAAGGGCAAACACGATACAATGCCAAAACCGTGCTTTATAGGATCCATTTAACAATTTTTTGGCTGAAGAATGTTATATGGGTTAGTGGAGCAAAACAAAATCTGACCCAGCTTAAGAACTAATATATCACAGAATTTATGTGTTACCTTCTTTAAAATAAATAATTAAACAGAGACAAATGCTTACTGCTTACCTAGCGAACTATGAAAATATTAATTTGTTTATTTTTAATAAAAAATCATAAACTTCATGAGGCTAGGAAATGATTCAATTTGCTTAAAGGTTATCGAAATCGCGTGACAAATGGAATATCAAATCCAGACAAATCTCTATAACCCCTTACCAAAACGACATCACAAACAAATATTATAAATGACGTTTAGCCGTTTACCTCTTGGGGTAACATTCTTCGAAAGGTAGCGGTTTCGACTGATGACATTTTTGCAGAACAATCTCTCGGGGCCCTACATACAATGGTGATTCGTCATAGATGAATTCGTCGCGAGTTTCGGTCGCGCTTATTAACGGTAAATTTCTATAGCTTTCTTCCAATTTCGCTCCGTAGAATCGAGAAGACTCCTCATAACCGGATGCGTAATCATACGTGATTTTGCACATAAAATCGTCCTTGAAACGGGGAGAGTTTTCCTCACACAGCAGCATGCAATTACTTGAAACTTTTTTTATAATTTTACTTAACACCCTGCCGACGAAACTAAATACAATTTCACTAAAAATTTTCGCAAGGAATACTTCACTATCTGAAAATTAAATCTTGTACGCTACTACGCAATACGCAGATCACTCGCAGCTACAAGATGGAGGACGCGCGCGACTGTCTGCGATATTGCCAACTTCACAAAACTAAAATTAACTATCTCAAAAAATTACGATTCAACAAAAAAAATATATTTCATTTTCCTACACAAAATTTTAAATCGAAATACACGTTAATATCGTAGAGCAAATTATTTACCAATTATCAGTAATAAAAATTATGACGTCCTGTGAGTGTGGTGACTAACTTATCATTTTAACAATAACTGGGAAAATCAACTTCACAAAATCATTCAATTTTCGCGAAATCAATAAGCTATTTTTAATCTGGAAATGTTACAACATAATTAAACAAATTGCTTCTACAAATTCGACATTTATTAATATCAACCAACAGAGTAAATATTTTGGAAAATTAAGAAATTAATGAGGCTTTGGTACATGACCATCCACATAAAAATTCCTGGTTGCTTTGGGTAACTCAACTTCTAGTCCATCCAATTCCTTCGTCAAAATGATTTGACACCCAAGCCTGGAATTTTCTTTTAAGAATGGGGCCATATCCAAGAGATCTTCTTCCATTTCAACAGGTTCAGGTAGTTTGTCTTGATAGTTATTCTTAACGTAAACATGGCAAGTTGTGCAAGCAAGTGATGCTTCACAGGCTCCTTCCATGGGAATTTCATACCGATGGGCCAAGTATAGGAGGTTGTCGCCAACTTTACCCCTTACCAATACACGATGGCCATCTTTCTTTATGAAAGTTACATGAACCCTAAAAGCAACTTTTCATTCTTTGCTTAACGCGTTGTCAGATATAAATACACTTCATCTTCAGATTTGGGGTCCTGCCATTCATATTCGCCATGTCTTTGTGCTATTGAAGAGAAACAAATCCATTACTTCTACAATGATGCAATTAACCACCAAAAAATTTTTGCCAATTAAAACTCTTACTTACCCAAACTATTATGAAACACTCTTATTTTTGTATACGAAGGAAATTGTTGGTGCAAGTATTTAAAGAATTTGAATAAGTTATTCGCCATGGATTTCAAATGTTTGATTTGAGAATAACAAATATTAAATTAATTACACTCTAGAAAATAATTTAATTTCATTGTAGATCCACAACACACATCATTACTTGCAAATCTGTTTTAGGCCTGTCGTCTTCCCCACAGAGCCTTCCTAAATGTCTCCAAAGATATTGTTTGAGGTTATGTTCATGTGTTTGTATCTGTATTAACCTAAATCATTAATTAAACAAACCAAATCAGCTTCGTGGACTTTATTAACTTGGTACCTTCTTTCAAATAGATACAAGTCTGGAAAGAAAACAGTGTTCTTGTACGACTTCTAATTTCAAAACATATCCGAACTTGCGCTTTAAAATATGATAGAATGGAATCAAAAAACAACAACTTTGCAGAAGAAACTAATAGCGGAGTTGCATTTAGAAAACCAAGTTTTATCGGCTCGAAAAAATGTCTTAAGGTAAAAACTAAGGAGGCAAGTGTAAAGAATAAGCCTGCTGCTCTTCCTTCGTCATCGAATTGTAAAGCAAACATAGAACCATTAGGTAATTGTTAATAAAGTTTATTTATTCCAAAGTTTTATTTTTGTATTTTTTAGATAATTCAGCACCACAGAGGGATAATACATCACAACCTTTACCTTATAAAGAGCCTGTATGGTCAGGGTTACCTGTTTCAAATGGCAAGCCATACATATTTGAGGTATTGAAAAATGGAGCAATAATAGACACTGTCAATCTTATGGACAAATCTTTCTGGGTATTTGGACGATTGCCGAATTGTGATATCTGTATGCAGCATCCAACAATTTCAAGGTAATGCAGTGCTAATAGAAATTGCATATAGCCATCATATGAGATTACTGATATCTCTTGTAGATACCATGCCATTTTGCAGTACAGGAGTGTTAGTACTGAAAAAGATAATTCTGGATTTTACATTTATGACCTTGAAAGTACTCATGGTACCTTCTTAAATACTAAAGCTAATAAACTGAAGGCAAGGATTTACACTAGGGTGCAGGTAAGTTTTACTAAAATCAATAGTTACTTTTACTCTTTATTGAAATTTATTAAAACGTAGGTCAATCGATAATTTTTTTTTGTGAACAATAGGAACCATCCTCTATGGACTTCAGAGCTTGTGATACATTTTTCAACTCCTGCTGGTAGGACTGGGTAACTCTAATATGATTTTTTTTTTGTTCATTTAAATTCTTCTTAATATTCTGAATTTTATCCTGCATTTGTTCCATTTGTTGCATCATATTTGGTTTAAACTGTCTGGTATTTGCAGATGGATTGCAGCCATTTCCCAGTACTTTTTCCATTTCTAAGAATTTGTTTTCGTATGAAAATTTTACATTTTCAATGTCGCGTTTCATTCTGCGTAAAAATTCTGCGCTTATATTAAGTCTATATTTCAGTTCTGCAAGTTGCTCTGGAATATTACCATTTTTTTTTTCAGCAAGTTCTTTAATATGTTGGGTATTCTTGAAGACGTTTTTTATATTTTGAACGACATCAGCATGTTCATCTAAGTTCTTTGAAATTTTGTTGGGTATTTTTATAATATCTTCTTTGAAAGTAGACTTGCAGCTGGCCTTAACAAATGTGTTGTTTTCCTCTTTATACTGTTTAGTGGTTTTCATTTTGAAATTTCCAAAATGTTTATAAGGTTTCTTGGCAACCAATATCTTCTCATGTTAATATTAACTTTTGGCCCACTGTGATGTTTTTATTTCTTTGACTTAAGGTAGTGTATTAAAATAAACTTTAATTAATAAATAATAAATAAGAATTTAAAGTGAATTGTATAAAACCAAGGTTTAATCCCTCCTTAATAACTACCTATCTGTGTTTAACTATTTGTGTTTACCTTTTTTAGGTCGGGCATATATTAAGATTAGGTTGTAGCCAAAGGTCCTATATTTTAACAGGTCCAGATGATGATCAGGAGGAGGAGTCCAAATTATCAGTCACAGAATTAAAACAGTTGAAGGAAGAAAAAATCAAACAACAAAAAGAGGAATATGAAAATGCTAAAAGATTAGAGGAGGACAGAAGAAAAAAAGAAGATGAGAGGGGAGTGGATTGGGGATTGGGTATGTTGGCGATATGAATCTACTAATGTTGAGTCGGTTTGTGTATTTTAGGTGAGGATGCTGATGAAAGTGTAGATGTTACGGAAAATCCTTATGCTCAAACTAATAATGAAGAACTCTACTTGGATGATCCCAAAAAAGCTCTCAGAGGATTTTTTGAGCGTGAGGGTTTTGACTTGGAGTATGAATGTACTGAACAAGGTATGGGTCAATTTCTTTGTAAGGTGGAATTACCTTTGGATGATGATACTGGAAGACCTATCATGGTGGAGGTGCTACATCGGGGAAAGAAGAAAGAAGCAGTAATTCAGTGTGCTCTAGAAGCATGTCGGACTTTGGATAGATATGGAGTATTGAGAAAGGCTAGTCACGGTAAATTATTTACATGCATTCACACATGATACTCACATCCTACAATTTAGAGTCTCGGAAAAGGAAATCGAAAAATTGGGAAGAAAATGACTACTATGATAGTGATGATGATACTTTTCTGGACAGGACTGGCACTGTTGAGAAAAAGAGGGAGATGAGGATGATGGCTAAAGTGCCTCAAAAGGCAGAAACCTATGAAAGTTTAGTAAGTGTTTTGAATTGCTTTATGAATTTGCCAAGTTTGTCTTGTGTTTTGCAGCTTCAGAAGGAGAATAATATTAGAACTGCAATAGCTGAAAAAGAAGGATTTTTAACTGTAGCCCAAGAAAAGGAAGATAGTACCATTAATCAGGAAAATGAAGAAGATTCTTTGGATACCTACATGAAGCGATTATCAGAACCCAAACTTGACAAACAAAAAATATCTAAAATTAAACTAGATCTAGCTAGTTTAAGAAGGGAGCACACTAATGTTATAAGGTAGCGCTAAGTACCTTTCATTGTTAGGATGAATTTATTGTTTAATTGCAGATTATTAAATCTAGCAAAACCAGCAGCAATTCCATCATTCCTACAGTCTGGCTCTGACAGTCGATCAAAATATACTTTTCCAGTAGTGGGCAAACAACCAAAAAAGCAGTTAAGGTTGCCCAAAGAGCTAGAAACTTCAAAGTCATTGGACCAGGTTGACCCAAATCAAGATGAAGAACGGGAGGAGGAGTCTGAACCTGTGGCCACTTTGAACCAAAGCATTTGTTCTAAAGAAGGTAACTGTGAGAAAGACCATGGTCTTCAGGATTTAGGTGACCAGTCAGATGATGTTAAAGAGATAGCGGAACCAGTACCGCAGATTCAGGAAGAATTTGGCAGTAAGAATGAAAAGCTTCCTGATGCATTTCTACATTATTTGTCCCATTTATTCCGGTTGGTACAGTCTGATGGAGATATTTTACTATTGAAATCTACTATTAATACCAACTCAGAAACTGAGGAAGATGGAGACCTCTCTTATTTGATGAGAACAAATCCTGTGATTATGTTTTATGCACATTTCAAACATATTCTTAATAATTCTGCTTCATTACTTTCAAGTAAGCTTTTCTTTTAGTCAATTATTTAGATTTCACTAAAATAATTTACTGGTTTCAGAGGAACATAAAGCAAGACTTGACATCAATGTTGACATGTTGAAGTATTTGGTATCGAGTGAGTTATCCACAGAAATTGATTGGAAAACATTGCTGTCAAAAAAGCGTAAAATTTGTAAGCTTATTTCCCGAATAAAAGATGATGCTGATGACTCTAAGTTGCAATTTCAAATTATGTCTGAACTTGAAAAAGCAATTGAAGAGGTCGAAGATTATCGCGAAAAGAACAGACACGTTCTCGAGGAACTCAGGCGAATCCGAATTGATTTTGTCGATATTTTGGGCTCCGAGTCTAGAAAGAGAAGCCCGATAGGGGAAGCGTCCAGTAGTAACTTAAACAAAAAACAAAAGAAAGCTGAGTTAGAGAAGCAAAGGGGTTACAAAGAAGATTCCACCAGGGAAAACTACTCAATGTGGGTGCCTCCGAATAATCAGTCTGGCGACGGAAGGACCAGCTTAAATGAAAAGTATGGTTATTAAAGCATTAAAGTGATTGGTAATTTCACGTTTATGCCTTTTTATTTATAAGCAGTTCAATGTAATTAAGTGGTTTTTGTCTTTTTATATTATTTGTTCCTGCTCTTCCAAGAAATTGTAGAATGAACTAATTTTCCATTAATACATAGTATTAATGAAGTTCTGTGAATATTTGTAATTAGAGAATAGTTAATATACCTAAAGTGTTTTATATAAATCTAAAAAAATGTATTAATTTGGATGGCAACATTGTTATGACAATATAATAGATGGAATCATTGCATAATAGTTTGTAAAACAGCGTTATTATTGACAATGAGTTTATTTATTTATTTTTTTCTTAATGTTTGGTCTCTTCACAAAAATCCGATTTTTCGATATAGGAATGATTAGAGTATATTCCGGCCAAATTTCAACCTGCTGCGATGATAAATAAACCAGTTATAAAAATTTAAAAGTTTATTATCTATGTTTTAGCCGGTTTTTCTGGGTCAAAATAAGAGTTCGGGGGAATTTCTCGAAAGTGGCTAAAACTTTGTATAAGGGGGTTTTCGAGGGTGACGAATCACTATCATTTGAGTTTATATATATGCCAGAAATACCTTGTGAAGGAAGAATTAAGACGGGCAAAAATTACACTTTAAAAATAATTTTTTCTTATTAAAAACAAGGTGTCTTTTTAATTTTTTTAATCCTTTTTCTCTATGAAAAATATTTTGTAAAGACTTTTTAGATAAATTAAAATATTAATAAAAACTATATATATGAAGTGATAATTTATCCCAAAAGTATTTTTATAACATTAACTAATAAGTTAAAGAAAAAATAATTTAGAAACTGCTGGTTAGAAAAAAGGTTTTAGTATAAACCTTTAACCAGTGTCATTAAAGGTTGGACCGATAGACAAGGCTTTGAGGATTTATTGGACTTGCCTAATCTTCATTGGTTTACGCGAAATGGTCCTCTAAAACAACGAAGGGATGCGAGCAAAATCTTCGACCAGCATATCTAAAAATATACTTTTAAAAATTGACACTAATATGAATTTGGCCACAGCATTACACTGTGGTAATGTGTAAAGCAAACTTCACATAATTTACAGTGAACATATATACACAAACATATTTTTTTCTCATTAGGTATAGAGGGTGCGTCATTTTTTTGTAGTCGGCCTTTATATAACGGCTTAAAGAAAAATTTTATATAAACATGTATTCGTGGGAGCTTGGTTTCCGGAGGTATCAAGGTGTTGTTGCTTTTTAAAAATCTTTTAAAATAATTATTTCAAATTTGGTGCCCCGATTATACTTCAATAACTACTCATTTTAGGTTATTAAGCATTTTTGAATTGGTTTATTTTATCGTCTCGCACTTTTGCGTGCCGCTTTCTAGTTAATAGAGTCTTTGTTTAATTTGTTTTTTTTTCATGTTTTTCGTAACCTGTCACTACCTATATCGAAACAAATGTGCACAATTATTTTTGTTACTTGCTGTATTTTTTGTATAAAATTTGGCATACCCGAAAATGTGTGTCTAATTAACTATACACTTTGTCCAATATAAAGATAGAATAGCATGGGGAGGCCGGGGTCGGTTAAATTGGGAATGTTTTAAAGAATCCCAGCGTGCAAAGTTGGATTTTATATTTTTGTCTGTAAAGCCATAAAGGAAAACAGATTTTTTTGTCTGAAAATAATATACTGTTAGCTGTAATCGAAGACCCTACAATAACGATTAGGAACATAGAACACGTAAGTGGAAAGAATCTACAGCGTAAGAACAAATATCGTGCATACAAATTTTATATCTGTCAAGGATTGGCGACAACATAAAGCCTTTTGTGAGCGGTACAGCAGAAAATGTCAAGACGGCGAAAATTTTGCTAATGAAATGTTATTTTCGGATGAAATTATCTTAACGAACAACGGAATCTTCAACAGACGAAATGCACATTATTGGTCACTACAAAATCCGCCTTTGTAAGTACTGTATAGTTGACAACGCCGTTTGGGTTTCAACATGTGGGCGGGACTTTTGGGAACAAGGATAATTGGGCCATTTTTTATCACTAACTACATGATTTGGAGGAATAGTTTGCTACTGAATTACCGTTATTGGAGGTCAATAATATTGATTTGAAGAATATGAGGCCCCCCTCACAAACTATGTGTACCAATTATTGTTTATTGATTCCAATGTAATTAGTAAATAAATTCAAGTTATTTCCATGCAATTAGTGAGTTAAACAAATGTTTGAATTTTTTTTCATTGACTTTTCATTTAATACTAACTTAGTGTATGCTGTCAATGGACTGTCAAAACTATTGTTTGCTCCATGTCTTTTGTTACTCTAAGAATGATGATAAATTCGTAGCGTGATACATCACTTAAAAGTATTTTTTATGCCTTATATATTAATGAAAATATTCAATATGTCGCAAATCAGAAAGTTTAAGAAACTATGGTGTATCTTGACTACAAATGAAAAAAATCATGTTTTCCTTTATTCTTTCTAAAAAAGTGTTCTAATAAGGTATTAATCCCAAGATCTTGTTTGGTGTATTTTGGGTTTTCCAGACAAAAATAGAGAATCCAACATTTTATAATTTCTCGAATTTCTCAGAAACGGTCCCATACTGAAATTCTTTAAAACTTTTTCAATTTCAGCGGCCCTATATCCCTTATATTTTCCGATATCCCATGCGATCCCATTCTTACATACTGTATAGATTTCTTCAAAACCCCAGTGTTTGGAAATGTTATGGGAAAATCTGGAGAGAGTCATTTTTTTTTTTTGCGTAGAACTTTAGAGTGGTATATAATTATAAACAAGATGTTGCTAGGTATACGTTGATGGACAAGTAGAGTTCTCCTATCGATATACCGTTTTTACAACCCTTTATGGTTTTGATTTCTGAATGAGTTTTAGACCCGCCTGTTGTAAAGCGGAAGGGATCATTCTTATTGGTAGGTGTACCACAGGCCATGGATGTTGGTCGACAAGTTAGCCGTGCGGATTGTTGTATTTTAAAAGTAGGGAAATCGTCTTTGATTAAACTGTTATATTAATTCATATTAGTGTGCTTTTTATAAATCTTCCGAAAACAGTCCCTACTTGAGGCAGCTCGATTTCAAGATGAGTTTGCTCATTAGATAGGTTGATCTCCTATATTAAAAACACATTAGAAAGCTTAAACTGATTTCCGATATAATGACATAAAATATTTTCCTAGCAAAGCAATATAAAATCTGTCAGTTTTATGAAGCAGTATTTTTTTAGCCGTCGAAACCTTTGAAGTTATTTCTATTCTGTCTTCTGTTTGTAATTAGTAATTACCAACTTACTGATATTCAATTGTTTTTCAAGACTCAGTGTGTCATTTTTTTGAAGTGCCATATACTTTTCATATACAATCATAAAATTCAATTTTGTTAGTCACTTGCGATGTCAAGCGATGAAGAAGTTGAGATTGTGGTCCATGACGTAATTATAATTTTAATGTCACCCCTGAAACTCTACACATTTGTATGCACGAAGTTCCGAAATACAAAGATAAACCCGGGCGAGGTAGGGCTGCGGTTAGACCTTCATAAACATTTACCGGTTAAATACCGGATTATGTCGTTAAAACGGTATACAGTTAGGAGAACTCTAACACTACTATATGATTGAAATATTTGAGCGCCATAGCGCACCGTTTTTATCTATGATTTTATATTTTCAAAAATTAAAATTACCAAGAAGAATAAAGTCGTTTCTTAATAAACTAACGACATATTGTCGCTTCGTCCGAGAAATATAGGCACCCAGACATCTCCGCATCAAATAAAGGGCAGATTTCCTCTTCAAGTATGCAGCTCTTAAATTCTGTCTCTGAACGTCATATTCACCGGCCCTTTCGGGGAGAGCAAAAATTCGAATTCCACTTCCAACGGTTTATCAACAGCAACTTCAAAGCTTTCCACCGTTTTGTCAAGCATGACGGGCAGCACCTGCTCAATGAACCTTTTGCCTGGACATATTCTCCTCCCAGATCCGAAAGGATTCAGTATGAACGTGGCGTTGCTGGCCGTTTCGGTTTTGTGTTCGTTCAACCATCTTTCTGGCCAAAATTTCGCTGCGTCTTTGAAATTAGCGTCATTCTTGCACGCTATGTTCGAATGGCACAATACTATGGTTCCCGCTTCGATCATATGACCCGATAACTCAACATCGGAGTTTAGGATCCTCGCCAGGGAACCAACGGTTGGGGTAAGCCTAAATGTTTCCATCAAACATGCCTGAAAAAAAAAGTTATTGCGATGAAGTGTCGAGTAGCAAGAACTAAGCTAGGCTATAATTCTAGATGCTTTAATGTAAAACAACTACAACAACAACAATCTGCGAAAAATGTGCAGTTCAATTATTTTAATAAAAAGTTCAGTTCGTAATAGAATAATTGATAAAATGTAGGGTCTCAAGTTTTAAACACCCCTGTATATGCGGTTCAAGGTTCTCGAGACAGAACCAATTCCCAAGGAAGTATAGAGTATTCTGACAATCATGGACAAAACATGAAAGAAAGAAACATATGAAACAATATATAAATGTTTAATGTAACTAACTACGAAAATACGATCCTCATTTTTGTCCATAGAAAAACTGGTGTTCATGGATTTCTATGACATCGTCATAGCTTCCCCGAACACCAAGAGAAATTCTGTCATTTTCCCCAGGTTTTTACGATAAAAAGTGACCTGTTTGGTTACTCCTTGGTTTCGAAATGCTGATGACTGTTTCTCATTAATTATTTTGCTTCTCCGGCATAGCCTATTAATCACCTTTAAATACGCCTTGGATGGATCTTCGAGAATCTTCCTTTGCGCATCCGGATGCATCGCCACCTGGTACACGAAAAACAAAAAACTATTCTTGAGCGTATGTATCCCGGCCGCTATGAAATCCACTATGGCTGCTTTCTTTTCACGCTCGTCGATATTTGCGTTTAGGACGGACTGAAACACGGCGCTCTCTTTTGTGGACTCGTCCGCCGTTTTTATTAATTCCGAGGCCAGCTCGTAGATAGCTCTCTCGCTATTGGCGAGTTTCTGGTAGCTGGTCGTATTGAAGAACCTCCAAAACGGAAAGCCGAATTGCGTTTCTCGACATCCGATGAAGTTGGCGTGAACTGCTTCTGCCAATTCTGTCGCCGTGCCACACTCGTGGCTTTCAATGAGAAAGCCCATTCGTCTCCCTGGAACGATTATTTATTTAAAGTGCGATTTCTTACGATAAATGATATGTTGCTATAAATTTGATTTGATGCGCTCTATAAATTATTTTTTCTAAGTAGATAAATAGACAATAATATCACTGCCGAATAAACTATATGTATATATATATATATATATATATATATATATATATATATATATATATATATATATATATATATATATATATATATATATATATATATGTATATATATATATATATACATATATATATATATATATATATATATATATATATATATATATATATATATACATATATATACATATATATATACATATATATATACATATATATATATATATATATATATATATATATATATATATATATATATATATATATTATATATATATATATATATATATATATATATATATATATATATATATATATATATATATATATATATATATATATATATATATATATATATATATATATATATATATATATATATATATATATATATATATATTAATTATGCAACAAGTGCGGTAAACGGCATTTGACTCACGAGTTTATTTGACACGAGCAGAGCGAGTTTTTAATAAACGAGTGAGTTAAAAAGTTTACCGAACGTGTTGCATACTATACTTTTTCTACGACCGTTAGTTTTTCGGTACATTTTCGCAAGACAACACGAATGCACTCACTGACATGACCGTCAGAATTGACAAACGTCAAGATTCAATGCGTGAGAAATATCTCCGAAAACATCCGATTGCTTCCAAATCCGTGCGGTAAAATCCCGGAAATGTCCGAAGTTCCTCGGATTCATGGGAAACGAAACTCACGTGGTAAAGTGACGCTTCCCGCACTGTAGATCTTTGGGTAATTAGGTATTTTACAGAAGGGTGTAGAAAAAATTATTAAATTGATTATAGTTATTTTATAACTTCCATGCCCATTGGGATATTTCAACCACATCATCCGCTACATACTTGGTTAACCTGACTAAAGTAACCAAAACTAACCAAACTTCACAAAATTATGACTATAGCGGCGTTCAACAACTGTCCGCAGCCTTTTATGAGAAAATGAGTTAAGTATGTGGACATTGCTGCTTAAAAAGGAAATGGTGCAAATTAGTAGGTGAAATTTTGAGGTATCGATGGTTATTACCATCTCTACCAAAATACCATAGCCTGAGGACCATACAGTTAATTGCATGAAGATAAAAAAACACAAAAAAGGGACCACATTTTTTGGAAAAAAAAATCATTCAACAAATTAATACAATTTTTGTGATAAGAAAATTTTTTGTACTAATTTTGGTTGAAATATCCCAATAAGCGTAGGGTTATTGGGTAAAGCAGCATTTTTTAGCCTTAATATGAGTAGTTATACTCATGTTGTGCAGAACCTTCCGTACTATTATACTTACTATTGTGCAAAAGCCATACTTAAGTAGACTGTAGGTATCGATTGCCATTTGTATTGTAATTTTTTTTAAAGAAACTGAAAATAAAATTAAAGGAAAAACATGTATTCGCCGTTATGTACTATGTAACTAAACTACTGTACTATATTACTAGTACTATACTACTGTAAACTAACGGAAAATGTTTGTTGCATTGTGATGGCGTACCAGAGAATCTCTTATCTACCAACAGGGTGAAAATGTGGGGTTATCCATTTAAGGAAAGGTTTTACGACCAATGGCACCATTTAAATTTGATCGCACATAATTTATGGAAATTGACATGATTTAGGGGGACTAAGAATAATTTCTTTTTACTTTTTTATGCCCCCTAATCTAAAATATTCAATTATGCATCGATCATGTGCATCATGTGTGCGCAAAGTGACAATTTGAGATATCAGCTTCATTCAATACTGTCCGACTTCGGGTTTTAACGGTACTTTAGTCATGAATTCAGCCACTGAATGTATTAGTGCTGTCTTACAAAAATTTACCCGAATGGTCGTGCAAAAATTATAAACTTTTTAGGTCCTCGTTTATTAAGCACAGACTGTGCCTATTGCTCGTGTTAAAACAAATTCATAGCTAAAGTGTTAATGAAATTGATTCATTGAAACGATCAGCGTGAACATACTGTTATGGGTAGACAATTTATTTATTTTATTACACCAAATTATTACGTAATAGTAATTTGTTATATTTCAACATCCAAAACGCCCAGTACTAATTTTTAGTAGCTTCACTTAAAATGAAATTTGTTTTAGATAAAACGTCAACTGTAAAATTAATTCACATCAAAATTGTTTTGAAATTATTTGTTTTACACAAAGGGTTAATGTTTATATACAAAAATTGTGAATAATATATTAATAAGTTATATTTTTATGGTAACTAACACAGAATCACACAGGTATCGAAATCAACCCCATTCATGTTCAACGCTGTTAATTTAAAAAACCAATATAATATATATATAATTTATTAATTTTCCCCAAATTATTTTCATTTAACGAATAATGATCCGTTGAACTTAAATGTTGTTATTATGTTACATAACATGGGAGATTTCTCTTCGCGCAAGAATATAATCTTCAAGCAAGGTTGCGAATCCCAATGTCGAGCGGTAACAGTTCGAAGACCATGTTAGCAAATTTCTTAACAAATTCGGTGCCAGGACTTACCCAAAACTAAAGCGCATGTGGCTTCGAGACCTATACGGGTTGCTAAGTCTTCCAGGTGGTCTATTTTGTTGTTAGCGTCCCTCTTTTGTCTTAACAAGTGTACCCAGTCATCCGAGATCATCTCGATCTGAGGCATAAAGTCTGATATGGTTTTGGGACTGGTAAGGACCGTTGTAAGTGACACCCTTAACTCGTGCCATTTTTCTCCTACGGATGACGATAATAGATTATAGTGGCTTCAAAATTATAAGAGAGTAAGAAAATATTAATAATTTGGTTCCCCATCAGCAACAGCACTCATAAAATAAACTAATATAAATTTGCATAGATGCCAAGAACAGAGAGAGACATTATTTTTGTCGTTAAGTATAGTCAGTTATACTTGACATTTATTAATTTAACCAGTAGGCCCATACTCAGAAATAGATTCATGTATTTTCTCTGAAATAATATATCAGGGTGTTCCTTAATGATATGCGAATATTTAAGTAGGTGAATCCACATGAAAATATTATTGTCCGAACACTCCATGCAATAAAATTAAAACAATATCAAAAAATCATACAATTAAAAAATATATCATACCAAATAAAATATTATTTGCTAAAAGTAAATTTACAAGTAAACCATATTTATTTTGTATTTGGAACTGCTACTACCATTATATCAAGTGTAGGGGAGGGTGTTTTATTATTTTTTGTGGCTTTTAACCATTAAGTCGATTAATTTTTGACTAACTTTAACTAAATTTACCCAAATTTTGGCGAAGCTTCTAGCCGTCGTGCCCCACTCTCCCCTATAATAATTATAATTATTTATTAAAAAGTATTTAATAAAAAAACGGTACTGATTAGTAACTATTTTTCTATTTATTAAAAAATGTGTTATTGGTATTTATAAGATCTTCGAAAGCTCTAGCTTTAAGCTAAATCCATAGAATTCGGTTATAACAATAATATGGAATAGTTTTTTTTTAGAAATTTTAAGCGGTCTATTTTAACCCTGATATTACGCAATCCAGAATTTATAATTATTAAAAGAAAAAAGAATTGGTTAATTTTTGACGTGGGCCTCCTTGCGCCATCCACCCCTATTCTCTTTCTCAGAGAACAATTTTTATTTTTATCAACTCGCATTATAGACCATTTTCTGGATAATTAAATCGCTTACTGCCTAGTCAATTGATAATTTCTTCTTGTCGATTCATTTGGTACACTTTCACTTTCACTTTCGAGTTTCGGCAGCAGTTTTTCAAAAATGCGACCCTGTTTTGAAAATTGGAAACTACTGTTATTATCCGGTAATTGGTGCTATCTCTGTCTAGAGTACGACATCGAGGTGCAATAGACAAAGGTAGAACACTCTTAGGTGGGTTTTATGAGCGACTATGCTATCGCAAATCGTACCGAATATATTATTGCTGTTAGGTTCTTTAATCCATTTTTATAACTCTTTTGTATAAACTATTCAGAAAGAGAAAATTATAAACACGGTGAAGAAGTTTATAATAGAACTGTGGGAGTTTAAGTAGTAAAATTAAATTGAAACTTTTGGCTTTGTGATATATTAATTAATATATCTTTTATGCAAAAACAGATATTGATACCCGATTCAAACAACCCAAAAAATTGGTTTAGGGTACGTATTAAAATCAATTTTATGATATTAAAATGTGCAGTTCTGTTGAAAATATGTTACTTTTGAAAAAATAACTAAACCCGTCGTATTGATCTTAAAAAGTCAGGTCGAAATACCAGTCACCGTAAACCAATTGCATGTGAATCTACCCAGCTTGGCTGAGTGCAACAATTCACCGCACATTTCCTATATTTAATGTAAAAGAAGGTCCATATTTTAATGAAAATACTTTTCCACGTTCGCTGTATTTTTTTATCAACACGATAACCTTTTGACGCTGTTTATTTTTGGTTTGTAGACATTTCTTTAAATGGGAAATAACAACCCAATTACTCAAGTTTTTAAATTTGTTTGAAACTGGGAGTCGCTTATAGACTGAATTTCGCGATTCTCTGTTATATTTTATTATTAGTCTAATTAATGAGTTTAAAATGACATTAATTGAACATACTAGTACTAAAATTATTGTGATATAGTTCATTCCATTCTGAATTATGTCTAGATCATGTGCCAAAAAAGCGGAATGGTACATTAAAAATTTCAAAAGTTATAAACAATTAAAGATGGTAAACAATAGTGTGTAGTGTAAACGAATATTTTTTCAAAAAAAGATCCGGATTCCCGAAATTGTACTTATATTCGTAATTATTTTAATTTAACGATGAAAATTGCCTTCCGTACGCCATATTGATGTTGCAAATTTTAGGGTATATAAAGTAGATTTCAAAATCTAAAAATGTACTGCATAATCTAAACACTTCAAAAAACTGATTCCCGTTGGAATTTTTCATTACAGTTTTCCAATAAACTAGATAAAAAAAAATTGATTCGTGGAGTCTTTCTGGTAAATTCATAAAATAAGATAGTGTTGTAAAAGTTTAAATTAAATTATTTTTTTTAATTGACAAAAAAAAATTCGCCGTAATGTTTTTTTTTTCATTTCATTTTTTTCATTAACTTACCTTACCTTACTTACTTAACCTTATGTTAACAAAAGGAATTTATTAACCAAAAAAAAAACTCCATTTGCTTGTGTCTTTTTATAAACAATTGGACTATTTCAATTATTAAAAAAAAACTTTTTACAACTTAATGATTTATGATTTAAAAAAAAATTATAAACAAAACATTTTATGGGAATTATTTAAATGTTTTAAAATTTGCAAGAATAAAGGAAGTCCCGAAAAAAGTTTTTAATTAACAATAATATTACCTTTTTTTTTATTTTTAAATTTACTTTTTATAACCTTTTTTTAATTTTAACTTTAATTATATAATTTATTAATTAATAATATGTTCCGACGCCATGTGCGCAACCATTTTCAAGTTACTGGCAACCGAATTTTTTTTTTGGAAATTTCCTCCACTTTAAGGTCCGTTTTTTCCAAATCCGAAATAATTATTAGTGTACGAACTATAAGCAAAAAACTAAACACTACTTTTTAGCATCTTTAATTATAACTTTTGAAAATTTTTTCGAATTTCGAATCGAATGAGCTACATTGCATAATTTTAGTAATACTATGTTCAATCAACGTTATTTTAAACTCATTAACTATACTATATCTGGAATAATTTGTTGAATGTTTGTAAAATGTATGTTATTTGTAATGTGTATATAAAATGAAACTGAAGCATGGGCATTCTGAAGCAATTAAGGACTATAAAAATCTCATATAATATTTAGACCCTGACACTGATTTCACCAGATTTTTATTGTTTTATTGAAATTATTATTATAAAAGTAGCAATAGAGATTTTGACATACGGCGTTTTCTTTTTAACTCAGCGCAGTAACTGTGTAGTTGGTTGTTTCTAGTAAAACGATTACACACGTTCATTAACGGAAAATCGTCAAAAAATATAAAAAAAAATATTTATTTATGCTCGAAGATATTCGCACTAGTACCTTTAAACTAAATGGGGTGTTTTCATTAGAGTTTACATAAGTCAGGTGTCAGTATCGGTTATTTAAGGGCGTAAAGGGGTAAGAATGGGCTTTAATTTCCATTTTACGTCAATCAAATAATTATCTACAATAGCAGAATTTTTAAGCTCCATTCCGCAAACAAAGGAAGTCCATGCAATATGAGTTTGAGTTGAATCTGGGGGCGTGGGGAGTTATTTCACATTTTTAAAATATATACTAGATTTTCGAATTAAAATTGTAGTAAATCTCGCTGGCTTGAGTTCTAAAAACTCATTATTAGGGGTTATTTCTATATTACTGTCAAAAACGGCCACAACAAAATGCACGCATTAATAATATAATAGAATTACATTCTGACCTTGTTCATTTGTAAGACCAGTGCTGGCGTATCGCGCCGGCACGCTCTTCCTGTAATGAGCGATGGCTTGGGTTGGCGGTCTCAGGGGATACTTCCCCACACTTCTGAACACTTTTTCAATGTCGCCCTTTTCGAACACGCTAATCACCGGGTAATTAAAAATGGTCTCTTCTTTCACTACGGGCCCGTATCGTCGATGCAAGTCCTCGTAAAAATCGTGCAATCTGTTGAATCTGTAGCCGTAGAAGGAAAACACCCACGAGGTACCGAAGAGCGGAAGTGCCAAGGGTCCCGGTATGCCGCCGCCCTTGCCGCTGATAGTCTTAACGAACTCGGGGGCGAATCCGATTATAAACAGTACCGCAAGAGTCAACACGAACACCACCACGTCCAGCATTTCGAATGAGACACCAAGAAATGGTAAACCGCTACCGGCGATCTTCTTTTATTTAGAAGCTCGTATATTATCAATAGCGTTATCTCAAATCCGATTCGAGTTTGTTTATTACGAGATTTCGGCTGCGGACGGAGAGAAAAACCTTGGTCACCTTCTTCGCGTTATCGCAACTGTTTACTATCTTCGGCGTCGTACTCGCAGTTTTATTAATCGTGTCGGAAGAATAGTTCAATAGCCTACTGGTACATTAGTCGATCTTTGCAGGCTGCCATCTTAAGCGCGAATTAATCTACTGTTATTAATGATATCGGGTTCTCGATCGGGTTGTTTCAAATTTTGAAGTGGTTTTTCCGAGAGCGCTGGAGTTCAACGGCTTTAAAAAATTTTCAAATGCACAAAAGTTAAATGAAAAAAAAAAGTCATAGCAAATTAGGAAAAAGTAATGACAAATGTGTCTACTAGAGAAAAATTTAAAACATACCTAATGAAATTGCTTGCAAGAAATATGGTTATGGCAAAGGGCATCGCACCGTTCTTGTTTTGATTTCGTTGGCAATTTGCATAAAAATCGCAGTCAGCAAGACGATCGTATATGTATTTAGTTACACTTTCGTTTACGTTATTGTCAGGTTTTGCAATTCACCGTTAGCTTCTATTCTCGTTATTTGGTAGAGAGCGGCGAATCTTATCGTTCAAATTTAATTCGAATACCACTGGAAATCTTTGGACAATTTAATGGAACATTAACATGACGAATACTAGTGAACTCTCCTTCACAACACTTTTCTTGAAACAACTTTTTTAGTAAATTTTATTTACAACTCTTTTCAACAAAAATGATAATAAATGAATGACTATTTTTTCATTATTATACTACTTTTTATATATTACTTATTTATCTGCCCTCTTGTTTGCAAACATTTCTAACAAGTTTTACTTTTTACCAATATTTGTAGGGTTCCAGATTTAAGTTTATAACTTTAGTTACAGTACTTCAGCCGCATTTTAAATTAAATAAATTATGGTTTTATTTAACGATATTTTTTGATTTGTATTCCCTCTTAGAAACTCCTACAATTCTTACAAAAGTATTGAAAAAAGTTAAAAAAAAAAACAAATTTGAAATGTAAAAATCTTTGTCCTTTTTTCCAAAACACACACACACACACACACACACACACACACACACACACACACACACACACACACACACACACACACACACACACACACACACACACACACACACACACACACACACACACACACACACACACACAGACACACACACACACACACACACACACACACACACACACACACACACACACACACACACACACACACACACACACACACACACACACACACACACACACACACACACACACACACACACACACACACACACACACACACACACACACACACACACACACACACACACACACACACACACACACACACACACACACACACACACACACACACACACACACACACACACACACACACACACACACACACACACACACACACACACACACACACACACACACACACACACACACACACACACACACACACACACACACACACACACACACACACACACACACACACACACACACACACACACACACACACACACACACACACACACACACACACACACACACACACACACACACACACACACACACACACACACACACACACACACACACACACACACGTCCATAAATATACCTATAAATGGCATGGGTGGATGAGATCCAAAGTAGTTCGAATTTAGACCAGGTTAAGATCCTCAAATAAAGTTCATACACCTATTTCTTATTGGGCAAAATATGTTCGCCTAGCTCGACATGAATAACTTGCATATTCAGTACCGGATTAAAAAAAAATTGACCATAAATTTGAATTATTTCTGTATAATTTTGTTGTTATATGTAAATCGAGTACAAAATGTTTGGGGACAAAGTCAAATTATTATTTTTATACTCGGCTTATGTTTATCTCGAATCATTTAATAGTCCATGAAAAACGATTTATTACTCGTTTTGTCAATATATCGATTTGTTTCCTCCTCTTAACTGTTATAATTTCCTAGATGAGGATTTAAAGCAGAGATTCATAATTTTAACATCGTTAATAAAAAACAAAGAATAAAGGAAATGTGAGAATTTTTATATAAGAATAAATAACAAAAATAGAGGAAAATTGTCGAAAATAAAAAGACTAAGAATTACATATAAGATTGCTAGTTTTCAGTATCAAATTTAAAGTAATATTTGTATTTAAAATTTTTATATTATGTAGGTTAGACTTTGTATTTTATATAAATTATGTAGCAATTCCTTTAAACATTTGTTAACGTCACCTTCTGCAATATGTGGCAGGGTAAATTTATATGTGATCCCGCGCAACTTAAGGGTTTTAGGGAGAACGTTCATTTGCTTATTTTGTGGATATACAAAATGTGAAGTATAATTTTTAATTAAAATTTGTAGTTGTCTATAGAATAGGCATATTATTATATTAAGATATCAACAAAAAAAAAAATCATGCAAATTGATATAATTGGAAATTCAAAATGTTTAAGTCTTTTTAACAGTATGTATTTTTAATTAGAATAATTTCATAAAATTCCTATAATAAGCTCTGTTATGTTGTATTATTATGAGTTAATATTTATTTGTGAAACTAAATCAGACCATGTAATATATGTATAATAGGTCTAAATGCTTTATTTACCAAAAACTTAATTTTGTAACCATATGCAACTAATGCTGGGGCCTGTCAATTAACCACTTTTTATTTGAATTCGATCAAAATGTTTTAAATTACATATTGCAATTGCAATAATAATATGTATTTCAGAACAAATAATTATGTGTTTATGATGTCCAATTTACCTTCAAGGAATACCCGAATACGATACTTAGCGCTTCGGGGAATCCCACTAAAAATATTACTATTATTATTATTGTTATTTATTGTTTATCAGAAATTAGATTTCTACAACAAGAAGTCCGCATCAGAGATTACATAAGAAATTTGATTTCAACTATACAGATACAAATTATAGTTTTATTTTTACTCATTTTTTAGAAAGACTAATAATTAATATTGTTATCGGGAAACTGCACGGTACGGAGTAGTTGATGTTACATACGGAGAAAATCTGATCTGTTTTAATGACGTAAGCCCAGCCTTTATAGTAAAATTTCAGAAAAATGTTATTACTCATTGCAGAATGTGCAAAGCTTGAGTAAAAATTTGTCTAGTGTGAATCTACTGCAATGTTGACATCCGCATCAAAAAGTTATGTTTTAAAACATTCTAAGATGCGATTTTTTGTGTGCAACCTGTTTCAATGCGAAGCAAAGCACTTGAAGTTGATTTAGAAAAAAAATAAACTATTATAAATTTCATTGTATTTTAAAAATTATTTGGGTCAATTGACACAAAAAAAGACTGGTCAATTTACCATTTTAAAAGCTGTTTATAAATTAACACTAGCATAAAATTATTGGCAGGTTTTCTATATACATAAGATTATTAGCGCTAAAAATGGTCGAAGTATATTACTAACATTTACTTGAAATTACCCGTTAATAAACGACAAACAACTCGAACAATTCCAGTTTAAATCGAGTTTGCGTTTTAGCTCTACGTATTATGGCATAGGTTTGCCACCTTTTGGGCTCGCTCGGCTCTGCGTGACGGCACCGTCAAAAAAGAGATATCGGTTGCAAAATTAACCACGGCCCAAAGAAATTAAATTTGGCCGCTCGGAGTGTGTAAATTGGTGTGTAATTGGATTGATGTACTTGAAAATATACCAGTTTTCGTTTGGGCGGGTATTCGCCGACCTTTTGAGAAACCTATAATTTTAACATGCACAATTATGAGCGTTAAATACGAATCCATTACTACATTACAGTGTTTGTTTTATTCTGGACGATAAATTTCTTGTCGCATAAACGACGATTGGAGATATGCTTATCAATCGTTTATTAATAAGTAGTACGTATTTAGATTAAGGGAGTAATTGGGCTTTTGAACCCGACAATAACATTTAAAAGTTTGAGTTAAACTTGATTCGGTATTCAAAACAATTGTCGTGAAAAAAATTATCTGCGGCGAGTCGATCTTTTTGGGAACTTTATTCACCCACGGACTTAATTACATTTAATTAATTTTTTAAGTGTAACAATTGCAACCATTTTGTAAATACTTCAAGTATCGTTTCGATATTATATAATTTATTTGTAAGTAAAGATATATTAAGTACAATTTTTATCGGAAGAAAAAATTTAATTATAATTTTGATATACTATCCATTTGGTATTTAGTATTCGTTATTCATTTTCTCATGTTCTTGGGTCATCTGGTGTAATAAAATCTTTGACTTTCTGCTCGTGGAGGAGTCTTCGATTTTCACTTAATGGTTCAACCATACTTAAAAGAACAATATGTATTTCAAGTATTTGTTTATTTGGATATCGGGTAAGTATATAACTGTTATGATTATATCAACCAGCTTGCAAAAAAATTAAAATTGTGAAATAATCATAAACAAGATTCAATTTTATGTTAGGCTTTTAGCGATAAAGTGGCAAAAGCTTAAGGAAGCTTAGGAAAACGGATTATATTAATGATTATAAGTGATTATAATGATATTTTTCTACTCCCGTCTGTAAAATATCTAAATGCACACCGATTTAGCGCGCGGGAAGCGTCACTTTACCATGTCAGTTTCGTTTCCGTGGACCCAAAAACTAACGGTCGTAGAAAAACTATAGCATGCAACAGGTTCGGTAAACTTTTTAACTCACTCGTTTATTAAAAACTCGCTCCGCTGCGTTCCGCTCGTGTCAAATAAACTCGTAAGTCAAATGCCGATTACCGCATTTGTTGCATAATATACAATTTTCTACTCCCGTCTGTAATAGTATATTATACAACAAGTAAACGGTATTTGAATCACGAGTTTCTTTGACAAGAGCGGAGCGCAGCCGAGCTAGTTTTTAATAAACGAGTGAGTTAAAAAGTTTACGGAACATGTTGCATACTGTACTTTTTCTACGACCGTTAGTTTTTCGATACATTTTCGCAAGACAACACGAATGCATTCACTGACATGACCGTCATATCTCCGAAATATCTCCGAAAACATGCGATTGCTCCCAAACTCGTGCGGTAAAATCCCGGAAATGTCCGAAGTGGCTCGGATTCGTGGGAAACGAAACTGACGTGGTATAGTGACGCTTCCCGCATGCTAGATCGATGCGTAATTAGGTATTTTACAGACGGGAGTAGAAAAATATCTAACCACACACCGATCTAGCGTGCGGGAAGTGTCACTTTACCGCGTCAGATTTGTTTTCGAAGGATCCGAGCCACTTCGGACATTTCCGGCATTTTACCGCACGGGTTTGGAAGCAATCCTTGAATTTTGTCGTTTATCAATTCTGACGGTCATGTCAGTGGATGTAGTCGTGTTGTTTTGCGAAAATGTATCCAACAACTAACGGTTGTAGAAAAAGTTCAGTATTCAACACGTTCGGTAAACTTTTCAGGTCAGTCGTTTATTAAACACTCGCTGCGCTCGTGCCAAAGAAACACGGGACTCAAATGCCGTTTACTACATTTGTTGCTCAATATATTATTAGCAATGTATTTTGTATGAAATTCTAATTTGAAGGAATTCGAAAGTTCGGACTTATTATGCAATAAACGCTTGTGTCAAACAAACTCAAATGCCGTTTACCACACTTGTTGCATAATATACTATCATGTTATATGTCAACTGTTAACTTCTACATTGACTAGAGTAATTAAAACCAGCAAGTCCGTTGTTATTTCGCAATTTTTATTAATAAATTACAGAAATTTATTAAAACCAAACATTTTTGTTTCTGGCCTATTTTTTAGAATCTTGAAAACATTAACATATTATACCTCGGCACTTCTCCATGTTAAGGCATTTAGGCATTGTTCATTGTTATTGATTTATTTACAAAAACAAAAAACAATAAATGAAAAGTTTACTAGGCAATCAAACTAACCAAAACTAAAAAACTAAGTTTTTATTCAAAAATTTCAAAATATCCATATGTTAATTTTAAAAATTTTTGAAAATCAAGTTTTGTTTTTCTTTTCATGTGACCTTCTTTACAGTTTGCCCTTTTTTACGTTTTGTCTCATTTTGACTTTTTTGAATTTGGTTTTTAGTGAAAAATCTTGAAAGGGTCGGTATGATAAACAGGAATTAAAAACTAATAAAATAAACTTTATTTCCCATAATAAACAAATAATTCATTTGTTATGTCATGTCGTCTACGTGTGAGGATAACTTTGGTTGTGTCCGAAATATATACAAAAACTTATACAACATAAAGTCTAAGGTGTCGTAGAACTCTGGGGCCTTAATTGCCTGGTCTGCACGTCGTTGTAAGCGATTGTAAAGACGCTTTTTTTCTGGGCCATTTCCGGTTTATTTAACACGATGCCCGAGTCGGTATCTTCTTCGGGCTTTCGTTTTGGATAATGCGCTTCGAACCTATGTTCTGAGTGTTGCAGGAGAGGGTGTTCCGGACCCGCAGTATTTTTCCCGTTAACGATCTTTCTCGAGCTGGATTCTGTCTGTTTCAAGTACCGGGCCTCCACCGCAGGAACTGCCACTCCATCACCTTCGGGTTTCTTCTGCTCGCTTTGTGTCTTGGCTTGTTTGTTTTTGGTATACCACTCCATATATCTCGAGGTTCTTTTGGGAACTTTTTTCTCCTTCGACCCCTTGGCTGAAGCCAAATCATTGTGACTTTGAGATTTCTTTACCGGCAGCTTGGACTTTTTCTTTTCTTTATGGTCGGGTTCGATTCCGCGCAGATCGGTTTCTGAATGGTATTTCTGTCTAGGCGGAGATCTGGGGCTATCGTCGTCGAGGCTGTCGGCGGAATACCATTCCGCTTGGTTGGAAATCTCCCTGATATCGATGTAACTGTTCTCGTCACTGTGTTCAAGCGATGCTGAAATTTCGTTTAATACTTCTTTCTTCAGGCCTGATCTAGATGTAATAGACAGTGAAACTGGTGAACTTGTGCTGAAAAATGGTTACCTGGAAGATTTAGATCTGGTAGTGGTCGATGTCTCGCTTGTAGCCTTCTTCTGTCTCATGTCGCTCGTTCTCGTTTGCTTGATGTCGGGCGGAGACCTACCGTGTTTAACTTTTCTCGGTTTTTCAACAACTTCGACCTCCGATTCCTCTTGTATAGGCGTTTTAATGCGATGTTTCATTCGATGATTCCTTCGTTTAGCTCTCGCTCTGACAATGGCGATTTCCTCGTCGCTAGCGTCAGATAAGTCGTAGTCCGATTGGACCCTTCGTCGAGGTGGCCTTAAGTATTGAGGCTCGGTCTGAGTAGCGGCGTTCTGATCGGTTTGGGTGCCAGCCGGCAACGATTGCGTCTCAAGGCGAAGGTCTCTTTCGCGATCCAAAATCAGTTGACGAAGCAAAGCGTTCTGTTGCCTCAACGAAGCCTCTAAGAACTCCTGCTCCGTCTGGAGTTTGCTCACAGCGTTTGGCAGAGTGAATTGTGCGACTCTATAACAATATTTATCGCAATGTTATAAATTTTGAGGAACAAACGATTTACCTTGCAGCTTCGGCTTGTTGTTGATCGATAAATCGTCTCATGAGAATATCTTTGCCGCTATCGGGCAGGTATTGCTGTTCCATAAATGCTACAGGTATTACGTTGGGCTCTTCTCCAGCTCTAGTGACTAGACGTAGGATGTCCGCGTTGCCTTCTCTTATGTACATGGGATCTCTAGTGACCTCTTGTGTTTGATGATGTCTGATGCATAAATAATCGAAACCAGTATTATTATGCGGATCCAAAGGTCACTGTATCACAATTATAATAAAACCACTTAAAATTATACGCTTGTCCGGTTTTTCATGTCATGATTTGAAGGGTAGAATTAAACAACATAAAACAAAAACAAACGTGAAGGTTTTTCGATAAATCGTTAAAACCGCACGTTAAAACAGATATTAACTATTGGTGGCAGGTGTTGGGGTTGGTATGCCCCTACTTCACAAGGAACGGAAACGTTGGAAACATTGGAGACAGCAATATATTGTTTTCAAATATGTTACTATTATATTTCTAGCAATATTTCAAGAAAGTTCTGCTTGTTCTGTTATATTATTTATGCTGAGTGTTTTGTTTAAAAAAATCGTGAAATTCAAATACTTTTTACAGCGAGAACCTTGGAAACAACATGCCAACTAGTTCCGCACAATAACCTAGTATATTTTAAATATTTAAAATTTTTAGAATAACTGTGCATCGCAAATGTATTTTCTTGCCAATTTTTTTGATGTTTTATTTTTTAAGACTTAATGTTATTGTTTCATTACATAGTCGTTTTAAAATAAACTATGACAAGGATACTTAATAGTTTTAAAGTATTGTGCAAAAACATTTTTTTAAGAATACACCCGTAAGTTAGTAAAGAGAGATTTGGATCAAATATTAATATTTTTAGCTTAGGATCCTACAGTTTACATAAAACCAATTATAAATGAATCACCTTGTATAACTATCTAGGATTACACATTACCCAGAAAATTTGAATGCACGAACAGAAAATCAGTATTTATTTGGTTGGTTTGGTTATAATCCTTCCCGACTCTAACAAATTCCTACGTTTTATGTACACCGCGAACCCAATAAAACGATGCACTACACGATCTGGAAACCCATAGGAGATATGAAAACAAATTTCGAAAAAAAAAAGTGTCCGACCCGACATCAACTTTGTTATTTTAAATGGAACACCCTATATATTTTGGCATTTTTTAAATCCTCGCTTAAAACAAAGGTCACTTTCTTAAAAAATTCCTATTGGAATTTTGCATAATTTAGGCAGAAATTCAAGTTATGTGTTTTTTTTTTTTCATATAAAATTGTGTTGTTACGCTAATGATCCAGGTATTGCAACAAAAAAATTAACCACACACTACGGAGATGATGCACTACTCAATCAGTTTGAAAGATACGCCTCAGCTTATACAGGGTGACCCAAATAGGTAGTGCCGTTATGGCGAATTCAATTAACAACTATGCAAAATTCCAGTAGGAATTTCTTAGGAAAGTGACCTCTATTTTAACACATAATTTCATAAATGTCTAAATATACAGGGTGTTCCATTTAAAATAACAAAGTTGATGTGGGACACCCTGTATCAACAAAATTATAATATTTTATATCTCCAGGAATGTGGGAAACTTTTTTTCGTATTTCCTATTGGTTTCCAGATCGCATAGTGGATCGTTTTATGTGGCACATGGTGTACATCCCCATTTGATATCATACCTAATAAGTCTTATACCACCGCGGTCAGAACCTCTCTCCATCTCGTGCATGCGTAGGGAATCTATGTCCTGGTCAATTCCAACGGCTACAGGTTGCGCACGTTCCCTCTCTTTTGCCCATTTTTCATTACGCCCAAACCATTCGGCAACCTGAACTGATTTACTTTCCCTGCCTTGTCCGGAACCTTGACATATCCATGGTCAACTTACAAATTTAAACGTTGAAAATTCAACTTACCTCTTATTAACTTCTCTACAATTTCCGTAGACTTAATCTTACGTCTTTTCGGCGGTATGTATAGAGGACACGGTCTGCAAATGCAACACAGGATTAAGATGATGGCAGCGAGAATGGCGAGAATGATGAGTAAGATCACTAGCCATAACAGGCTACCGCTGCTTCCTTGTTCGATCCGAGTTTGTTCTTTTTCTCGGGTAACGGTTTGTCCTTCATTCTGCTGCTGACCTTCATGACTACGAGAATCTAAAATGCTTTGAATTCTGTTCAAATCGACGACCGAGTCTTTTGTGTAGTAAACAGTCGCTACCACTACGGATCTGCGGAAAAAATAATAAAGATCCCAATTTCATTTCTTCTTTCTCTTTTCCATATATATTTAAGAATGAATAAGTTTAATTTGGTGCATAACTCACCTATCACCGCCTTTCTCCCTAGTCACATATGCTGCTCCAGGCTCATCGCTTACAAAGGGTCGGATTTCATCGATGGTCACCCTTCCTCCAGTTAGTGCTCTGATAGTATGTTCGGCCTCACTTTGGCTGGGCGACTTTCCCGGCAGAATAAACACCATCTTTCTGGATTTGGCTTCTGGGGGGTAAATGCGGATCTCGCATTCGCTGGACAATATCGGGATGCCTTCGTCATATGCTCTAGCTCTGATCGATACCAGCTCTTCACTTCTCCAGGTGCCCCTAACGAACACTTCGCCGGAAAGTTCATTTATCGTAAGGCTTTCAGTGCCGTTGATGAGCTCGTAGTGGACGATATTATTAGGCGAGGAGACGTCCAAGTCTGTGGCCCTAATGAAAGCCTGGGTGGTAAATCCAGTACCATCAGGATTCAAAATAAATTCGTACACATCCTTATCGAACTCGGGCGTTTGATCGTTAATATCCAACAGGGTAATAACTATTTCGGCAGTTGCACTGAGACCATCCCCATTCTCATCAGCCGCTTCGACTATAAGTTTTATGATGGGCATAGATTCCGCATCTAATCTGGAAGAATCCGCCACTGTAATCAACCCTGACTCTGGATTCAAAGCAAACAATCCACTGCCTCGTCCACTGAGGCTGTTGTATCTAATTTTGCTTCCCGGTTCTCTGTCTACGTCGGTGGCTTCCACCAATAGCACTGTAGTTCCCACGGGAGCGTGTTCTTGAATATTGGCTTCAAACGGAGATTTAACGAATTGGGGAGGGTTATCATTTACGTCATTTAAAACGACCACCAATTTGGAACGAGCCGAATAATTTCCCTTCCCTATCTCCTTGGCTACTATGTAGCATTCGACGTAGTGTCTTGCTTCGTAGTCGAGCAGTCTGTTGTCGTGAACCGTGATTCTGAATCTGGAATGTCCTTCGACAATGCTCGGTGTGATGTCAAACGTTCCGTTGTTGTTCAGTAGCTCCAGTGCAACGATGTCTCCCGGTTGGGTGTTGATCTCAGCTTGCAGAAGATCCAAAGTTGTTCCTATGGGTGCGTTTTCATCTAAAAGGGCGTGATATTCATTGGAACCGAATGTCGGTTGACCGAAGGTCACATCCGGCAAGATAAAGGCCAATTGAATGCTCGTAGATTGCGAAGGCGCTTCGTCAAGACTGGATCTGACCTCTTCCGCTGTTACATTGAGCAAAATTGCTTGGCCCGAATTGGAAGATGACATGATGTCCGACACGGGTTTGGTCAGTTTCAATTCCCCTAAAATATTTCACAGATTGAGCAGCAATTTCCACCATTCCACCGATAGACTTGTAACTTTCCATTTGTATTTAAAAATTTAAACAGCATAGACAACTTTCTACTGATAACAATAATTATTATATTTGCTAAATGTAAACACTGCACTACTACAATTTTATATACTTATTTATCAGTATTTTTGCTTTTTCATAAACTGCGGCGAAATCTAAAAAATGCATATATAAGTCCAGTTTGATCTAGATAATGTCATGAAGGTTAATTTATCAAATGAAGAAATTATTAGTTGTTTTTGCATTACATATCTTAATTTTTTCATACTTTTTGGTAAAAAAAAAGAAGTACCGTTTTTTTTTGTTTTTGTTTTCTTTTTAGCCGAGCTGACTGCTTTTAAATTTTTGTACGAAAGTTTTTAGTTAAATTTAAAAAAGTTTTTTGTCTGATAAGTCCATTCTGATACAAATTAATAGACGTTTTATTAAGTGCATCTCAATATGTAATTATTAGTAATAACCATAATAATAAAATAGTCGGTATTAATCTAATGGTTCTCTAATGCATGCTTTTATATTTGTTTTTTTATAATTTCTGTTCATGTGTCTTAAATTACTAGTCATGCGTTATTATAAAAAATATTATTTAAAATTTAGTTGGTGATGAAGTTTGATATGTGATGATATAAGATAAGGAGCCGTTGTGTTTTATATTACACTAACAAAAATGACTATACTAGTTGCACAGTGGACAGTGGAGAAATTAAGTTAAATAATTCGGAATATTCTGAAGAATATTGACCAGAATATTGACTGACCGTCTCTGGTTAAATAAGTATTAATTATTAGTATTGGTCCTAGTAATGAAGGGATTGTCATATAAGTTATTTAGATGGAGTGCAAAATTATTATTAAAAATAATGTGTGAAGAGTATATTCTCTAAGTTTAGTGATATACTTCACCAAGAAAAAATATTTATCACAAACATTAGAAACAATAAAATTAAACTCAGTCATCCCTACAATAGGTCGCAAAACCAGGGCCTAGCATCTTAAAAAAAAAAAATAGGAACAATCCGCCAAAATGACATAAAACAAAAATAAACAGGTGGTTTCTTAACTCAATCACCCATTTATTTTTTTGCTAACATCTAATTTAAAAAAATCTTTGATAAAAAATGTTTTAATTTATTTCGACTATGACAAATCCCAACTATAGATAAAATCCCGAAATTTTCATAGAATAACGCAACTAGTGATCATAATATCAACTGATAGAACGGATAGTACAAGCATTTTTGTGTTTATAGCGATTTTCTTTGTTTATTTGCAATAATTTTATTTTTTTTTGCAACTTTTATTTATTTATTTACTTGTTCATGTTCATTTCGTAGGAAAGTTAAGCGTTTCCTTGTAAACCATTGCGTGTGCCCCCTCGTCATTGAAAATGTAAATAAAATACACATGCATTAAGTTTTTGGCGCAAATGTTATGCGCGTCCGCATATAGACTGATATATGCATAATTATGGATCACGAGAAGGTTGCCTTTGATCGAAAAATCCAGGCTCTGTTCAAGGATACATTCAAATCGCTGTGTTCCCGTTAATAGGCGGAAGTCGTTGCGTCGAGGAAAAGGCCTGCGTGTTAAACGTCTTACCGACAAGTTTTTAATGGGATCCGAATTAAATCCTCTTTTTGGTAAATACCGTGGCAGGTTCGCACGAAATGCGATCAAATATTTTCCGTTTGGGAATCATCGTTAGTTCCTGAGGTTTCGTTTTTTTTTTTCAACAAGGAGCGCGGTGGACGATCGCGTGACAGTTTGAACCGTCGGTGTTTCGGGGGAAAGTAATTCGTGTCACCTCATTTATATAGGTGTAGGGTAAACGCAAAGTTAAGTAAAAGTAAATATGCTATTTATGACGTTAACGACAATATTAGAGCCGAGATTTCTTTTTGTTCATTTTATTGTTTATTTGTCACACAGACAATACGGAAAGCATTTTTGCGTTCACTAGCGAAAATCAGATAATGTCAACGTTTATAAAGACCATCAACTAAACTGATGGACGCTGGAAAGTGGTAAATTGACTGTTTTCATCTGCAAAATATAATGTATATTGAAGGTTCGTTTCGTTAGCTATCTTTTCTTTAAAGTGGTGGTAAACCAGGGTTATTTAGCAAAATATCTTAGTGAGCTCACTGTCTCGTACGTCGTGCGAGTTTTAAAAAATTTTCAGATAAAAATTCATTACGGGCGAATCGGGTAACAATGGGGCTCATTTTCATTGTAATGGTCATTTTTCTGTCTCGTTTTTATTTGGGTTAATTATTTGTTAATAGGTTCTGTACGAAACCATTATTTTGACTCTTTTTGACGCTGACAGTGTTCGATGTAGAATACTAGAAAACTGATGGTGTTAATTAATTAATATTTTTAAAAATGTTAAAAGCTTGTGTTGGATATGGTTACAGTATGATGTATATATAACCAAAAAAAGAACCTTTCTTTTTTTAAGTAACTCAGCACTGCATAATCTAATGATGTTTTATAAAAAATTATAATCATGTAATAACGATTGATTTAGTTGTCACACAAATTTCAAATTTAAAAAAAGGAAGTTAAGTAAAAACGTGTGTATTTTAAGTCTTTTTGGAAATAGTACCAACAACACACCCCCATTTATATAAATGCTCATTAGTAGCTGTCTTTTGTATGGCGTTATTTGGTTAGTTTTTTGGTGGATTGAGTTGAAGTTGAAGTGGATTGAATAAAATAAATAAATGAGACCCTAGATACCTTGCGAAAACAGAATAACAAAATTGCATTTTATATCATTTTAAATTTTATAATTGAAAGAAAAATTGGGAAAATGTTTTATAATAGTTGGCCTACATTTGAGGAGCTTCATTTATTAGTAAAATTAGTACTTTTCCTCGTGTAGCCTTGGATTGTTTTCATGAAATATCACATACAACTAACGCTTGGAGCGTTGTGCAATGTTTGTAAAATATAGTTGCTATGGGAGTTTTTACACGGCGTGTTTAGGGTAGATCTTGCGCAAACGATGCGAAAATCGTATACTTAGCATAAATTACAGTGCGAACATTAATTATAAATATTGTAATGTTCACGGTTAAAAAAAACAATGTGTAACATACACTTGTGTTTATGATCTCCATGAAAAGATTACAAGAAAAAAATGATTTTTTTCCTAATTCAAATAGATAGAAAGTAGATTTTTACTATGTTTACTCATCAATAAATAAAATAAAATAATATGATATAAAATAAACATATAAAAAATTAGTATTTTTATAGCTTAAAGTAAAACCCAATTTAATTTCAGAAGGAAGCTTCTATAGCTATATTCCTGCATTTGTATGTACTAGAGGGGTGAATACTAGTATATGTATTAACATATCAACGAGTAAAACATATTTTTAAAAGGGAAAGAAAGTATATTTTTTAATTGTCACAACTGGTCTGAATTTTTGTATTAAAACCTTTGTGGTAACAACAAAAATACAAGAAGTGATTTATGATGACTTGCTTTGAAAAAACATTTTAAGCCCGTTCCATCCTATTTTTTATATTAAACTAAGCATGTTACTTATTTTACAACAATTCAAAGTAATATATATATTTCTAAGTTTTAAGAGAAAAATTGGTTGGTAGTGTTCGGCAGCGCCTCGTTAAGAAAATCAGCTTTCGGTCTATTCTTTATTGCTTGGTATTCTGTTAAGTAACAAGTAACTTCGAAAATAAGTACTTCTTGGAAACTATTTTTTTACAGAATAAATTAATTTTGTCAATCAATATTATTAGGAGAAAATACAATAAGACTTACCCGTGCTTTCTGATATATCAAAAAATTTGCTGTACGTATTATTTGTTTTGGGCAGATAATAACGGATTGGTCTTGGGTTTCCGCGGTCCCCATCCTCGGCGTGAACCCTTGCAAAACAAAAATTCGTTTAAATTTTATACGATTTGAAACCTCTCTCTCTCTTACAGGGTCGAGATAAGAGCGAACAACGTCCACATAAGCATGATCGAAACAGAGTGTCAACTGTGCACTGCTTCGCATTTGATAAATTGAAAACTGTCTACATTGTCGAGCACTTTTGTAGTGGTAATTGAGTATAATAATTATCACGGACAATACAATGTATTGTTGAGGGTTTTCCACAGCTTTACGGGGACGCCGTGTTCGAGTAGCTTTTAATGGCGCAGTCGCTAAGACGCACAATTACCTTAAAATTATGTCGCCGGGTTTGAGCTTCGAGTTCAATCTGGTTATTAGTGGCTTTATGGTAAAAATTGGGGGCGTATCTTGTTCGTCTAGAACAGCCACGACGAGGGGCCACCCAGCTATGTTGCGCGTATCTTCTTTCGTATTGCTCCAGGGATCCTAAGCGACAAGAAGACATTTTCTCATCTGAAATAGTTTTTTGTGCAGGAACTCACATTCGCAAGAATCGTAAGGTGGTGGACCGTCTGGATTTCGTAGTCGAGGGAATTTAGAAGCACAATCGAGCCCTGAGCGTCTTTCTGGGACACGAGCCTCTGATGGATCCCAAATTTTGGAGATCCGTACAATTCCATGTAAACGGCTTTCATTCTATCCGGGTTGCCTCTAGCGATCAAAAATCCTAAATAGAATCGGGTTAAAAAATGCACCTCGTCTACAACCAGCGCGGGGTTGTACCTATTTCTGTGTTCCTGGTTGCGTTTTCCGAGACGTAAAGCAGCGCCGGCGCCCCCGGGAAAATCGTTTCTATTGGCGTGGTCGCGTTGGTGGCCTGGAAAGAGCAGTTGGTAGCCGCCGACTGACCTCTCTGATTACGCACTTCTACGACAAAATCGTAGAACCTTCCCACCTCTAACCGCCGACTCAGTATTACATTTGCTTGACACACCTGGTACATCGCAACGACATTAGCATGGCGCCTGAAGTAGCCGCAATGTAATCGCTTTTTTAAAACGTCGCAACGAGCGCCTTTTGTTGGCGAGAAAAATTAGACCTTTCCTTGTAAAGGGGATCATTAATTTTTTTTTGTAAAGTAGTTAAAATGATTGATGGATATTGGACGTTAAAATTTCATTGGTCGTGTGAAGTTTTTCTCACCGAGAGCTTTTTATGCTATTATGTCTTAATAGTCTCGGAAATAACACCATTTGGACTTACTGAGTTAAATTTCGTGCAATTTAACGCTTTCAACTCGACGGCCGTCGGCGTGGGCAACCTGAGACCGAACGACAGAGGATAATCGAAGGCTGTGTCAGACACCCTTAGCCTGTAGATGACGGAGCCCACGCGAGCGTCAGATGGGATTAATTCGTCTTTGAGCAACGCGGTGGGGTCGAATACCAATACTCCCGAAACTATGGATCAGCACATCATTTTTGTTCGTGTGATAAAAATGCCTACTCTACTCACCCAAAAAGTGTCCACCACAGAGAATTAGTAAATACTCCAGGGTTACCGAGGCTGCAAAAGAGAACGTGCGTGATTAAGTGTTCAATTAGCTCCACCCTCCAATCGAGCTTGTAAACCAGACGATGTCGAGAGTCAAAAATACACTTTTCAATGCAGTAAGAACTGTTACACAACCTGGTGCTCAGAGCCACTGCTTTAATTATCTAGGCCTCAAGAAAAATAATTACTTCAATTTCTGTATTTTCAGGAAAGTGTCCTGAAATTGTTCAAGCTCTCCACTTTGAATCGAGCAATTTGGTGTCATATTCTAAGTTATAATCTCCATGCTAGACTTCTTTAGGCTGCGGTAACGCTCTTTCCAAAATATGTTTTCATTGAAAAATCGCATAATTTAGTATGGTGAACTGAAATAGGACAAAAGGTTAGAGTTTAAACGTGAAGCCTATTATAATACTCACAGAAAATTGTATTGTAAAAAAAAAATTAAGTTAATTGTTCTTTAAAATTTATTAACGTTAACCTTATTTAACCTTTTTATACTATTTCCGTTCACCACGGGTATATTTTCCAATACATTTTTTTTCCATTTTTTCTTGAATGAGACGGACTAGTCCCAATTGTAGAGCTAGAATTTTTGCGATTTTGCGATTATTCAACTCTAGAATTTTGATTCGAATATCATTAACAGATTATTTAGCGGTTTTAAAGAAAAATTAGCAGTGGCTTTAATATAATTTGAGTCAAAGCAATCCTGTCAAAAGTACATACATTGTGGAAATATTGTTTTTAATTGAAATGCATAATTTTGGATTTAAATTCTGAAAAAAGTCCGACAAGGTCATTGAGCTTTTGGTCAAAAAATCGTTAATGGGTCGTCTCTCTCTTTACGATAAAGAAAATAAAATTTTGAAATACTGGAAGTGTCCAAAAAACGAAAATATTTAATTTTGTATGTTGGAGTATAGCAAAATTCAAGTAACTCTAAATCTAATAATAGCGACGTTTCGATGAAGAACTATCTCGGTTCCTATTGAGCTTACCATTGTGTTTCATTTTCGCGAAAACGCAAAGCCTTCGTCACACACGAAAGACCGTAAAAAAAAACGAATCGAAAAACGTGTTTCTTCGGAGGCGTGAATTTTTTCGCGGTTGTGTACTTTGAGTCGCAGCGCGTATTTAAATAGTGCTATGGGGGATATTGGTCATCTGGTTGAGTGGCCGGTCCGGTCGCCTGGAGACCCGACATCATAACATAAGAATCGATGAGGCTAGCGCTGGCCACACGCCGGACTACTTACGTTTCGAGAGGCCAAGCCTCGTTTCAGAGTAGAACTTACGCTACTGCAGCAGCCTAGATGTCTGGAATAACTATTGCGAATGGATGAAGTTTCTTTTACAAATGGAGCGTCGAAATCACGAGGGGAAAATGGATTTAGCAAACAAAAATCTATTTAAGCTGTCAGTAACAAAAAAAACCGCTAACTTAATATCTGACTAACAGCAAGAAATTTAAAAACAAAATAAAAAAAGTAATTGTGAAAGGAAAATCATCAAAAAAGTCAGTAATTTTTGGCACATGACATTGGCGAGATCTAGCTTGCTGAGTGCCTTTGTCTAAGTACTCCCTCCGATGTACAATCAAAAAGTCTCAAAGTACTTAAATGTGCGTCCCAGAAATTTATTTCCTTGTTAGTACATTATAACTAGGCCCAATACTAATGGAGAAAGTTAAAACTTTGCTAAGTGACTATGTTATCAACAGCAGAATACTACATCAAAGAACGAAGTATAATCCGGATTAAATTTGCAAAAAATCTTCATAATCATCATAAATCATCATTTAGAAATCATTAGAAAAATTAAATAAATTCTTTGCAAATATTGAAAGCGAGCTGTTATGCCACAGCACTAATAGTAAGCTTATATTTCTTTGATCTAATATTAACTTTAATGAAATTCAATGCATAATGAATTTCTATGGAATCATACTGTCAAGAACACACAAGTTGCTCCAATTTATAAACCCAAAAATAAACAATTATTTCTAACATGCGAAATCGAAAAATATCGATAGTGGTAGTGATAAATCTAAAAAAGCATTTTGGGAGAAATAAGCCGTTGTCATTAATCGTCCAATATAATAATGTAAAACTTGTTACTATTATGGCGTCCCTCAGTATATTGGACCTTTAATTTTATTAATTTTCATTGTTGCGGAATGCTTCTTTGTATGAGAAAATGAAGCTACAAATTCATAGGTAAATGCAATAGGCAATGCAAAATTTAAAATTAAAAAAATATATATTTCCCGTCAAGGGTGGTCGAAATTTGAAAATGTCAAATTCCAAGTTAATACCGCTTAAAAGGTAAATATTGTACAGTGCCGAAACGTGTTTTCCTGTGAGGTTGCTTACATTACATGAAGATACAAATTAATAGGTAAATGCAATAGGCAATGCAATATTTACAATTTACATTTTTTTTAATTTTTTATTTCCTCTCAAGCGTGGTCGAAAATTGGAAATGTTAAATTCAAATTTAATTGTTTGATTTAAGTCTTTTCCTGTGGGTTTGCTTACCTCTCTAATTACGGTTCAGGTCGATTTTGACCACCGGAACTCCCAGAACCCGCGATTTAATACTTTATTTATAATGAAAATTTTATGTAAGATTTTTTGAAACTGTGAGCTTTTATTCTGCAGTGCAAAATATTATTAACTTAAAACTTGTATTCTGATGAAAGACGCATTTCATCTCAATTTGGCGAAAAGGGAATCTAAATGACAAAATATTAAAAATGGAATGAAAACTATTATCACCCACGTACTAGTTCTGAACATACATTATGCAGCAAATTCCATAACTTGACGCGCTAGGGTTTACGATTTGCAACTGAATTAGTCTACGTTCGGAGGACGTTAATTGAAGCAAGTCCAAGAAACTTGACGAGTTCATGGAACTTAACCGGCTTATTGTACACGGAATGTTCCCTGTAAATTATTTAACTCCCCACTGTTAACGATAAGGTACGGACGTAAAAGATTATTTTTGTTATACTTTTATCGGGCGATTTAAAAATGTGGCAAAATAGATAGCTTTTAATTGGTTTTAATTTAACTATACCAGGGTGATACATAATCAAGTTACTATTGGGCGGTGTTAAGTGGTGCAAATTTGCTCATTTTGAATCTGAGTTTAAGCCGTTTCCTAATAATCGGCAATTTGTTTTTTATTGTTAGCTGACTTTATTTCCTGTGCAAATCCGATACAAACATCATCTTCATTTTTTCCAAATACGGACCTGCTGAGGCCATGCGATAAACGATGTTTACAGAAAACGTGAGAGTTGGATAAAAAATGCTCATAAAGTACAGGTCACTCTACCTTTAACCTGCTTTAGATTTGTTCCTGTAAGTCACGTTCAAAGAACTTAATATTATTTACAAAAATCTTATAATTTCCAGAGACGGACTGTAAATTGCGGTACCTCTTTTTTTTTTCTTTCGACAAAATATTTTTCGACATCTCAATGCCGTAAAGACAAAAAATTATGGAAACAAATATATTTATAAGAATAAATTAAAATTAATATATTAAATATTATAGCACCCACGGGCAGGTTGATCTAGCTTATTGTACAAAAAGTTGTTGAAATTTATTGCATAAAGCCAAAATAAAAAATTAATAAGATGCATTTACCTGGGTATTCGGTGGAGGTATAAGGAATCGTTTTCTAAATCGGTCTGATGAGTAAGACTGATGGAATTAACAATGATAGAAATTTCCACACATTTATATGTACAGAAAAAACCACGCGGGAAGTTAGCATTGCGCAATTGATCATAGTAGATTTGCCCAAACTTTTTCCAATAGGTTTGTGTTAGTGGTATTATAGGATTGTGGATTCTGACGGTGGCATTGCACATGGCGGTTTAACCTCCGTTCGCTTCCGACAGAATTCGTTGTAATTGTCCCCAAAAATTTCGAAATCGGTGTATACTGAGTGAATTTAGTGTTTAGTGAATGTTTTAAAACTGTAATTGTTGTCGGCCCCGCCATTATTCCATGTTCACGCCGGTATGGAGGCCGGATGGGCCCAGGTGGTCCGGGGTGGAAGTGGGGGGATGCCGATTTTTTTGGTATAGGTCAAAATCTTTTTTAAGTGTTGGTCAAAGACCAAAAGCGAAAATCCTCGACGGTAGTCGGAAATGGGCGAATGATCATAGCAATACTGCCCAACAGAAATTATTAAACGCATAATTGATTTGAATTGAATTGGTTGATTTCTGTGGTGACCGAGGATGGCCCGGTTGGTAAGACGTTGACCTGCCAACTCGAACTTGCCAGAGGTTGTGGGTTCAATTCCCACCTTGGGTATTGTGCGCGTGAAAAATTGTTTTCGGTCAATTTTCCTCGGCGGATGCCGGAAAATGGGTGCATATCCGAATTTAAGATGAGCCCAATTAGGCGTAAAAAAAAGATTTCTGTGGTGGAGCATTGCACGCGGCAGTTTAACCTCCGCTCGCTCCTAGCAGAATCCGTTGTAATCGTCCCAAAAACTTTGATATCCGTCTTTTTTCATGTGATTGTGTTTCGGAAGTGTGTGGTGATCGTTTTTAAGTGTTTAAGTTCCGCCGGCCCCGCTGTTTTGACCGTTCACGCCGGTTGGAGGCTGGATGGACCCGATGGTCCGCGGGGGCAGCGGAGGGATGTCGATTTTTTTTGGTATTGGTCAAAATCGTTTTTTGCTACCAAAAGCGAAGACCCTCGACGGAAGTCGGCAATGGGCAGATGATCCTAGCAGTCCTGCCCACAACAAGAGGAATCGAATTATTGTTATCTATGGTCACGCACTTATTTTCTAGTGGTTGTTCTAAGGTTACCACATTGTAAATTTTGACAAATAATTAATCATAGCTGTTAATAAAAGGAAAATATATTATTATTCGTCATTATTTTGGAGATGTCTAAAGGATCGTCGCGCAGTCTGTGGGGCGTTATGCTGAAAAACTTTATAAATTCACTTAAACCAAGGCAATTTAAGGGTGCACATATTGGAACCGATAATTTTGGTAACAAATATTATGAAATACCGGCCAACCCTTCAGTAGGAAAAAGTCGACATACTCGGTATTACGAACCACCAACAAAGGATGATTTTCAAGAGGAGAGATCACCAGAATGGGATTCCTGGTTAAGAGGTCGTAGAAAACTTCCACCTACTGAAGAGGAGATTTCCAGAAATTTGGCCATAATTGAAATGAAAAAGAAAAATGCAATAGAAGTAGATGCTAAGGGTGGTAAGATGAAACCCATGCTCAAAGGTATGGAGACTTTCCCTAAAAGGTCTGAATTTGAGACTATTCCCGGCAAAAAAGGGTAGGAAGTCAATAATTTCTAGGCTAAATTTATTTATCTTGTATATACTTTGGAAGTAGTAATGAAGCATGTGGCTTACTAGTTTTTCTAAATTAGTATTTGCTGCATTTTTGTGGAATAAATTTTCAATTTTTTTCAAGGTTTTGTACCTTTGTTTTTAACAACTTAATTCCGGTCCAATAATGCTCAATCATTAGGCACACACAATCGGTTAAAACCCATTGATAAGTTATGTCTTTTCAAACAGTCTAGGTAATAACAAATATTTTCTGAAAACTTCATACTTGCAAATCATGATTGAAGCTAATTAGATTCATACTCATGCAAACTTGAATCAAAAGTGAAGACAATAAAAAAGGACTTTATTTACAGGGAAAACATAATACAGTTAGCCTTAAAAAATTTCATTTCAATCATTTGATTTTGTAATCAATATAGTCAACAATGGTGTGGTTGCTTGCTGCTTTAGTCTCAAAATAAATATTAAAACAATAAAATTTAACCTAAACCTATTTAGAGCTTATCCTGAAAAATCACTATGATCGAATAATGTCTGGTCATAAAGAGTTGCCCGCACCATCCTTCCACCAAAATACCGGCCATTCAATGAGTCCCTTGCCTTTTCAGCTTCTGTAAATAACAGAAGCAGTTATAATTTACTTACAATTTCTAGAAAACTTACCAACAGTCTCCCCAAATTCCACAAATATTTTGACTATAATGTCATTATCATCTTCCTCTGATTGCTTCTCATTATAAATGATAACTTTCTCCACCTGTCCATATTTGCTACATTCTTCCTGTATCTCATCCTGCAACAATTCATCGACATCTTCAGGGCCCACCATATTCCTAAGTATAACAACCCGTGAGTCCACCTTCCTCATCAGCTTTTGCATCACAAAATGTCGCGCATTTTGACCTTTGATCGACATATTCTCCTGTTGCTGTAAAGTTTGAGGTTCATTCTGGTCTAACAGTTTTTTTTGCAGTTCTTCTTGCTGTTTTAATTGAGCTTCGGCGGCACGTTTCATTGCCTCCTGTTGATGGTTGGCGTTTTGTTTCTGTGAAGGCTGTGAAACTGTTGGAGTTACCACAGTCGGAGGAGGTAAAGTTGCTGGAATTACTTGTGGTATTGCTAATCCTGTTACAAGAGGCAAAGCACCCCCTACAGCTCCCACAACCTAACAACATGAATTAAAAGATGAAAGTAGGGTGGAAAAACAAGTAAACATTAAAGTGAAACATTAGAATATTTTACTTACTGTTGGAGGTATTATCGCAGGCTGTATAGTGTTGTTTGGAGTAATTTGAGGTATGGCTATGCCTGGTGGTGGTATAACAGCCCCAGGTGCCGGTATGATAGGTGCTACCGTTGGAATAGCCACCCCAGGTGCTCCTACAACTGGTAAAGTTGTTACGGTTGGGGTAGATATAGGTATTGGTGTCGGTTGAGTCAACTTTGTTAAACCTAAAGCCACTGCATTACTAGCCACAGCATCCATGGCTTGGATTTTGGCAGTGGCAGCAGCAGCTGCAACTGCCGCTGCGGTGGGTAAAGCATTTGAACCGCTTGATGGACCCAATAGGGCATTTGGAGGCGTAATAGCGCGCCCCACACGTAAATACTGACCCCCCAAGTCAAACAAGTTCATACTGGCTATGGCTTCATTTGCAGCTTGAGCACTTTCATACTCAATGAAACCGTAACCTTTGTGCTTGTGACCACTTGAACCTTGGGCAAGTTTACAGTAGATAATTGGACCAAAGGCCTCAAATACACTGCAATAAAACTAAAATTACCACATGGAAAGCATTCAAAGTAATAAGAAAAACCTTTTAATATCATCTTCATTTAGATCAGGATGTATTGATGCCACATAAATCCTGTTATACAACTTGGCCTCTTCTTGAATTTCATCAATGACAGTTTGCGCCTGGGGCATGTTGCTGGGGCGTCCCACCACTTTGATGTTACGTCCACCAATCATAACCCCATTCATTTGCTCCAAGGCCAGCTGGGCTGCTTCAGGAATCTCATATTCAACAAAGGCAAATCCTTTGTGTTTTTGGGTAACAGGGTCCCAGGACATGTTTATTGATTTGATGGGTCCAAATGGTAGGAACGATTGTCTGATGGTGTCTTCCTTCAGTTCGAAACTGATGCTTCCCACGTAGACTCTAACAGAATATTAGTTCAAGAGAAGATAAAGTCGCAACAAAAGATAATATATATCCAGTCATACACCACAAAACTTCTTCAAAATTAATTCAATTATATCTTCAGCTTTCCTATGGAAATTTTGAAGTACATCGCAAAAAATAATTGCGATATTAGTTTTTTTTTTCCAAAGAAACTTCCACATGCTACTGTAATACTTTTTATAAAACTTTTGGATTCCTCCTGAGTCGGTTTTTGTTGACTCGAACTAGCCAGTTCCAGGAATTCAGAATTTTTATAAGATATTACTGTTATTTGAGAGAGTTGGCAGATTTTTTATGAAAACAGATATTCTCAATTGAATTTAGGAACTTTCACACATTTGTTATTACGCATCAGATCTTATCAGCTAATAAAGACATCAGTAGCTGGAGAATCATAAGATCCTCAACAACTTCAAAGAATTTCGATCATCATTGTGCAACACTTTACTGACTCATTCGATCACTCACTCATCATGGAATAGATGGCGCCACCGCGTAATTAAAATCTAAAATAGTAGTAAGGCTAATTGCAATTTCGCAAATCTTATTAATTGTAACTTGCAGGGCCCAAAGTCGAACTTGCATTTCATGTGATCCTGCAAGTTACACTGTCCTATAAGGAAAAGGGGGTGCTAACCTGCACATAAGGGCGAGAGCCTGCTGCCTCTGGACCTGAGTCCTCTGACTAGCCATTTGCTGCAACAGAGGACAAGTGCCGTGATACATTATACTTTCAAAAAGTGAATTAATAAACCCTGGAGTGCCAAAAATATTTATTCTACTATGGCACTGACCCAATCAAATAGTTTTGTTTATTCAAAATGAATTCTGGACCTCCAGGGAGTAAAACTTTAAAACATGTTAGTAATGTAACTGGAAAATGGCTTGATAAGGGCGGGATAAACAAGGGTGATAGCGAAGGTGCGGGGGGCGAGCTCTCGCCCCCAATGCGCCGGCGCGTGACGTAATATTTGTCGTTTACGCACTAACCTGCACATTAATACCAAAACTTGGTGTCTCTGGAACGTCTTATCTTTCTGCGAAGCAAACGTGCGTTAGTAACACGGCCTTTACTGTAAAGGTTGGCGAGGAAGTTGGTAAAAAATAGGAGTTAATAACGGTTTCTTACAGGACCCTTACTTTAGTATTTTTGGAAGTTTGACCTACCTAACTTAATCATTCGGCTATAATATAGTAAATGCAAAATTTTTATCATTAATTATAAATTAGATGGTTTCTTTCTGGGTCCTCATTAACTTAAAAAACCTATATAAAATCGTTTTGAGAGTCGGGGAAATTTTAGTACATAAACAAAGATATATGGGCGTTATTTGTCATGGAGCACAAAAAAATCTAAATGAATTACAAGCCGGGATAAATATACCTGTTGCTGGTAGGCGATAGTCTGCTTCATAAGTACCATTCGTATACTCTGTTCCATCGCATATTTTTTTGCTTTTGCTACAGCGTCACTCTGATCTGATGAAAGTTTTGGCAAAGCCCCACCGAGGATCCCAGCGATGGTATTAGTTCTAGCACCGGGACCTAGACATTACCAGTATGAGAATAACAATGTTAAAGAGTATGTAGATATATCTACCTGTTACAACTTCTCCGGTTTGATCGATATCAAAAAGGTAATTGATGGAAGGACCTACGACAAAATAAACGTGAAAAGTTTCATAAATTCAACGATTTTTGAAAAAGAACTAATTAAATCTTGTCAAAAGCGTTGCGCACTTTATATTGGTATTATAAGATTCAAGTCACGTAAATGATAGTTGACCAGCAATAGCACATTATGCATAACATTAGTTTTACTGCATTGCCTTTGACAAGGTATTTAATTATTTTTCTATCCATTTGCCATATTTGTCCTCTCCGTCAGTAGTAGTACCTAGGTCTTCAATATAGAGAATTATAAAAAAAAATTTCAACAACAATCTTGAAAAACATACATTTAAATTCCCGAAGAGAATATCACTGATTCAAATTTATTTTAGAAAAAGAAATATACAGAAAAATCATAAATGTAATGAAGTGAAAATGATGCCTTTGGGTTAATTGTGAAGAGGAAAGAATTCCTCTAAAATCCATCATTTACCACAGCCTATAAATACCAGCAATGGTATAATGTGTCAGAGACAAAACTGAGACCGGATTCATAGCAAATTCTGAAGTTTATGGAATGCAATATGTGAACCTTCTCTGAGACACTGCACAAATTAAGTCAGAAAATAATGCCCAACAATAATGAAGTCATCATATATAATATACCAGTAACTCAACTTAACTCCTTTAAACTTTTTTCTCTGGATTAGAACACTAGAAAACTTACAATATGATCAATAAGTATAACAAATTAGTAACACCAATTTTTTAAGATTGCTGTAATAATTTTCTGGGACTAAAATGAATATACATGGAATGCATAATTTGCCTGCAGTCATGTGCTATGTAATTCCTGAACTGCAAAGTTTCTTATATTTGGGCCTGATACTAACAACAAAAAATTAATCACAAAGAAAGTTATTAGTTTTTAAGCCAAAAATAGAATAGATTGGTCGAATAATAAATTAATTTCATTATTTTATGGCAATGAAAATTCTACTGTACTTAAGATCCAAACATAACAAGCTAATAACATTATACTGTTGCAGTTCAATAAAATGCCTTAAAGAAAAGTAAGTACATTTCTTAGGAATGTTGTCCTCGTTGGGTGCCAAACTTCAAGTAAAGGAAACAATGCAACTCGTGTAACTCGTACCTTAGTAGCGTCTAATCACATCTGTAAGCACAAAAAGAAAATAGACATGTCTAACACAAAATGCTGTTCCTTTACCAACTTAAAAGAAAATTATTGGTTACTTCTGAATATAAAATGAATGAGTATGCGTTAATATCAGTGCCTGAACTAAAACGGACATAACATAAATTTTTTAAATGATTATCTAAAACCCATACTCAATCACAATTTCGAAACATCATTTGACTCCTACCGTGTAACCGCTCGAAGGCTACGGTTACAGCAATCTCAATCTACTCCATGGAAGTCAATGTGTGTCCGCCGACCCGATTTCTGGAACATCTCAAGCAGACATTCGCATATTAGTATGGCTGTCCGTTACTTGAGGATTTACATTTAGAAAAAACGCAACCTGTAGACAAACAAGGTACTTACCTTCTGGTTGGGTAGGTTCCATTAGCGGTTCTTCAGTGCCTGGTGCCGGCGGTTCTTCCTCCATTTCCTCTGGTGGGGGTGGAGGCGGCGGTGGCTGACTTTGAGGCTACAACGAAAAATCCAAGTTCGTTTCTCATAAACCTTGTACTAACTTACAGTTGTGCCGGGTAGAAGGTTTGTGACTGCCATTCCACCGTTCATTCCTAGTTGTTGAGCTTGAAAACTCGTTAACATACTCAGAAGTCTTGCAAGTTGAAAACTTTTTCTCTCTGGATGAAAAGTTAAAAACAAAAATATAGATAATAATGGCGACGTGCCACTAAAAACGCCACCCTATATCGACCATTTCTCGCATCAGAGAAAAGTTCTTCTTCTTGAGGTGTTTACTATTTAATCCCATGTGCAAGGAATAGTTGCTCAAATCGTTGAATGGCAACAACCGCGTTTATTTAGTTTCATTAATTTCTAAGTTAGGTTGATCCTGAGCATGACGCAAGATTTATTGCTATGCTGATTTTTGAGTAAAACTTTATTTTTTGTTATAATTTGGTCAAAAAATTATATGTAGTCTAAGTATTACGTATTATCCAAATGTGGCAAGCGCTAGGTTGACATGTGGATAGATCACGCGGTCTTTATGATGTCACTTCGAGGTGTGGTGCTTCAAGGGGTTGGCTGGGGCACGGAAACGGTACAATTTTGGCATGGCTGACCTTTTGCGCGGTGTACGAAAATATACAAGTTTGACTTCCGGAAAATACGATTTACTTTTAGAAGTGTCTTTTCAGTCCGTTGTTTTGTGTACGGTCGTAGTGTAGTGTGAATGGCGTATACCTGCAAATTTCGCCAATTTCGTTGGTGAGACAGGTTGTTGTCCCTAACTTGTGGATTTGACGTTTCCTTTCACTTCATGCCAGGGATATAAATAAGTTTTTAATTTGATAAAGTCTGCAGTTTTTGTTTTTTTTGCTTAATTGAATTAGGTGCAGTTGTATTTATAGGACTTTCAAGTGACCATTTTGTTGTAAAATGAGAAAAAGGAACCGGAAAATTGTCATTTCTCCAAGAAAATAATTCATTAATTCACTTATAACACGATGTCTTTCTTTAAAAATATTAAAAATGTACTGCATCTTGGCGGCAATGATGCCAAAAAGAAAAAGGTTTATAACAATGTGCGCATGGATACAGATCCATTAGAATTTTGGGATCTTATTGGAGAACTCGGAGATGGTGCCTATGGTAAGGTGCATAAGGCCCAACACAAGCATACGGGACAACTTGCTGCCGCAAAAAAGTGTCAGCTTGATGGGGAAGATGATCTTTCGGACTTTATGGTAGAAATAGATATACTGACAGAAATTAAGCATTTAAATGTGGTTGAGTTGCTTGAAGCATTCCAAAAGGATCAGTACTTGTGGCTACTTATTGAGTACTGTGATGGAGGTGCTCTAGACAGCATAATGACTGAATTGGAAAAGCCTTTGACTGAACCTCAGATTGCCTATGTATGCCAGCATATGTGCAAAGGGTTGCAATTTCTTCATAAGTCGCATATTATTCATAGGGACTTAAAGGCAGGCAATGTGTTATTGACTATGGCGGGTGGAGTCAAAATTGGTTAGTTTTTTCAGTTTTTTGTATGTACTTTACTTCCACAAATTGCTTTGTCTAATTAAAATTAAAATCTGTGGTTCAAATTAACAAATTTTACACATTTCAGTTTTATCTAGTTAATCCTTTAAACCACAGACATCAGTGTTATTTATAGAAATTTTGATTTATGATTCACTGTTGCCATATTTACTATAATCTGCGCATATTTGTTTTTTAAGTTTACATTGTCGCACAATTTAAATTCTTACTGTTGGTTTTCTATAGAAAATTTATTGAAATCTTCAAAATGCCCATAGATTAGATAACTTAAGCAAAAACTCTTCAGTTATTATTATTATAAGATGTTCTTTAGCATTGTTTTTATTATTTTTATAATTATACCTACACAACTTTTGTTGTTTTTTGTTAATAAAATTCATTCATTCATTTCAAGTTTAATTGCAGCTGATTTTGGGGTGTCTGCAAGAAACAAAAGCACTTTCCAGAAACATGACACATTTATTGGCACTCCCTATTGGATGGCCCCAGAAGTTGTGCTGTGTGAGACCTTCCGTGACAACCCATATGACTTCAAAGTTGATATTTGGTCTATGGGTATCACTCTAATTGAATTTGCGCAAATGGAGCCTCCCAACCATGAAATGTCACCTATGCGTGTGTTACTCAAAATTCAAAAATCTGATCCACCTAAACTGGAACAACCATCAAAGTGGTCAAGGGAATTTAATGATTTTATAGCAAAGGCTTTAATCAAGGATCCTCAGAAGAGACCTACCTGTGAGGATTTATTAAAGCATGTATTTATTAATTGTATGTTGGACTCCAAGCCAGTAAAGGAATTGTTATTGGAGTATAAGGCTGAGGTGGTTGAGGAAGAACTGACGGATGATGATCCAGAGGTATGTTTGTATTTAAGTTTTGATGAAGTCGTACTTAATTTAAAAAAAGATGGAAATTGTGATTTCTTAAACCATGTATGCCCTTTGTTTTTTTTTTTAATTATTTATAATCCAAATTTTCATTGCTTTGTCATGCTTAGCGGGGTAAAAGGCAAAGAAAATTTCGAGGGCATTACCACAGAATTGGTAAGTAATCAGATATCTGACTTCAAATAGATATATTGATATGATATTAAAAATATTATGTTATTTACTGTGCATGCGGCTTATTGGGTCCCCCCTCACGCCCACTCCCCGCGCAGGTGAGCCCATTTTTATTTTGTTTCTCACCACATGTCCTGTGTCTGTTTAATCGTTTCTATAATATATTCTTTATTGTGCATGAAGTTCAATGTATAAAAATAATAGGAACTTTTACTTTTATATTCCTTAAATTAATAACCTGGTCAAGTAACATTTATGTAGGTAGTTGGTTATGAACAGGAAAAAGTTATATTTATATGTTTTTTTACTGAGAATTAGATGATTATCAAGTTTTAGATAAGGCTTAGTTAACTGTATAAAATGAACATACTTCAAATTAGTAGGTGAAGAATTATATTTAACACTAAGATCAGCAACTTTATTTTGTCAAGATACAAATATATTTGAAAATTACTGTACTAAGGTTCAGTTTAATAAAAATAAATACATTAATATATTATGTAACCCTAGATGATTATTGTTATCATTTAAGATTTTTCTCTGTGTAAACACTCCACCGAATGCAATGAAATAATTACTCATTCATGCCTTAGATTTTAATTTTGTAATTTTATACACAAAAACTTTTAAATATAGCTTACAATTTGCCTTTCAAAAGTATTCAATTAGTTATTAAAGAAAAGAAAATAATTACCAAAGATTGATTGATTTAATATTAGTGTACTTTATTTATTTTATATATAATGTATTATGTTTATTCTGAAACTATAATAACAAAATACTATCAGGCAGGTCACAAGCACAACAGTCTGTATTACGCACAGCTGAATTGATTGATTACTAGAACTAGATAGTGATGGACTAGATAGATATTAAGTGAAAATATGTTATTGACTCATTCATACCTCAGTTTGTTGTTTGGTGGAATGGAGCACAAAAAAATTATATGTTAACTCCTACAGCTGTTTAGTGACTATGTGTATAAACATAAATCAATAAGCAGTGGACATAAAAGTCTATTTTGGATTGTTTCAAACTATTTGACATAGTAGTTTTAATCTGCTATGTTATAATATTGGATCTATATTCAAGAATTGGGCTTTCCTATTCCCATTCTATTGCTTATGACATTCAGACTTTTCGATCCATTATGCCCGCATGCCTTCACTCTCTCCCATAGCGGAGCCCTGTACTCTCTAGAATTTACAGTATCTCTTTCATGGGTAAATTGGATAGTTCCTTGGGCTCAATGAATTGAGCTCCTAGTCGCTTAATTGGCAGTTCACCCCCATGATATGGAGAGCCCTTTCTTAGATGGCAGTGTCCCCCTAAGATTCCTACTATATGCCGAGTTGCGCGCGACTGATACTGAGAGTGCACTTTAGATCCTGAGGCATAGAAGGTCCCGCAATAAGAACCTTCGACTGCCAGTTTGTTCTTTACCAAGGTGCTTGTTTCCCCTGTTTTTTTGTCTTTGAGCTGGTCCATAGGAGTCCCGCAAGTCCCGAGTGACAGGGTAACCCTAAATACTCAGACGAGTGGCACACGACGAGCTCACGACATTATCTTCGTAATACTATGCAGCCTTTGGCAGGGATTGCATAACACTTTGGCTTGGGTTATTCGATCGCGGCGGTGCTTCCTTGCTTTCAGGAGGTTCGCCCCCTGTCTGACGCATCATTCTTATCGCTTTACAACAGATTTGATTGATGTCAAAAAATAGTCAATTGGGAATCCAGAACAATACAATATCATGATTCTCTTCTTCAAATAAAATTGTTTAATTCTTTATTTTGTATTTATTAATCATAATCATAAGGTGTAGTCTTAAAATTTTCTTAATAACTTGTACCAAATATAAAAAAACATCTAAATTTCTTTAAAACAGTACAGCATCTTGAAGACATAATTCGCCTATTAAGAAATTTGCTTTCACAAATTTCAAGAGTTTATGTTTCAGGACAATCGGGCATCTCAGGTTCCCCTGGACATCGAAGACGATTCTGCTTCGGTACAAAGCAACGAAGTGGATGCTAAAGGTAAGACGTTGAATTTTTCTTTATTTTTGCTGACAAGCTTTTCATCATAAAATTATTTTCAGCCTTGGAAATGGAAAGTCTGGTACCCAATGCTGAAAAGAAACCAAAAATGAACATTGATTTAATTGAACCACCCATCCCTGTTCCAGCAGAGAAGAGAACTGTATGAAAAGTGATAAAAACAAATATAAAATGTTCATGGATGTTCTATTTTAGGCGGAGAAAAAGGACGAGGTCCAAAGGAGGGCATCACACGACAAAGGTCGAGCACCGCCTCCGCCGGTGCTTCCACCTCAGCCACTTGCACTTCCATTGAACAAAGATGCTGTACAATTGGCTGTAATTCCCATTCCTCCTGCTCTTCCAGCTCCTCCATTAGCAATATCAAATGTAGCTACTTCTGCTTCTGACCATGTACGCCTGGTCGATATACCGTTGCCGCCCCATATTGAGGACACCAAATCAAATGAAGGTAAGCTAAGCAATTTTCTAGTAGTAACTGTGTCAGACAATTTTTTTCACTAATAGACGGCCCCAGTCACTTACATTTAAGTGATGAATCCGGTTCAGCTCGTTCCTCAGCTATTGCCGAGGTTAAAAAAGCTTTAGAGAATCATCTAGAAAAACGGTTATCCCAAGAAAAGGCGACAGTATTCGATAAATCTGCAGATTCTGTGGTGGTCAGTACTTCGAATGTGTCGACTCCTGAGGACAGTTTGAATTATGTCACTGTATCGACCCCGCAATCGGAGCGCAGTAAAAATATGTCTACTATTACAATTAATACCGATTTTCCGGATTTATCCAACAGTTTAGCTTCAAATATTAGTCAGGTAACTGTTGTCACCACTCACCCTCCAGTGATTATAGACAACTCTCAAGTGGCAACCAGGGCGTCATCTACATCACCTAGCAACAATAGTTCGAGCGAAGTTATCATTGTAGCCAATGAGAATAACAAGACACATGTAGAATCATCGGATGATGAATTCAGTCCCTCGTTTGACTCGCTGGAGTATCCGCCTCCAAGCGAATTCAGGGACAAACCTCCTAGCGGCAAAAGGCTAGACGAGAGTGAAGTTCTCATAGCGGACTCAAGTTACGTGATAAACGACTCTGGTTTGGCGGTGTCGGAGGAGAATTCAAGACTGCTAGATACTAGTCACGTGTCAGTTGTTAAAATAGATGAAGAGCAAGTGCACGTTAAAGATTCGACTTCCTATATGCACGAAAAAACCACCGGTGATAATTTGAGGAATTCCACTAGCGATTTGTCCAACACTTCGTGCAAAACAGATAGCACCAAGAGCGAGTACAGCGACGAACTTCGAGGAACCTCAATAATACTTGATGGCTATAAAATGAATGGCCGAATTGTTCATTCAACGATGGGCGAGGATCATTTATGTCAATTGGATGACGTGTTCAAGAAGAGCGGTTTAAATGGAAGGGTTTATCAAGACAATATGTCGGATAGATCCCACAGCGATTGTGGATCAGTTCGAAGCAATGGAAGTTCCCACAAGAGACCAGTGTCGGCCAATAAGTCGGACGCCGAGAGTATTTCACTAGCCAGTCACGAAAGTCGCGGAAGTAACGAGAAGGACGTCGCCAAAAACGACACCGATGAAGTGGAAGACCAGGTGGTGCTTCGGAAGCCGCCCAAGACGAAAGCAGAGACAGCAGCAATGATGATTCGCAAGACGAGAAAGCGCACTAGAAAATTTATGATCGACGGGGTTATGATTACAACTACCACAAGCAAAGTAATCTATGGGGACGAGGACGACCCTCAGTCAGATCCCCATAATGACAGGAAACAGGAATTGAGGCATGTATTATTTATTTATTACTGTACCGTTTCTATCATGTAATAAAACCTATCAAAATATAATAATTACAACAATAATTACCACCATTGTTTTTGGTTTATTTTTTAGAGAACTAAAATATTTGCAAAAGCAGGAGCAGAAACAGTTTCAGGACTTGGCAACCAAGGAGAACCTGGCATTGGAACAGCAGGAGCGCAAGTTCGAACAGGAACGTCTGAACCTTGAGCGCACGTACGAGAACGACCTTGAAATGCTGAGCAGGCAGCAGCGGTTGCAAATAGAGCGCGCAGAAGCACACCAGGATGCTGATCTCAGGGCAACGTCGAAAAAAATCCGAGGCGAGCAGGAGCGCGAGCTCAAGCTTTTCCGCGAAGGCCTAAAGCAAGAACTGAGGCTGCTGAAGGCCGAGGTCGATATGTTGCCCAAGGAGAAGCGCAAAACTGAATTTAAAAACCGGAAAGAAAAAATGGACGCAGATCACACAGAGCGGGAGAGGATTTTCCTTGAGAAACTCAATGAAAACCATGAGGCGTCGCTTCGACGTCTGAGCGACGCCCATAGAGAGAAGATAGCTCTCATGGAAAGGCAATTCCTCCAACAGAAGCAACAGTTAACTAGGTATATATATATTTGTTTGCATTTTCACCTGCAACTGGTTCATGAGGAGGCACCACTTTTAGGACTAGGGAAGCAGCATTGTGGGAAATTGAGGAGCGACACATTCACGAGAAACATCAGCTTGTTAAGCGCCAGATCAAGGAGATCTTCATTTTGCAGAGGCACCAGATGCTTACGCGGCACGATAAGGAGAAGGAGCAAATCAAAAAAAGAGCGTTGCGGAAAGAGGAAGAACTATTGAAGAAACAGAGCATTGAGAAGCGGAATCTGCCAAAGCGCATTAGGCAGGAGATGAAGGCACGAGAGGCCATGTTCAGAGAATCAATGCGGATCTCAGTATCGAGCAGTAATGATCCTGAACTCGAGAAGAACAAGTTCAAAGAGGTTAGTTGGAGACATTTTTCGAAAATTGTAAACACTTTTTGTGTTTAGTTTCAGGAAAAAGAGAAAAAGCGATATCAAGCAGAGCAAGCACGGTTTGAGCGAAAACACCAGATGCAGCTTGAAGAGATGCGGGCGATGAGCGAGGCCACTGTAAAGGAACTGGAGCAGCTGCAAAATGAAAAGAAGAAGATGTTGTTGGAGCATGAAATGCTCAAGTTGAAGCAGAGGGAGGAGCAGTACATGACTGAACTGAGGGAGTGGAAGGCGCAACTCAAACCGAGAAAACAGGTGAGAACTTAATTTTGCATTTAAAATCTTAAATTGGGTACCCTATTGGTTATTTCCGTATCATTACTTTTCCCAGGCATAATTTGTTTGTGAGCGGCCAATTATATTTGGAATATCCATCTTGTGCACTGATTGATCAGTTTAGTTCTTGTTCTGATTGATGCGAACGTTTTTAGAAATTAGAGGAGCGACTCCATAAGGAGATGTTATCCTGTAGATACACCTCCTATTTACCGCGTTTGACTCTGCCAGATCCCGGTAGTTCATCTACCGACGAGATTATGGAGGAAGAACCATTTGCTTCTGCTTCGGTACCATCGAGTCCTTTCATAAATGAACGCAGGCGCCCAACTTGGGGCCACAAGAGGACTTGGAGCGTTGGAGTTATTAGCACCAGCAAAACCCTGAAAGATGACGGGCATTTTGCCTTTCCAAAGGCAAACCAATCCTCTGATTCTGCCGCTTGGTACTGCACCCGATTTTTGATTGTGTTTGTTTATTTTTGATTGGGCCTGTGGCGAGGATGGCTATAACAAAACTATTTAAGATGGGTAGTTGCCTGGTTTATTTCCTGATCAGTTTTTAAATAGAAAGTTTCAATTGCAAACAATAAGCAGATTGTATTAAGCGTCCATCCTCTCCATATGTGTCGTTCTGAGGATAAGAAGGCTTCGTCGGTTAGGTAGTCATTGTATTTTGTTGGTGTTTGCTTTCTTTTTATAATTCTTGGGTTGGTCGGAAGCTAGATTTCGTTTATAATTTCAGTGTTTGTAATTAAAATCTGCTTGATATTGTTTATTTGTAGTACAGTGCGATCCACATAGAGGCATATCCTCATAACTCATGCATTTCCTTTCAGAAACTAGAGGAGACATTTATACAACAGTTGGAGGAGCAGGAGCGGATGTATGGTCCGGTGGCCACGCCCTTATTGCTACCCTCCGACTTGCCCGACTTGACGCCAGAGAGTTGCAGCCGATTGGGCATGGGCTCAACCCGAAGCAGTCTTTCATCTATTTCCGAGGGATGAGTTGCCATTTAGTCATTGAAGGGGTGTATATAAGTTTAAAAGATCGAATTACTTTTTTACTGCAACTGTAGTAGTTCAAATGTCCTATACTTTGCCACGGGTTAAGTGTTCGCGGAGGCATGTTTCCATGTGTGAATTTTTTTGGACTTTGCAGAAGATGCCGTGGAAATTGAGAGAATTTTAATTGCGTTTTTATATAAAGAAATTTCTTTTTGTTTCTTATTTGCAGGTATTTTTTTTTAAATAAAATAAATGGCGTTATTTTGAATTTCGTCTCGAGCGTGTTAGAACAAAAGGGCGGGACGAATATACTTGGGGTTCAAATATTGGAGATATATATTTTTCTACTATGACAGCCAACGATTACTACTTAATAACTTCATGATGAACGAACTTTTTAAATATTTTTCCAGTTGGTTCTTTTTAATCACTCAGCAGCGCTGAATGAAAAAATGTGGTATGCATTGGAAAACTAACGTTGTCCCCACATAGCAGGTCTACCTTGCGGGATTTTTCTTTTATTACAAATCTCGTTTTGCAGTGAACAAACAAAATAAAATTGAACGGTATAAAAGTCATTAAAAGAAACTCCCACTCTGTATGCTAAACTTTGAATTGGTATATTAGTATTCACGCTGAAGCCGTCCAATGGGGATTTTTATTTTTTTTTTATTGTATATATCATACTCAGTAATCGGAACAATGTATAGTGGAAGGGAGGGTCATTCATTATTCGTTTTTGTATTTCCTTTTTTCTTATATTATAAATATTCATATTATGTTTTTACTTAACACAGTGTCGTGCCGTTCTGTATAATACACACGTGTACAGTTTAATATATTTTACTTTTTAATGTGCATATTATGAATATGATTATCATTTAAAAATTAATAATAATAGAAAAAAGACTATTTTAGTGTTTTGTTTTACTCTTCCTTCTTTCCTATATTTCCCCAAGACTAGGATCACCAACATGAACTAGATTTTCAAATTTTAGAATTTGATGAACTAGGCAGTATGTAAAAACGCTGTAAATTAAATATACATGATCCTCGCTTTAAGTCAATTTTTTAATTTCCTTTTTGTCTATTATAAGTACTATAACTTAGCTTCGTTTTTTTTAATATAAGTTTTACGTGCATAACTAATTAACCAAAACTCGGGTAATGACATTTAGAATGCACATTAGTATAACGTGATATATAGTAAAATTGATACATTGAAATGATATTTCGTCCATATACCCAAATTTCACACACAGACCTACAGCTTGCGCCAGTTTTTTAAAATAATGATATTTGTTAAATGCGGAGTGAGACATGACTCATGTATGGGCATATGCAATCTCAACATTTTTCCATATATAAATAGATAATAGAATGGCCATAGTACGCTAAACATTGATGCGCCTGCGGCGACATTGATATATTCGTAGAGATGGAAATGATCATATGCACATGCATCTAAATTTCAGTCACTAACCAACAGTTTGCGCCATTTTCTTTCTAAACAGCTATTTCCACACCCTTAACACGTTTTTGCTACGCTACATCTAAACTAACAGCTGTTGAATTGACGAACTGTCGGCGGTCATGTTGGTTGAAAGCAACATTTCAAATGACCGCGCATGCGCACATTAAATGGCCTATCGTAATATTTTTTTATCGTCTCGTCAAAAATTCCGGCATTTTTAGTTTCAAAAGTGCGTACTTATATATCAAGTATATTATGGTAGCCAAGATCGGCGTTGCCTAGTACATCTTAGATTAGAGAAAAATGAATATCTAAATTAGAGCAGGTAAGCAACCACTTCAAATGAACATCAGATTCTAAAAAAATGTAATTTTTTTTTTATAATAATGTTGTATATTGTATTTTTAAATTCAATTAAATTTGTATTTACGTATTTAGATACCACGAAAATTACATAGTTACTTCTAAATCACATCTATGCATCTCATATTGTAAATCCGAAGCATTTATTTAACTGTTTAAAACGCTGTCTTTTTAAATAGACGTTAGTTCCACATTTTGAAATAACAATTGTTTGGAGAATGCTAGCTTTTATTTTAAGTAGTTGTTTTAACTAATCATAGAAAGGCGAAGGTCAAGGTCATGTTAACAAATTTGGATAAATAATTTTATGCTAAAAATTTTGTTGCTCTTGTTCATATGGAAACATTTTTTTCCGTATATACTGGCGCATGATTGTGTACCAATACGACCTTTTATTTAAACTTGAACTTATTATTAGGTATACCTCTTAAAGTAATAGAATATATTGTCTGCGTTTTAGTGGTTGGCTCACACGACATTGTACTTGGTTAACTGAAGCACACATGTAATAATGGCCGCTTTTCGTCTCCTTGACCAGCAAAAAAACCTACAAGAACTTATGTCGCAATTTGTGTTTAAATCATCTCAAGAACAATGAATTGTTTATCTGGGTTATAATAGATTTACAAAGCCATTAAAGTTTATTTGAAAAACAAACTCTTCTTACGCAATTAGGGCTTCACCTTTAAGTTTCGCATCTACTCACCAATAACCAAATATTTTTGGCCTCCAAGAGATCAATCACAGCAGAATATGAAGTAACGCGGTACATTATTTTTGAAATGGAATGAAAAAAAAAAAGAAATTTTTAATTATATTTAATTAACATATTTCATGAATTAAGTCAATAATATTTATGTATGTTCGTTTTTTATAGGTTGCTATGCTGCAAAAAAAAGTTATAAACAAAGTAAATAAAGGATTTGAATTTACTTCAATTATCAATAATGCCAGTTAGTTGTTTGTACATGTACTTTTTGCCCCTCAACAAACTGCATAACGTCTTGCATTTCAATATAACTACAACGGCCGTTTTGGTAAATCCAGATGTTTCATGTCTGGTAATTAACAATAAAATCTTTTCTCAAGCAATGAACATTCTGTGAATTTTCGTTTTCAATATAAAGACTTTATAAAAATTATTTCTTTATTAATTTCCAAAGCACTTCACCAACTTCTGTCAATTTATAGAATAATAAGAAATACCTATTAGCATAGTTATATGAAAAAACTGAATATTTTTAAACCCCCCTGCGCCATTTTTTTAAACCATAAAGACCAAATCTTATTTCTCCTTTTTTTTTATATTATGCAATAGTTTTGGTTCGTTTTGGTTAGTTAATCACTTGAACTTGATCATATTTATTTTATACAAGATGTATGAGATAAACTCTGCGACTTCTCTACCACACTTACAACGCCTTATATACATTGAACATTGTATTTCTAGTTTGCTTTTAATAAAGTGTAGAATAAAACTAAAAACTAATATAGCTGCGTTTCCTTAGATTGAAATGTTTGTTAATGGAAATATATGCTTTCTTTATTTGAACACTCATTAGAGTCAATTATGCAACAAGTTTTATAAACGAGACTTTCTTTCCATTAGTTTTTGAGTACACTTTAGCAAAACAGCCCCGAAACATTCACTCAGTGCCTTGTCACATGTCCATCAAAACTCACAAACTTCAAAATACCATCAGTGTTAGTGCGCTTTAAGGTGACAATAACCACACGCCTGAGCAGGGCATAAATTCTAGCGATGGAAAAAGGAAATATATTAGTATTTACCTTCCCACTACCTTCTAGTAAATAAGTAAAGTAAAATATTCCTGATGTTTGATCTTGATTTTAAAGGTTTAGTTCAATAGAAGCAAGATCAATTTGTGCCAAAATTTTCAAATACTCAGGCACCATGTAATAACAATATATTAACAGTTAACTAAATCGAATTAATTTAGTAAAAATCTTTTTTATTACGAGTTGAACTTTGACATGACGCACGCCATAAACCATTAACTTAGTCGTCCTCACGCCAAAGAAAATGAATTTTCTCCCACCGGTTCGCACGATTCCCACGTGCGTGTGTTTGTGTGCTACTCCCGACGACAACAATAGTTTAGTTTGCATACGAACACCCACACAGAACACAAAACATCATGTGCGATATCGGCTCCAGCAGGAAATTTGTCGTATTCCTGCTGTTATGTTGTCTCGCGCGGTACGTGAAGTGCGTTCCCCAACTGGACCTGCCCCCGTACCAGTCTAACGCGCAGAATTACCCCAGCCGGCCTAGCTTCACCCCTAATCCTGATTACAGCATAAATCCCAATCCCAACTATAGAACCGACTCGGGTTATCCTAGGGAACCCTCAGGACAACGGCCACAAGACGATAGATTCAACGAGAATGAGATCGTTAAGAGATACGGGGGAGATGTTAGAAGGTTATTGCAGGAATTGGACCTCCAAGCATCTCAGCAGTGCACGAATAATGTGGCTGCGCAGTGGAATTTTGAGACCAACGTGAATCAGGCTACGCAACTTGAAGCAGTAAGTCACTATCAATTGGAAACCGTTTCATAATTGCTAGTATAACAACGGGAACAGAAATTTAATAAATATAACATAAATAAAATTCTTCTAAAAAATCACAACTTAAAAGCAGTACATATTTGTAACACCACGTCACAGAAAACACGTAACACCTCGTGTTAAATCGGTCTTCTTTTTTTTAGTGCTTTGTATTTCTATACTATATACTAAACATATGTTACTAGCTACAAGTATTAAGAAAACAAAACAATAAACGAACAAAAAAATGAAGCCAGAATTTCTAAAGCACAATCGTCTTTAAAGAATTATATTGAATCGAGCTCATGAATATGTTTGCACTTTTTGCAAAATTATATAGTCTTGTATGACCACAAAACGTCAAAACTGTATTATTTGACTTGATACATATAATAAATAGAAGTGGACATATGACAGTGCCCTGCGGGATACCCAAATGAATCGCTCAAAATATTCCTCGCCTACATCTGATGCGATCTATCCTACAAGTAGCTCCGAAACACCTCCAACGCTGCGCCCGCTATGGTGCTCATTAATCCTAGTAGTTTTATAGAAGAAACGAGTATATTTCCTTATTTATTTTTTCTATGCTTTATATATCGATATTGTACAACAATGCGTTCCTTTTTTACAATTCATTAGGAACCTCCTTTTTTATATTTGAACAACTAAATTTATATCAAATTGTCCGAAAACCGTGTAAATGATTTCGCTTGCACATAACTATCTCAGTGAGAGTAAATAAATATAAACATCGATTGTTTAAAAAGAGAAAAACTGTAACAATGCAGCAAGTAATGGCGAGAAGAAAGGTAAGTTCTCATAGCTTTGGGAACTTCCTGCATATTGTATTCGCTCCAACTGTAAACTAGACCAGTGAGCTAACTTACAGGAGATTTGCGGCATTCGATCAAATAATTAATCAACAAATTATTGAACACTCCTCTAGACGAAAATTACATAGTATCTGATGTCGGCGGATGACCACGACATGTCCAGCGAACTGGTGAATCAGTTATTATTAAATAGAACCGTACAGGTACAATTAGATGACAAATATAGTGATTCCGACTAATTGAATCATTTAATTTTACATCGCCGACAACTGCAGAAAAACACCCGCAGCTTGTAGGGTGGAAACAATGCAATTTTAATTGGTTTTGCGCAAGTCTATGGGAACGGCCCTGGTCCAGTCCCGAATGATAAACGTTTGACTGTTTGTAGATGACCAAGGTCATATTAAATTAAAAGTGTTGTTTGTTTTTTAACATAAATACTAATGTAGAATTGTCATAATATGTTTGCTTAGCCTTCTCAACTGGAGTCCGTGTCTTCTTTTTCAGATTCACAATTGAAGGGGCAACGGTAGTCTTTTACAGTATTTATAGACTTCTCAGAAATCTGGAAATGCTGTCGAAATCTGGTCAATTTTGGAGGTTAAGTAAAAGCTTTCGATTTTAATAGTAAAAGTCAATAATTTTTCAATTTTAGCATTAAAATCACACTGGTTTTGGTAATATATAAACGTTTTATTGTAATAAAATTTAAAAGTTTACAAAATTGCTTATACTCATATCATTTAGAGTGCAATAAAATTAATATTTTCTTTGATTGATAGTGAATTTGTTATAATTTTGGTAGAATTGTAATTCAATCTCATATCCAGACCTTATTTAGCCCATAATTCTGAACTAATGGATTTTTAACCATTTCTGTAAAACTCCATTCTTTATATTTAATCTAAATTTATCTTTAATTTAATTCATTGAGTCCGAGGAACTATCCAAAGTCCCTATGAAAGAGGTACTGTAGTTCCTCGAGAGTACAGGGCTCTTCTAGAGGAGGGCTGAAGCATAATGGGGCCATCATAGACCGAAAGGTCTGAATGCAGCGCCCTGGATAGGGACGCACCGCAGATAGAATAGAAAAATAGGAAATAGATTTTTCTCCTCTGGCATTTGCCTACTTATTAGTTTCGGCAATTGATAGGGAGTGTTCTAGTAGCTTTACTACAGACTTATTAATAACGATGTTATCTGCATAAGTGCGTTAAGAATTGTCAATTATATTATTTCAATAGCAATTACAAACATACTTGCACATAGTTGAAATCGAATTGCAAGATGTCCGTACCCAAACAAGTAGGACAACACGGTTGATAAGGCTTATCGGACCTACACAGAATTGCAGGCGTATTTTAACGCAATATAGGTACCTACCTCATTTATTTTACAGTTGCGTTTCCTAATATAAATAAATTAGCCTAAAACTTTCGTTTTTACTTTTGGGTGTTTCGATTTCCTACATTGTTAAAACTCAATTAAATACAATTGTATTAGCAAACTCGTCTGTAATGTGGACGGTGAAAAAACGAACAAGTTCAAGGTATTTTTTATTCGGTGTATTATTAATATAACCTTTGCTATAATCAGTAACCATTGTTAGATAAACCGAAATATTTAATCATGAAATTACATGTGTCGCTTATGATTCTTGGACGTGGGAATGGTGAGATCATTTGGAAATTTTTATTAATTTGAGTTTTGTACAATCCCAAACATCACTTTGTTATACGTAAATAGCATTTCAGTTATACTGGAGTAAAAATATGTACATAACTGTTGCAGTATTTACTTTTTTATTTATTACCCAGTATTTCACAATAAATGCGAAAGACCTACGGGAGCGATTCCTTATTTAAAATAAAGGGTAGGTTGTTAGCTAAACGTTGGGGCAAAAGCCAACCATTAGGCAGATATCGTTTTAAAAATATCTTAAAAACGGACATAGATAGAACAATAAAATATTACGGGAGTATTGTTATTATAAACTTAATATTATTATAAAATTATATAAAAACACACTTTTGCATATATCTTTAAAATGAGTGGAAGGGGAATGTATTAGACTGCTCATATCATGCTTCCTAACTAAATTAAAGGAAAAACTTATGCAATGATAAATGAAAGGTGTAAGTTTTATAAAAAAAAATTGCAAGAGAAGATGGTATGTTGTCCTTTTAATTTAGTTCATAAGAAGGAAAAAAATAGAGGTAGTCAATCCCTTATAATAGTAATACTTTCTTAAAATTTTATTTGCTCTACCTATTTCCCATATAATATTTCTAATTATAATATAAATAAGAGCAATATTTTCCGCCATATTCTTAGGACAATGTTTGGCTTTTTAATTAGGGTTTATTTAACAATCTAACCGTTATTTTATTTTAAACAAGGAATCACCCCCTTAAATTTTTGGTATTTGTTTTGTAACAACCTGTAAGAATTATTTGGTTGTATATGATAATTGTTGGGGCTGCATATACCATAGTTGAAAGGCAGATATAACATAAACCGAAATATTAGAGAGGTGCAGATTCTTCGACGTATAGATGCTGCAAGTGGAAGATTTTAAATATTTTTATCCCAGACTTTAATTTGGCTAGCTCACGCACAAACATCAAATCTGACGTTGGACTTCAAAGCTCTAGAATTTTCTTATTACATCCGTCGATTTTGATATTAACATAAAATCAATTACGGCGGACACTTTTGGTATCGTTTTTTTAAAATTTCAATTAAAAAATAACAATGAGACGATGTATTAAAACAATAATCCATCAATGGCGTACACGCCCATAAATAAAAGCTTCCCAGAAACGTTGCCCAATGGACGCAACGAAGGTGCAGCATCTGTGTGATTTTATTATGCAAATGGTTTTCTATATCATATTTTCTGTGTTTTTGTTGTTGTTTTGATGATTCGGATTCCCGGGAATTCTTTGACGGTAAAATAACAGTTTGCGTAATGAATTAATTAAACAATAATATAAGCAAACAGTGATATATTGGTGGAAGGTATAAACTAATCTATTAATTTATGGGCAAGTAAGCAATTTATTAACATTCGCATAAACGCTAGCTATTTAGCTGACAGGTCACTATATCGGACACACCAAATTCTTTCTTATATTCCTAAGTTTTCAAAGTTAACACAAAGTTGTTTAACCGATATTCAAACTGAATATATAAAGTTCACCCGCGTCAGTATCGTCGTTCATCTATGCCTAACAATATGATTCATAAAATGAGTTTGTAAGATGTTGCGAAAATCATGAATTTCAGATCTTAAAATGGGGCACATCCATTTTTTATAATCGAATTCTTTTCCAATGCTTCTAAATTTGCTGTCGTCAGGTACGCTGGACATATTAGCTTTTGTCACAATTTCTTTTACCGTTGCATCCATTTGATATACCTAAGTTTATGAGTTCTCAGAAAAATGATACCAAACTAATTTTGGCAAACAATTTTATACACCACTAGCCCCACCACTGGATTTTCACGGATTTTTAAAATTTTATTTTTAATTCGTTGAAAATTTTACGGAGGGTCTATAAAAAAAAAATAATTACATTATTAGTTAATTAAATTGCAAGTTTGTAGTGTAACAATCAGATTCGTGTTAAGATAGCATCTTTTCCGCAGTTAGCTTTAGACACTTAATAGAAGAGCGCAATCTTCAGGAAATAACAACGAAAGGAAAGTTTACATGATAAATGACAATAAATAAATATCGAAGTTACATCCACAATTATCAATTCGCCTCCAAATGAGGTCAAGCTTTTTAGTTGATAATTGTTAATTTTAAATTAATTTTCGTTATAAACCCAGGCTATATTTATTTTAAAACCAAATCAAATTGTTCGTGACTTTTTACTGCAGCTTTCTGACGTAAACAGTCAAAAATACGAAATCATTCTCGCATGTGTTGATGCGGTTCGCAGAATGAAGTGTAATAATATTTTGCAAACTAAAATGCGCGAGGAAAAAAGCTTTTGCATTAGTACAATTCATTGATATAAAATTTTTAATATTCCGCCATGCACATCTCGAATAAAAAAAGCATAATTGCATCGGCAAGGTCAAAAATCAAGTACACGGTCTCAAAATAGTATGACGAACTGTTAAACTTGCCTTTTTATGGGGCAGGTGCAGAGCAATAAAATCCATTACAACTCAAGAAAACAAACTACATAATTCTATGTAATCACCGATATGAAGGTTCAAGTACGATGATTGATATTAAATTAATAATAGCCATGTTATTACCTACATGCACCGAACTACATTGTTGTCGGACCTTGATTTTTGGATTAATTTGCTGCTTTGAACACACAACAGATTTTGCAAATATTCTCGTGGCCCAACCAAAGAGCTTGATTTTATTGTAGTTATTTATTATTTCGAAACTAAATCCATTCTAATGCTAACCAAATGCATTGGTTTCAGTTAAACTCCCAACAGGCTTATTCAGAGTTCCAACACGAGCTATGGGACTTGCTGAATCACGTAGGTAACGTCAATGGTATCCCGGATCCCACCACCTACAGACAGATCCGTTATTATTCTGTAGTCGGACCGGCAGCGTTATCTCCAGATCAGTTGGATAGGGTTGGTTAGATACTCAAATTAGTTACATAGGCTATTTTCGTCTTCTTTCAGTACAACAGATTGATCAATGACATGCTCGCTATCTACAACACTGCTTCCATTTGCGAATACAAAGATCATTTCCAATGCGGCTTAAAACTCAAGCCCGATCTCACCAAGATCATGGCCAAAAGTAGGAATTGGGATGAGCTCCAACACGTTTGGTCAGAATGGAGGCGCAGTACTGGAATGAAGATTAAGGAAACCTACGAACAAATGGTTCACGTATCGGATACTGCAGCTAAACTAAACAGTAAGAAATTGTTTAATGAGAGTATTCCTAAATTCACTCCAAATTTTGTAAACTCTTTAATAGCAGCAATTATAATTATGTAAATATCTGACAAAGATATAATTGCCATTTTGTTAATTTAAGGACGATATAATATTACACAAAAAGTAAACATTAAATTCAAATAAATAGCGTTAAAAAGCAAAATCAATTGATCTCAAAATAAATATAATACAAGTTATATAATGTTTGGCAAAATAACTTGGGCGAGAGACAAATTCTTTGTGTGAAAATATTGGGACATTTGTTATGTCATTTTTTCATTTTCGAGCTCGGTTTCTACAGGAATTTTTTTTTGGTATTGTCAATTAAAATAAACAAAATTATAATAAATAATAAATAATGTACGTATGGTACTCAAAAAACTACAATTGGTTTCAGAAGTAACCAAGAGAGACAAAATTAGGGAAATTAAGAAGTTTATTAAACGAAATAAATTTTGAGACCGTAGGCGTATATCTAACAAAATTGGGGCTAATAGGATAGAGAATAACCCTTTTTTCTGTCGTTTGTATTTACAAAATTTACATGAAAAGTGTGGCCTAACCAATTTTACGTACAATTTTTTTTAACAAAATATGCGAAAAACTGTATTACGTAAACAGTTCGAATTTGAAAGTTTCAATATTTTCATAAACAGGTTTGTACTTATTTTAGACCTACATTGTATGTTATACTTTAAATATTAATAATAACAAATGATATGTGTGACTGGAACCACATATTTCAAGGTGGTTGTTACACTAAATTTTTATATGAACAATCCTCAAATAACTTTTTCCACTTTTATTTATGAATTGATATTTAAAGATATAATATAGAAAATAAATATGTAATTGTTTCAATTGTAGATTTTACGAGCACGGCAGACTATTGGAGCTTTCCGTTCGAATCTCCTGCTCTTGAATTGGACTTGCAAGATGCCTGGGAAGACATTAAACCCTTGTACGAACTGTTGCACGCCTACGTTCGCCGAAAATTACGTGAATACTACGGCCCGGAGAGGATAAACAGACAAGCGCCATTACCTTCACACATTTTGGGAAACATGTGGGCGCAGTCTTGGGGCAACATCTATGATATTACCCAGCCGTACCCGGGTGAGCACTTCTTGGATGTGACGCCGGAAATGATCAAACAGGTATACCATGACTAGAAATATTGTTTTACAACCGACCCCGGAATGAACTTTGCCTACTATTTATTATTCCAAAATCGCAACCCCTTATATAACACCCTGCCGAGCAGACCCTTACCCGTAACCATTCCAGGAACGTCCTAGGAATTTATCTACCTACACTAAGAAGCGGGATATAAGTATGTTTACATATACATGAAAAAATAGTAGAAGGTAACAATAAAGTGTCAGTCACTTAAAAAGTCGTCTCTGTCGCTAGTGTCGTCACCTAGTTTAATGATCAACTCCGCTACTAATCGATAAATATTTTCTTTTTTGATTACTACTTTTTTTTTCAAAGAAACTTCCACAGGCTACTGTAATACTTTTTACAAAACTTCTGGATTCCCCCTTGCTGACTCGAACTTGCTGATGTTTCGCCAATAATCCTGTTGGCTTCTTCAGAGCTTGACTGAAACTGACTCGCATTTTCCTCTGTACCTGCTTTTATATTGTTTGAGGGGGGCGGAGCTAAGTTAGGGGCATAAACACCATCTCGGATAAATGATTCCAATATTTATGACAGGTAGAGACCTGAGTCGCGGTTAAGATTGTTAGTTTGTTTATAGATTTCTATAGACTCTCGGATTTTTCGTTGGTAGAACTGATTACATGCAAGGGTTTTACTTTTATCGAATAAAATTTTATGTCCGGTTTCATGAGTTTGTTTGGCAACAACTGATGAGTTTATTTGTCTTAGTCGCTCTTTCCTGTTCTTTGAGTCTAGTTGATATTTTTTGTCCGGTCTCTCCAATGTATTCTTTGCCGCATATGCATGGAATGCTGTAAACTCCTGGCATCTCAAATGGAATTTTGTCTTTGAGAGATTTTTGGACAAGTGGTAAATCTAGTTTTGACGTTATACTTCTTTAAAACTTTTGATATGTGGTCAGTGATGTTTTGAATATAAGGAAGGACCACAGTGGCAAGTGTAGGAATGCTTTCGGCCTCATTGCTATTGAAAGGTCGTGGTGAAGTGTATCTTTTGATGGAACGCCTAATATCTTTAATGTAGAAATTATTAGAGAGAAGAGCAGAGGTAAGGTATTTTAATTCTGGGTTCAGTGACTCGGGCTGAGATAGTTTTACGGCTCTGTAAGCAAGAGAGTTAATAACCGATGATTTTTGGGCCATGCATGATCCGTCTGTATGCGTAGGATTTCTGTAAACACAATGACCCAATGTTAGGTCTGATTTTCTATTGATAAGAATATCTAAAAATGGAAGGTTTTTATTAGTTTCAAACTCAATGGTAAAACGTATGTTAGGGTGTATATAGTTTAAATGTCTAAGAAAATCTACAAGGATTTCTTGACCATGAGGCCAAATAACAAAAGTATCGTCGACGCAGCGTTTCCATAATTTTGGTATTAGAAGAAAGGTGTGGAGAGCTTTCTTCTCAAAGGCTTCCCTAGATATATTCGCGATGACTGGTGATAGTGGAGAACCCATAGATGTTCCCGACGTTTGTTTAAAAATTTGACCGTTATAAGAAAAATATGTTCCCAACAAGCATTTTTCAATTAAAGTGAGAAGGTTTGGTTCCAGATTCTCGGACTTTGATATATCTGAAATGATGTCGAGAGTTTCAGGAATAGGAACTTTGGTAAAGAGGGAGTCGAACCTAACTAGAATATCTTGTGTATCTAATGTAATGCTTTTTAATTGTTCAATGAAGTGGAAATAAGTACGAAACTGTCAGTTTTCCCTGTAAGGGGTTTTAATAAGGAAACTAGATATTTTGCTGGAGAATATGTTGGAGAACCAATGGTGCTGACAATAGGTCGAAGGCGTAATACGGGTTTGAATAAGGAAGCCAGATATTTTGCTAGAGAATATGTTGGAGAACTCATTTAGCTCCGCCCCCCTCAAACAATATATAAGCAGGTACAGAGTAAAATACGAGTCAGTTTCAGTCAAGCTATGAAGAAGCCAACAGGATGATTGGCGAAACGTGAGCATGTTCGACTCAGCAAAAACCGAAGCAGGAGGAATCCAGAAGTTTTGTAAAAAGTATCTTTTATTACTGGATTTTCAGTTAGACCAGCTTTGTACTGATATTTTAGCTACCTCTTGTCGAATTAAGTCTTTATTAAAATGTTTTATTTTTAATAATTCCATAAGTTGTTTTTTAATGTGTCAAAATACAGAAATCTTTAATTTCTTCTTTATTTGAAGAAGTATTTGGAATTTTTCTAATTTGGACTGAATGATACGAGGCATTATCCAACACAATAGCAGTATTTGGCGATAGTTTTGGCAGTTTATTTTCAAACCAGCCCTCAAAGATATCCGAGGTCCTTTTTTCATGGTAATCCACACTTGAATCTTTGACGTTTTTGAAAGACAAAACTAAGGCATCTTCCACCCAGCGATTTTTGGACCCAGCATGAAGAATTATTATGCGTTTTCCATGTGAATGCGGCACATCTAGTACACACTTGTTATTGTTATCACACCATCCTTTATTTACTCTGTCGTGAGTGTCGAACCATGTTTCGCCTAAATACGCTATTGGCCTATTTTACTCTCGAAATTTTTTAAATGAATTTAATTCCATTAGCAGTTGACGTTTATTAATTGTTTGGAACTGAAAATCCATTTTCTCCAAAAAAGTACGTAACGACTCTTTGGTAGAACTAATGTTGAAGTCTGTCGGTGCTTTTTTATGCAGTTCTTCTAGGGTTGAAACACTATTCATAATATATGCCTAATTTGTTGTTGTGTTGCTCTTTAAAAACTCGCGAAGTACCAGCATGTGCTCTCACTTTTCTATCGACTATCCCTTTTGCAACAATTTTTATTATAGTTGACTTTAGGTTCGACTACCATTTCCACTTCGTCTTCAAATTCTGCGTTGTTTTCCACGTCTTCTTCTATCAGAGGACCATCTGCTACATTCCACGGTCTCCACATTTTAAAGTGTAAAAAACAGGAACCTTCAAAAAATGTTTAGTTGTAGAATTCTAATAAATATTTATCTGTATTCTCATGACTTGCGTTTATCTACTGCGACTGTGGTTGTTTACAAATCGGAGAAATATATAGAAAACACAAAAATACAAGAAGAAGAAGAAGAAGGTTGTTACTCAACAGGCCCACAAGACAAAAATGATTAATTTCAAATTTACCTGTAAGATAAATAGAGTGTAGGTACTTACCTTTACCCGTTGAACTATACAGTGAAAACAGCATCGCAGGGTCAAAGCTCGAGAATCGGGTATATAAATACGTACTTACTGAAAATACCCCGAAATTCCATTTGCGTTTCAAATAAAAATTTCAAGTTTCTACAAATATTCGTTACTGTCCATCTCAGGCAATAATGCAGAATAAACATCTGTTCGATCTGTTTTCCCACGAAGGTCTGCGGTTAAGATACTGTAAAATTCTTAAAACGTCAACGCAATAAAGGCACAATATTTTTTGGTTGTACAATAAGCAGTTGCAAGAAGGACCTTGGCTAAGCTTCAAGTTTACCTAATCGTTTTAGGGTTACACTCCGATTGACATGTTTAGATTGGCCGAAGATTTTTTCGTCTCCATGAATATGAGCGCCATGTCGTTGGATTTCTGGCAAGGGTCGATTTTTGAAGAGCCACCCGAAAGAGTGGTTTTGTGTCAGCCATCGGCTTGGGATTTTTGCAATCGGAGAGATTTCAGGTAATTTGGTACCTGTTCACCCAGTTTTTATGCATAACATAAACACATGTTGTGTTGCAAATTCACTCAGCTTAGTTATGTCATTTATTGTGAGGTTCTATTGAAACGATCATAGCAAATAGATGCTTAGGAAAAGACATCTCCTGTAGTTGATTTCAAAATACCTACAATAAAAGAAATAAACACAAATCAAAGGAAATGTTTGCAGTTGCTACCGTTTTTACCAAATCTGAAACTAAATAATAAAGAATAAATTTGTGAAAATGAATGCCAATACATAAAAACTGTCTCAGATTTCTGCTATTTCAGTTTTATATGTTTATATGATTCTTTAGCATATAATTCAAAACATCAGTGATGGTTCTACGGCCGAATTTAAAATTCATTTGTTGACAAAATGGCGGTACCGCTAAAGACCCTAAACCCAAAATTATTTTCACACAAATTGGCCTTTTAAAAACGTTAATTTAACTATTTTATTACTGCTGGGTTGTCTCGGAAAGAAACTAAATAAAAAATATTTTGATTTGTTTCTTTTTCGATCATTTTAAATGACAATTATAAAAAAACGCCTGTGTAACTTTTTATAGAACGAGAAGCCGTGAATTTAAAACAGTTACAGATCAATGGATTTTGTGCTACTAGTGTATTTTAAGGTTCATTTTAACCACGGTCAAAAACACCTTCTAATAGTTTTTGTTGTTTACCGATAGGTTGTGTGCCATGTGAATGAATAGCTTGAGCTGCATGTTGGTCTGTTTAGGATTTCTGTCATCTGAGTCACCTAAGATTTGGGTTCTTTTTGTTTTTATACGAATGAAAAGTATCGAATTTTGAACAATCAAATAATAAGGAGCCAGAATTGTATTAAATACTGTAGCAGTGAGCACTTCTTAGTTTGTTTTTACGTTTGTTCTGAATATAAGAATTATTTAAAATCGCGACTAAAGCAAGGATTACTTTTTAATTAAATCGATTGACTATTTATAAATATTATTATTACGTTAATTCTGTAAGAACAAGAAACCCCAATTGATCTTGAATTATATTAAAATTTGCTGCCCCAAGACCTTAAAAATCACCTGCGTCTCGAATTTGAGAATTAAAAAAAAAGAATTGTATCAATTTTTAACATATTTTTAGAAAACAAGGCATACATAAATAACTCAAGAGTAAAAAAAGTTGTATTTTTATTTACTTATTCAAAATAAAAAATTCAACATCTCTTTGGCAATAACATTTGATAAATATCTACATAAATATGAGCGATCAGGTATCTAATGAATATAACAAAGTTTCGTCAATATCTTCATTAGAAACCATCCTATTACTTTAATCATTGATGTTAATGTAATTCAAATTCAAAACACTTCAAATTAACGTAAAACGGGGTCCATAAAACAGAAGCGGTGCCACGAAGAAATTTGAATAAAGACTGATAACCGACAATGGTGATATTTCAACCAAACCCAACCACCAAGTTTGTCGATCAATTGTTTCTATTAATTTCAAAAAATCAATTCCCAATAAACAGTCTAATTGAATTCGTTGATAAAATAGTTTAAACCTCTTTTGATTCGAGGTTGGAACGAACGTATTTGGGTAAAGAATTTAGCTTGGAGGATTTATTACCGCGCTTTCGAACGATCTCGCTTTTAACTGGACACACAAGCCGAGAGTGAAACCATCAATACGGACGTAATCTAAGTAAAAGGAAATAGGTATCTTTTATTATAAATAGCAGCACATGTTCCGCGGAATAATAATGCGCAATTACAACACGAAGGATAATTATTACCGGACATTGGCGTAACACAATTATCTCTAGGTAAATAGGAACCGAAAGACACAACGGCACGGGTAACTATCGATTACGTAAAATTTTGAGAACTAACGGCGCAGAAAGTAAAGAAACACCAGTAAAACTAAATAGGCAAACGTAGAAATCAAATGTCATATAGTTTTGTAATAAATCACCTCGTGCAGAAGATGGCTTTTTGATTCTTTTTTTAATCCATTGTTCTATAGACTTAGATGATTTGTTTTATTTGTAAATATGTTTTTCATTCATTCATTCATCAATTTCATATTTTTATACTTTGATTTTTTTATCAATGTTTAATAGTTGCTATGAAAATGAGATGCAAATAAAATATAAATGGCGATAAAAGCTATCTTAACAATTTTTAATTTTCGCACACTGCGTAAGTTATCAAGAAAGATGTTGTAGGCGTTTTTGTCTTGCCTCATGTTACATATCTTTGCAAAATTTTAGAGCTTATTGTTGCAATTGTTGTGAAAAAACTATTGATTAGGAATGTCAGAAAAACTTGTACGGCACTGAATGCATTAAATTACCATAATAGTCGAGTTTCAAAATTCAGGAAGTGAAGCATTTTACAGTGCCGTTAAGCTTTTCTCATTGGAAGAGAAAGTTTGAAACCATATTTATGTTTTTCAGGATCAAAATGTGTGCCCGTGTGAATATGAAAGATCTTATAACTGCGCACCACGAAATGGCCCACATCCACTACTTTATGGGATATAAGAATCAGCCTAAGGTTTTCAGAGACGGTGCCAATCCTGGTGAGTATTCTCGAGCACCATCACATTCAAGTGGGTAAAAAAGAGAATTCGGGGAAACATTGTAAAGTAAGAACAGTTGAAATAAAGCAATTAATTATTTTCGCCTAATTTTCTTATTATTCATATTCAATCAAAAGTGAGAGACTGTTGACGGGAAAAATGAAAATCACATTTACATTATAATGTAAGACAAAAACCAATTTATTTAATTTAAAAGTTTTATTAAAATTGCCAATTTACTGTTGGTCTTAGTTTGAAGATCGATAAATCATAATAGATGGAACGGAATGTAACAGGGTTATTACAGCAGGAAAGATGCGTGATGTTCGACCATTTTAAAATAAATTGCATAATCTGTTACGCATAACTTGTTTACTGTTCATCCTGGAGGTGTATCCATGATATAAGAAGCTTTGTAGTGTATCGACAGCAAAATGTGAAAGTATTATTTTTAAAAGCATAAAATATCAGATACCACAAGGGCAAGCGATTTCCATTTTAATGTTCGTTGTCTAATCGACTGTTGAAGTCTCTAAATTACTTAAGTGTTTTCTGTTCGTTGTGTTAATTTTCACCACAAACAACAATAAACAGATCAACTTTAGAGCTACGTTATTTTTTACAGCGTTCCACGAAGCTATAGGAGAAGCTATAAGTCTATCAGTGGGCACTCCAACCCATTTGCAAGCGTTGGGCCTCCTACAGACGTCCATCGAGGACTCTGCCGTGGACATTAACTTCCTTTACTCCATGGCTTTGGAGAAAGTCGTTTTCCTACCATTCGCCTACGTAATGGACAAATGGAGGTACGACGTATTTAGTGGAAAGATTGGAAAGGAAGAGTACAATTGCCACTGGCACTTACTCAGGTAATTTTGTGGGGGCTTTGATTATTTTTATTTTATTTGGACGTGTTTCTTGGATATAGAGAAGAGTACCAGGGAATCAAGCCGCCAGTACTCCGCTCCGAAAGAGATTTCGACCCAGGTTCAAAATATCACATCCCAGCTAATATTCCATATTTACGGTAAGTCGAAACTTAAACAAACAAAACCGCAGTAGAAAAAATATTTTAATGACTAACAAAAACATCACAATACAAAAATATAAATAATACTGATAAAATTAAGTGAGATGAGGATCTAATCTAATCACTTATGGTAGTCATGTCCTTCGCCGTAACCGCCGGCATATTCATGTCCACCCCCGTATCCGCCTCCGTATTCCTCACCTCCCCCAAAGTGGTGGTGCTCTTTGATCGGTACTGCTATAGGTACTTTTACTGGTACATGTACCGGTTTCTCTATTTCTACTGGAACTTTCTTTTCTATTTCGTAAGGCACTGGGTTGAAAATGGGAACCTTTACGGGATATGGTACCGGTTTTTCGACAGGTACCGGAATGTTTTTCTCAACCGGATATGGTGCAGGTACTGGTACTTTAACTGGATAGGGTTGTGGTTTTTCTACTGGGTAAGGTACCGGGCGGTCTACCGGAACTTTTACGGGGACAGGTACTGGTTTGAAAACGGGATAGGGTATTTTCTTTTCAACGTGTACAGGTACTGGCTTTGGAATGTGTACTGGGTACGGTACATCTACGTGCACCTTTACGGGGTAAGGAACAATTTTTTCTACTGGATACGGTTTTGGAACGTGTACAGGTACTTTTACTGGATAGGGTACTTCCTTTTCTACGGGATAGGGCGCCGGAACTAGTACTTTATAGGGTACGTGTACCACTTTCTCTACCGGATAGGGTTGCGGAACTAAAACTTTTACCGGGTACGGTTTGTCAACGTGGACTTTGACAGGAACATGTTCCAATTTTTCGACTGGGTAGGGTTTGTGGATGGGAACCGGCACCTTAACGGGTACTTTGACCGGATACGGGACATGTTTCTCAACTGGGTAGGGATGAGGAACCGGCACCTTCACGGGATATGGAACTTTCTTCTCTACGGGTACCGGTACTTCCTTGGTGACCGGGTATGGCTGCGGTACCTTCTTAATCACCGTTACGGTTTTCTCGTGATGCTCGCCGAGGTCGAAATGACCGCCTCCGTAATCGTCAGCACCACCCCCACCCCCATAATCGCCTCCGCCGCCGCTAAACCCGTCGCCGCCGCCGTATCCAAGCTCCAATCCTCTTTTGTCCTGTTTCTTCTCAACTGAGGAGGAATCTGCAGATTTGTCGTCGGCGGCTTTTGAATCGGATTTTTCTTCAGCGCTCGCCAGCAGCAGTAGCGTGCATAGCACCGAAGCACCCTAAAAAAACCATTCCAATCGGTGACGTAGTAGATATGTACCTCACATGGTTCGTGAAAACGTTGGGATAAATGATGTACGATTGAAGTGCATTTTCACAAATAAAAACTATTTGATGCAAAAGTTTTGTGGGCGTTATGAACTGGAGACATCGCATTTACATTCTTACTTGGCAAAAATATTGATGTATTTAAAATTGAAATTTCTTCACTCATGTTTATCATCTTTAAGATATTCTGTATAGACTGGAGTGTTTAATATACTAATGTCTGAAAAAGAAAGGTATTGCATACTATACTTTTTCTCTGAAGTTTTTGAATACATTTTTGCAAACCCAGAAATACAATGATTGAGTAACTTGCGGCTGCGCGAAGGGTCTCATTGTTGCTTACAGTTCGGTATTTTAAAATAATTTTATAAAAAAAAATAAAAGAAAACAAATGTTCAGCCTCATATTATGTTCTCATTAAAATATAGTTGTCTAATAAATGTACAAGAAAAAAAAAGTTCTGCATGACTATGCATATCAAGTTGAAAAATTTGAAAATTTTGAAACACAAAAAAAGAAATAAATGTTTTTTTTTTGACGAACAAACTATGTCAAAATTGCAATGGAAAGTAAAAATGTCTATCGAAATTGTTAATATTTTCCAAATAATTATGCAAAAATTCGGTAGCTTTTTAAAACATTACTTAGTTAAAAAAAACTATTTTTTCTGAATAATTGAATCAATCCTAAAACAATAGTATCAATTTTCTCGTTTATTTGTTAAGCGGACCACGAATCGATTTCATTTTCCGACTGCTCATCGCGTTCTGGTTTCCGCATCGCGAGTTTTTACAACACGCGGGCGGCAAAAAAAACTGAAAATCACCCGGAAAAGAAACTCGACACAAGCACTTTGTTCCCCATGCGCCGTCAGTTAGCCATTTTCACTTTCGTCAACACTCGCGGAAGCAAATATAGTGCGGGCGCGCTTACCATCTGCCACCGTCGCTTACTTACCAGGATCTTCATCGCGGTTACGTGTACAAACGAATGACGGCCCAAAGCCCGAATGAATGCGAATCAAGATGGACTCCCTATATTTATAGGGGGAGGTCGGTGCTTTCGCCTGTCAAACCTCCCACCTGGACTCGGTCCATGTAAACCCCCTGTATACGCACCTCTTTGAAAGCGTTTCCATGTCGAGTTCAACATTCGTATTACGGGGTGTTTGGAAAGTGATTCGCTAACCATCATTTTTTAAAAGGTTGCGGTTCATCAGGATAATTACTATTGCTTTTGATGTAACCGGAGAGTTAAGTTACTTACCCAGCAAAGAGCGATGCACGATTTAACTACGTGTTATTGGCTAACGATATGACTGTGATGGAAGATCTGTATCAAGGTATGTTGGTCTTGTTGTGCATAACAATGGCATCTAGTAGGCAGGTTTTTTTGAAATATTCCGTCATTCATGCTTTAGAGGTTTGTTTGTAGATATTTATCAGCTTACACACAATTTCAATAAAATTTTGGTACAAGGAAAAATATAACAAAAATAATAAATATAATAAAAATTATAAATAATAAAATTTAAAATAAAATGTAGCCGTGGCAAACATAGTAAACAAGGACAGAACACATTCCAAACAATATTTATAACACTTATTCCAGCAATTCAATAATACATTCAAAAATTCTATCAAATGCACAATGAATTTCAAAAATTTGTACGTGTATTTGTTCAGTCTAAAGCAACTTAACTTACTAGTTATGGCTAAGTTCGTATTAATATTTAAATTAAATATTGAAATTAGAATTACCAAATTAAGTTAATTTTATTCATGAGTCAATAAAAATCTTAATCTTTGTATATTCTCTATTTTGCCAATATATTGGAGGGCGTTATATATTCCATACATTCTAGATATTTAGTATCTTTGTCTGTGATTAACAAAGTAGAATGATACTTTCAAATTGAACTTAAAGCATTGAGAACTTCAATTCTTATCAAAATTATTCATAGTATCATCATGTTTATCAATTTTTATCGACTCCAAAATAATTTTTTTCTGTTAATCTATAAAAAAAATCTATAAAGAATTCATTTCGGACATTTCCGGTACTTTAGTCACAGACTTGAGAGCGATTTTAACGTTTGTCAATTCCGATGTTGACGTTCCACATTCTTCAATATATTTATTCGTGCTATTTTGCAAAAATATATCCAAAAAATTATAGTCGCAGAAAAATTATAATATGAAACATGTTGATACACACGCTTCGTTGCTCTCCTGTAGTACCAAATCAAGCTCGTGACTAAAATGTCGTTTACCTAATTTGTTGTATAAATATAGTATTAAAAAATCCTTTCTAAATTTAATATTTAATTAAAATTTAGAAGTGTATTATATATTCTCCGAATTTGGCATATGGCTATGTTGCAGTCATTTAACTCACAAAATCGTCACAAAACTACCCTTACTTATAGCCAGTTTAGATGAAATTCATGATGAAGCTCCGTATGATGTAATTGTCTTAAAGAGAAAAAAGTTATTTAAAAAAAAATCCAAGAAGCAAGACTCATTCGGACCCAGCATGTCTATAGGAGCTTTTTATGTTACTTTTGGCTCCACTCCCCATTAGCTTCCACAGTCTCTCATTCGATCCTCATTAGAGAGACTAAATCTAATCTCATCTCCGTGAAGTGAGTCAGCTTTTTAGTAAATACAACCGCCACTTCGTTGCTATATGTACATAATACAACATAAATATTAATTGTAAAGCTGTTTTTAAGTTAGTATTTTCTGATAGCTAATCTTCAAATAAACCATAAAGAGCGTGTTTAAATTTTTAGAATATTAAAAACGACTTCAAGTGGGTGCCAGTTTTGCTCAAAACAAGACACAACTATAAGACCTTATTACAGACATTTCATTTCTTGAATTTCTTCAATGAAGCAAACTTCGAACTGAGATTTTTATAACGGGACTTTCGCTTAATTCTTCATGAAATCAAAAATCGTCCGAATTTTGCCTTGTTCTTATTGGTTAATGTTGACGACATCTTTACATAATTTTTAAATGTAACATTTATTTATTAGGTTTTGCAAAACTGTTAGTAGTAAGTAGTAGTAAGTAGTAAACAATAAAGTAGTAGTAAAGTAGTAAACAATAAATAAAAAAAAAGTTTTAACATCTTGTATTTAAAATTCGCGATTCGAAATTGGGCAATTCACACTATGCTATAATTTTGCCTCGGAGATCGTCTCATCTAGTTTAAGATTTTTTTTTTAAATATACGTAGGTTTAGCGGTTGCATAACACGAAGTTTTTCAGTTCGTTTTCGCAGCCAGATTGGAACGAAAATACAAAGAATTCGTTAATGGTATTGAGCAAACGCCAATTAAATGCGGCGCACTTTCGATTTTTTTACGGTACTTCCTACATATATGAAACTTAATAATATAATTGTGCGTTTGATGAAATACGCGCTTTTTACACTGCTCGTCATAACCTTTCACCGTCTGATTTATAATATCTTAATCTAATTCTGCCCAACTTTTGGATCTTGTTATTGCATTTTAGATGATGCCTGGAAAAAATAAAAATGCCTTTTTTGATATGTAAAGTATTTACTAATATTTTATTTAATTATAGAAATGCTTAGTGAAGGCAAATAAAAAATAATTGCAACCGCCGGCGATTAACAAAGACAAGAAGGGATACTCTGTTTTCGAGACGACCTAGTCTTTTTTTATCTGTCGGATACGCATTACAGCTTTTAATAGTTGTCTTTAACTCCCAAGAAGTGGGGAATAATAGGGAGGGTTGCGAGTGCCGGCTAAAAATGACTTTTAAATTTTGTAGAAGAAATAAATAATTTTTTTCGTAGCTAGAAATACGTATTCAAGAAAATTACTACAGCAACGCAGTTTTTTATTCATAAGAAGCGTGTGTGAAAACCAAAAAAATCAGAACTAGATGCAGCTTGACGTATGGAATTTCCAAAATCCACCGCAAAACGTCTAGTAGTTCCAGGGTATCACTCCAAATTGAATTGAACAAGTTTAAAAAATGTCGATAATTTTGTGAAACAACGTCAATGCTTTACGCTTAGTACGAGCTTTTGCGGGTACGCAGTAACTAAGACACTTTTGTGAAATTTTCGGCAGAGGTCGATTAATGTAGAAACTTCGGGTCGATATTTCCTTTCAAAGTCTCGGATAAAACATTTTTATACGGAATGATTATGAAGTGAACTGAACGTTCAAGTCGATACATTTTGCATTTCGGAAAAAATTATTTTTAAAATTAATTCACAATTTATAAAAATGAATTTTTGTATTTAGTGGAATTACTTGGTTTTTCGGAATGCGCAATATGCAAATTGTTGACATACTCGATTGAAAGTATTCCGAATATTTAACGAAGTAGATAATTTTTTCCTGACCTAGTTTAGCGCAATTTGTTTCACACCTATAAGTTGTATTCAAAACAATCACAATTCAAATAAAACACTTGGTCTGGAAATAAAGCGCCTGACAAATAACAAAAATATATTTTATATCGAATTATAATAATAATGTAATTCTGCACCTACGAAACAAAACATAGAATACAAAATTACTGTAACTAGACAGTACAAACTTTACATAAATGGCTATTTACAATTATTAGTGCAATTTATCACCTGAAGAGCTATATAGGGCCGTGAATTTGCAAATATTTTGCACAAGTACGAGCGGGTTCGGCAAAGAGACTAAATAATATTCATCTGAACGCATCTCTTGCAAATACAATAATTTACCATTTGGTCCAATCTTTCCAATCTATCTGTCTTTCATTCTGATAGCAGTCTGGGATGGCGATTTTTGCTTCTTCGTGTTGAATTGCGATCGGTACCACTTCCTTGATCGGCAACGCTATCTTCTTTTCCACCGGGTATGGGACGTGCTTAATCACTTCGTATGGCACTGGCCGTTCTACCTTAACTTGCACCGGATATGGCACTTCTTTAATGACTGGTACTTTGATTTCTTTTACTACCGGGTAAGGTTGCGGTACTAGTACTTTAACGGGCACTTTGACCTCTTTATGAACATGGTATGGCACTGGCCTATCAACAAACACTTTTACAGGATAGGGCTTCTCTACAGTTACTGGTACTTTGACTTCTTTTTCCACTTTTACTGGGTATGGTTTGATAACCTGCACCGGTACCGGCCTTTCTACGGGAACTTTGACGGGCACACGGACGATTTTTTCAACTGCGTACGGCTTAGGTACCTGTACCGGTACTTTAACAGGAATTTTGACCTCCTTGACTACCGGATACGGTTGTGGTACGTGTACAGGATAAGGCACTTTGACTTCCTTGTAGACAGGATAGGGTTGAGGCTGCAAAACTTTGACGGGCACCGGGTGCTCTACTGGTACTTTCACGGGAACTTTAACAATTTTCTCAACTGGTACTGGCTGGTGTACCGGAACTGGAACTTTAACGGGAACTTTGACCGGAACTTTTATTTCTTTTACAACTGGGTAGGGCTGGGGAACATGAACCTCCACGGGATAAGGCACCTGTTTGATCACGGGTACCGGTATCTCTTTTACAACCGGTACTGGGTGACCTACCGTCTTAACAAGGGTGACTACCCTTTCCTTGATGGGTATTGGTTCCACAGCAACTGTAATGATTTCGCCCTAGTTACGGAAACGTTATTTACATGGAAAACCCTTACTATGAGCGGAATGGAGATTGCAATCTGGAATTCCGATATGGGACAAGCCTATGTGAGAGTGCAGCAAACCGCCGCCATAATCGTACCCGTGAAACCCTGGCAGACTTCTTTTTTTGTTTTTGGAGGTGCCATCTTGGTCCGCTTTGATTGAGTAGAGGAAGACGGTGCAAACGAGAACAGTCTAAAAGACACAATTTAGTGTACAAGTTTTTCATAATTTAAATTGAAATTTAATTTTCAGAAAAATTGATTTCACCAAATCTAAAATGACAACATGTTTTAAAGTACAACGATTTCAATGTTCCGCAGAGTTTGGAGTCAGTTATTTTGATTTGATGTCTGGTAACAATTAACATGCCTCGGACAGTTTCAAATTATTATAGCACGTTTTAATATCCGATTAATTTGACCTATATAAAGAGTATTTCACAGAAGACTGTTAATACATTGCAACGAAAATAATTGATAATTTTGTTTCTTGTTAAACACTGAGTTACGTTTAAAAGCCATTTTGGTACACTGCATGCATATTGTCCTCATATAGCACTCCTGCGGCACTAGAAACAAAAAATAAACGCAGAAATCCCATACGCACATTTCCAAACCGATCGACTTACTTTGAGAAACATTTAATTGAATTCGCTTTACGAACTAAACCGAGCAGAATATGGCATTTTCGAACTGTGGGGGTTATATATAGACAAATCCAGTTCCTACCACATTTAAGACTCCAAAAAACGCGTAATATTGTCTATAGGAAATATTTCAGCTGGTACGGGTATTACCACTTTGAGTGTAACATACTTTTACGCTAAAACTGGTCCGCAAATGTTCTTGATTTATAATCGATAACGTACTCGAGTGGTCTTTAAAAGGAATCCGGCACGATTATTGATTTTACAACTATTAGTGTTATAATAAATAATAAAAAACAGAAATCGTTTCGCACAAAACTTTATTAGTTGTGCATGTTAGTGTGATCTCCTTATACGTAATAAAACATCCTTTGACTCAATATTCCTGAAAATGACAAATCTAAAAGCCATAAAGGACACTACTCATTAAACCACTGTATCCCTTGCCAGCCTACGGATTTTAAATGTTTTTATATAAAAAAAGACCTACCTCGACCTTGACATAGTGCCTAAACACTTTATATTAGACTTTTAGAATGGTTCGTAATTCCTAAAATTTCAGTTACCGGTATGGGACGTACCATACAATCGAGCGTGTGAAATTTGAAACTAGAATGCAAGCCAATCGAAGTGTATCATTCTCATTTTTTGACAAAACCTGGCTTCAGGTACTTCTTACATCCCTCGTTCAACACTACACACTCGAGACTAAACATAACTGCAGTTAAGCAGGCAGAAAATCGTTCATCCATGTCTGTAATTAATTATTCCGAATGTTTTGTTTCCTCGTGAGTAGATTTCTTACGAAGTTATCCGCTTTTCTGCGGTCGGGAATATTCGTCACGCTCCATTGGACGTCGAAGCGCCGTTTTGGCTTAATTATAGAGTGGCACGGTATAATTTAGATATCTATAGCATGAAACCATAGGTAAAAATTACTTTCACTACCCAATTAACTATTTAAATGTTCTTTACACACTGTGACAGCCTGTGTGCAGAACTACATATCTAATAATAGCCAAGACCTTCCGTCTCTAGCCACAGGTTCACCATTTCGGAAAAACAGTGTAGAAGCTTCGAAAAATACAGACAAAGATGTGTCGACCATTAAAGAAATCTATTTAATTAAATTAAACAAATCTTACCCCCAGAAAATCCAATCCGTTCCCTAGCGAAACTCTAAAAAAGATTCAGGTTTTTAGTCCCAAAGGTAATTACTTAAACCAATTGCATACTAATCACTGGTTTTGAGAAAACGAGGGTGTTTCATAACTGCGCTAGTTTCTGCGTCAGATCGTTAGTAAAAATGTCTGGGTTTTAGAACGCGAATGGTTTATTCCGTCACCAGTGGCGTAACAATTCTAGTTAATATTTTAAGTCAAGCAACTATAAAGAACGGCCGTCAGCGTCACATGTTGCTGCGCGCGTTGGTGGAGAAGTACAATCAGAACTTATAATTACTGTATAGTTCATATAAGTCTACTAGTAAGAACCGAAAAATCAATAAAAATAATTTTTGAATTGCTGTTTAGAAACCGATTTTGTTGAATACGGGATTTCTTTATTATAAAGAGTCCTTTAAATTCCACTTCCACCTTGATAAGATCCCGTTAAAAGGTTAAAATTATCTTCGGTACTTCTGGGATTATAAGTTCAGTTCAGGACAATATTTCGCATTAGAAATTTGTGAGTTTCCTCCTTTGCTGAAGGTAAAAAAGTTTACAGCTTTTTATAAATATTACTTTTGGTGTGCAAAATACCTAAAATATTATAAAATGGTATTTCAATCAAAGCCTTAATTTTTATACTTATTACAAAACTTCTGAATTCGTCCTGCGTCCGTTTTTGCTGACGGCTGACGAACTTGCTGACGTTTCGCCAATCATCCCTGTTGGCTTCTTTCTTCTTTGAGGAGGGCGGGGAGGGACATAAACACCTTCTCGGATGACTGATTCCCATATTGGTGACATATAATGGAAGTTTCTTTTTTTTATAGAAAAGACGGTAAAAGTAGATTAATCACAACTAGATTAACCTACATTTAGCCATTATAATTGTTGGCAAACTTTTTAGTATTTTTTCATTAGTTTTGCATACATACATATAATTTTGCGCACATTGGAGTTTGTCCCCTCTTAGATACGTGTTCTGTGACTTTTCCGGTGTATTAACCTTTTTTGGCACTTTTATAACAATAAATTTGAATAATTTCTATTAAATAGTCTGCAATTAAATCAAAATTTGCTATGGTATAAAGTTGATTAATTAAATCGTAGTAATTTCTGTTCACTTAATTAAATTACTACCCAATTTTGTTTTTTTTTTATTTTCAAATCAGAAATTGGCATTTCTGCAGCCTATTTCGTAGGAGTGGTAAATAAATTAAGTTATTTCAGCCAACTGATGATGATATTTCAAAGCTAATATTTTGACTTCTTGTTTGACTTGTTACGCCTATGTTAATATTAGATTCGAACTAATAAATGACTGCCGATTTAAATTTTATAATCCAAACGACGGGCGCACATGTGCACTCTATATAAATTAAATTTGATAAAACGATATAATAAGAGACCGATAATTGCTTTTGTGTACGTGAGTGCCCATATAAATATACGAACCGTGCGTGCTGGTTTGAACGCTATGTAATATGAATATTGTAATCCTTAAAAAAATCTAAAAATATGTTATCCTGAAGCCGAATTTCGCAAATTAAATTTTTGAAGTCACTATGCTTTTTCTTCTTCCATAAGATAGGTTTGACACATTCTGATTGTGGTTTGCATTAGAAGTCCTTTAACCAACTTGACATAGGGATATTTTTCTACGCCTACTCTAAAATACCCAATTTTGCACAGATCAAGCGTGTGCTTCAAGTCATCAGCCTCGTTGCCCACATTCGCGAACCACTTCGGACATTTGTGGTACTTTAGAACACTGCTTTGGGAGGAGAATTTAATTAAAAACAATTAAAATTCTTCCTTTGTTCGCTTATCATAGATAACAGAAAAGCCATTCTTCACCGTTTACTCGAGAAAAATTGTTTAAGTGATCAGGAGACATCTGTGAACATCTACAGAAAGTAAAAGCCGTTTTAATTAACTTAGTATGTTTCGCAGACTTGGCGAATAAAACTTTCGCTTTCAAACAGCATGTGGCTCTGGTTTGTTGTAAATTTGACGTAGCGAGGCTATGCCTTTCTTGTGTTGAGTATCTTGTGTGTTATCTAGTGGAATATAGATGGCATTGTATTAAATATAATTTCTAGTATAGATTTCCAATTAGGTGGATATTTTTTATTGGCACTTACAAACATTTAGAAAGATTTTTTTCTTTTCTACCAATGAATTTTAAATATGTCTTTTTTTTTCCAGTTACCCTCTTTATATAGAAAATCCGAACTTTTGCTACTCGCTGTGCCACCAAAAAATGTCACCAAACGTTACTGGCTTTGCATTTGAGCTTCACTTTAACTCCATTACAATTCCATCTAACTTAAATTGTAATTTTGATCAATGAAAATTGTCTGGGTATTTAAATGAGAACTCCTTAACTTTTAATTTTAAAATTAACTGTTCTTGGACTTTTTAAAAAATAATTATGGGCAAGGGTGTTATGAATGATACATGGCAGAAAAAAATTTCAGTCACCACTATTTTGAAAACTTATCAGAACTCATCAAAATTGCATTATCGAGGGCCTGTTCTTTTTGCTTTCCAAAGGATTTTCTCTGTCTTGTTTTTATCTTTATTTAGTAAGATTTACTAAGTTAAAAAGTTATACAAATAGAATTCTTCTTGATATATTTTCGCTTAGATATGTGCTTAGTAGTAATTACTTTATCTAATGTCAATCAACAGATGACGCTAATCACATACATAAAAATATTGCAGATTTTCTTTTATATTAGTATAGTGGCGTTAATAATGAAATATAATTACAGACAATTTTTTCCGGTGGTGATTTCAAAAAATCATTATGCAAACTTCTGCCATTCTTTAAAGTTCGGCGAAAAAAAAAACAGTTGTGAAGTCAAACTCAGGTTTTCATTACGAAAATTTCTTTATTTTATTTCCGCGTAATACACCAACGTTTGACCAGTTATATCAATAAATAATAAACAAAGTATTAAAAAAATAACAGATTTATTTAGAACAAGAAAGTAACGCTAAGTGAGAAAATATAAATAGTTTACAAATTTTTACAAAAAAGCACACACAGTGTGGATCACTCGTTTATTTATGGTAGCCACCATCGTAACCTCCGTCGTAACCGCCATCATAGCTGCCACCGTAACCGCCTTCGTAACCGCCTTCATATCCGCCCTCGAAATGTCCGTGCACTGGTACTGCAACTGGTACCTTAACGGGTACTGCTACTGGTTTTTCTACTGGGTACGGTACGGGTTTTGCAACAGGGTAAGGTACTGGCCTATCGACGGCGATTTTGACTGGGTACGGTACTGGTTTTTCCACTGGATATGGGACTGGTTTTTCAACCGGATATGGGGCTGGTACTGGAACTTTAACGGCTACTGGGTATGGTTTTTCTACCGGATAGGGAACTGGTTTCTCGACGGCAACTTTAACTGGGTATGGTACTGGTTTCTCTACTGGTACCGCGATTTTCTTGATAACATGGACGGGGTAAGGTTGAGGAACATGTACCGGGTATGGCCTGTCTACGGGAACTTTAACTGGAACTGGTACTTCTTTGTAAACTGGGTAAGGTTGTGGAACGTGAACCGGTACTTTGACTGGATACGGCACGTGCTTCTCTACTGGGTAAGGCTGAGGTACAGGCACTTTGACAGGATAAGGTACATGCTTGGTGACTGGGTACGGTTGCGGTACCAAAACTTTAACTGGATAAGGCCTGTCTACTGGCACTTTGACAGGTACGTGGACGACTTTTTCAACAGGGTAGGGCTGGGGTACTGGGACGGCAATCTTGACTGGCACTTTAACGGGGTACGGAATATGTTTCTCTACTGGATACGGTTGAGGTACTGCGACCTTAACGGGGTAAGGTACGTGCTTGGTTACTGGATAGGGCACGGGTTTTTCTACGGGGTATGGAACTGGAACACCTTTAACCAAGGTGATGGTCTTTTCAATGCCAACTGAGTGTCCGAGATCGAACGATCCGTAGCTGCCATAGCCGTGACCTCCTAATCCTCCGAGCGAGATTCCGCCATCCAAACCGTAACCTCCGGCACCTACTGAGTAGCCGTGATCGATGTCACTGCCATAGCCGTAGCCTAAACTGAGCAATCCACGCTTGGTCTGCTTCTTGTCATTTTTCGCTGCCGATTTCTTCTCCTCCGCCTCTGCGCGGACTAACGCCACTGCTAAGAGGACTAAGAATGACAGGAATAACTGAAAAAAAAAGAAAAATAAGAAATTATCCGAATTGTTGAGGCTACAAAGTTTCGATTAATGTGTCCGCGGAATTTATGGCGAAACGCGTTGTTCTATTGTCCACAACTTTAAACTACTTTGCGCTTCGTTTGTCGCCATTAATTAATTAGACATGAAAGAACTGGGTCAGAGCCCATTTATGGCAGATTATGTTCAACTGGTTAAACGCAATTAAATCAATTAGCCTACGAAACGACTTGGACTTGGACTTCAAATTAATTGTGGTTGTTTTGCCAAGCCATTGAAACCAATTCGCCAGATGCACTTGAAGATAATATTGAAGCAAAAAAAAATCACGAATTATTCCAAAATACGGCACTGATCACTCAAACAACTTGGTCACTTGGTGTCTTCAGCTCGTCACTGAGACTCACCAGATTCTTCATGTTGGATTTCATCCAAGGGGTAGGTGCGTAGTTCCAAGCCGAACTGGATGCAGATCCGAGTCCCCCGTTCGCTTTTATACCGACCGAGGGCTTTCGAGGGGCAACCACCACCACCCCGCTGTTGCAAAACTCGGCGCGATCTTCGCGCACGAAGCGTTCCCTTGCATTTCCACGTGACGGCCATCGAGAAAGTCATTTTCGAGTGGCCCAAAACGCGTGGTACTCCGCGTCCTTTACGTAACGCGTTACGGCGGTACCCGGAGCGCGTCAGATGGCACCCGATGCCTCGCCGGTATTGCGTATCGCAAGAACCGAGCTTAATCCCAAGACGTGTCCTCGCAGTAAGTCGTTTCAGTTTTTTTAATCCCGAATTTTTGGCAAAATTATTTGTATAATTTCCAGTAGCAATTGCAGGTACCTTGAAAGATAGATATATTTTATTCGCTATATAAATTGTCTTGAGTCTGTTGAAAACTTACCAACCAATATTATTCAATTATTCAATTATCAACATCAATAATCAATAAACGGTTCTGTGCTTTGCATCTAACAAAAAAATATAAACTTCTATTAGGCGTCCGTGAAGAAGGAAATTTTTATTGACTTTAATAATTATTTTAAGAATCTGTTGAAAATTAACACCAACTAATATCATTTAATTGTTTGGTCATTTTAGGAAAAAGTGATAACGATTGAAATAATGTAATAGTTTTTTTTTCTTATCTATCATCTACCCCTATTTTTTGTTTTCAATAAACTATGCTTCTTTTGCATCTAAAAGAAAAATAAAAATGTATTATATTTTTAAAAAATTCTAATACTATATTTACAATCGTGGTTGATTATAGACTTCAACTACACCCAAAATTTCATTAAAAATATTCATTTACATAAAGTTATAACGGCATAAATTTTGAAATCGCGCCATTTAAATATATATTTCCATCCAGATTGTGGTCCAATTGAAAAATCCAAAAGCAAAACTTCTTTATAGAAAGAAAATTACAACATAATTTTGTATTTTACACTCTGAATCTCCTATGACGAACTTCAATTGAAAAAAAAAAGATATTAGTAAGGTAAACATTTTTCCTTCGCAAAATTTGCTAATATTTTCAAGTCCATATTTTTAAGTTCAGTTTCCGTAATTTTAGTAATATCATGAAAAATTTCGATAATCATCAAATTCTTTTCGTTCTAGAATTTCACAATATTTTCACTTTGCCCTACTACCTCTGTGCAGTTTTAAAGTGCAAAATTGTTGTGATTTAAAGTTTAGCTTCCATTTTTCAAAGTTAATTTTTCCATGTTTTGTATCAAATTATTTTTTCAGACTTTTTTGTTTGTTTCCTTTAGACTAGAAGAACCAGAAGGATTTATTAGACCACGGATGTTTCTTTCATTTGTAAACTTTGCTTTCATTGATCTTTTTTGAGTTTTTTTTGTGGTATTTTGTAAGCTTATGAAATTCAAAAAATCAGTTGTTGAAATTTTGAAGAATAAACGTTGCCTAGTAGAATTTTCTGTAATAAAAAAGCAACGCCCTTAATTAATTTTTACGGTTTATTCTTACGTCTAGTTTCATAATTATAGTAACAAATCTATGACAAAATTCTTTGGCGACAAAGACATAAAACCGAACTCTCTCTTTTGACCCTGAGACGATTGTTTCTGCCTCGAAAACCAATTTATTTTGTTATAACGGATTTGAGCATTAATAGTTGCAAAATTTAGCAACATCCGGTCGGTAATTATCGCATCTCGAGTACATACATTTGCAGTTACCAAAAGGCCAGCCCAGCTTCTGACATTTTCTAATGACAACCTTGTTCCAGACAAAAAATCAATGGCGTAGCAGTTTCGATTAATTTTTGTCGAAGCAAAAAGTATAATTTTATAAAGGTTGTACCCAGATATTGCGAGATTAATAAGAAGTGTTTCGAAATGGGCCCGACCCGCTGATTTTTTTCTTTTGCTGGAAAGGTAAGGGGAAAACTAATGACGTTCTCGCCAAAGGTGCGGGATTAATTGAAATGTTCAGTTGTCGTCGCCAAACGAATTGGTAATAACACGGATCTGTAAAAGGCAGCGGAAATTATCTGAGATACTATTTTATGGCGTTTTTATTATGGTGCATTTTTGGTACTCCTGAACACAGAAACGTTAAAAAATGTGCTTCACGTTTTATTACCCAAACTATTACGTAAAATCCCGCCGTCGTTTAAGAAAAAAAGTATATCGTGATTTTATCCAATTTTTACGCTGCGAATATTGTTTTAAAGCGCTTAAACATTTTTTTCTTTTTTAATAAGATTAAGATTGGGGCTACCTATTCTCTGGAGGAAAGATTTTTTAAACAGTCGTCCTGATCATAATAAAAAGTGTCCTTTTTTCAGAACGGTTATTTCTTATATGTCCAACTTAGACTTCTAAGGTAAACCATTACCGCCATTACTTTCTGATTATTTTTCTATCTTTAGCGGTATTGGACAAACGAACTATTGTTCCAATTTTTTATTCCAAACGCCGCAATTAATTATTTATTACTACCAAGTTTGAATTTATAGGATGCTAAATTTTAAAGTTTACCATTGCCTTATTATTATTTATGAGTTCTGAAGCTCTGGACCTCTTTTGTATCAACTGTTTTGGAAGCTAGTTGATAGTATATTAGTCAGCAAGTTTGATAAACGACATTTTAGTCGTGAGTTTGTTGTGTCATGTGGAGCATATATATTTGTAAAACAACTCGGATATATTCAGTGGGTGACATGTGACGTGACCGTTTTGCAAGTGGTTAAAATCTACTGAAAGCATCCAACGGTTCTCAAACACTGACTAAAGTGTTGATCCTTGACCCTTGAATAATTGGATACTTGAAATTAGGGATAGCAAAAGATTCTTTAAAAGATATACTAATTTTTTAGACATAAATGTTAGGATTCCGAAATAAAAGCAAGTTGCTTAAAAAATAACTACAATTTATAATTTAATAAGGCACCAACTTGCCGTGGATTAAACCTGAAAAAAAAAAGATAGCACATGTTTTAACAAAGGGTTTCCAAATATTTTAATATCAGGAAATTCGTAGATACCCTGGAGGCCCTCTTTATTTTACTGATTTTTTTCAATCTCATGGTTGGTTTTTAGTTTTGTTTTTAAATTATGTCACAGGTAAAACTTGCTTTTCTAAACACGTAAATCGGTAAAGTCGAACAACTCCTCTGAGAGTTCTCATTCAGCCCGTCTCCCATCAAACTATTTGAAAGAAACAGGTACTTCTACAATGGTTGATCGAAGGATTTTTTTAGGATTGTGTGCATATATGATTAACTTAGTATTAAATGAATCACATTTTTGCAGAAATTTTTTATTCTGGTATTTCTATGAATTGAAAATCTTTTTAATTGTCTTACAGAATAGTTGCTAATACGTAGGATGTTTCTGTATAACGGAGAAAAAACTGCACGCAGAACTAATATCTTGGTCAATTTATTATTGCAAAACATAAGGAAAATAATTAAAATATTAAAAACATCCCAAAATATAGGGAAAAAAGCTCGAAATGATCAGAAAACGATAATATAGTAGAAAGTGCAATAATATCAAGCATTTTATTTAAAATATATGATGCTACTTAATTTTTGATCGATGGAATGTGCTCGCTGGCCAACGTTGGCCAAGGTTGTGATAGAATATACCAAAAATCATTGGAAATCACTTGATCGTCCTTTAACGCGAACTGCGGGAGCTTCAAAACTTGAGATATGTTTCTCTTGTAGATCAAGGAAGACATTCGATTCCATCACCTGCCTGGTTAATGGTACAGCTTTTACTTAATGCTTCGTTGTTAATTGTCTGTCATTAATTCGCCACAAAGTAGAAATGGAGGAAAGCGATCAAGGAAACGAAGACATGTAGATACATAACGTTTTCAAAACTCGTTCGGGTTGCGAAATTTTCATATCTTAACAGCGGTTAACAATGAGGCAATTAAATAATCTCTTTCTCTCGGGATATACCTGGAACCAGTTTCGAGTGCGCCTTTTACGCTGAAAAGTATCTTTTGGTGGGTTCTGCGTGTTTAACAATTTCACTTTCGTGTGATATAGATTGTCGGATATAATGTGACCGTTACAGGATGCTTACTTGTCCCGTTGAACCAATCAAGGCTGATCGTGTGATCGTGACTTATTCGAGACGATTAAATAAAAAGTATTTGCAATCGAATTTTATGGCCAGTGGAATAAAATACGTTTAGACAGTTGCCGCGATCGGTAGACTCTTACTTTCATTAAATGGTGGCGTGTCATCATAGGAAATCCGAACTGAAGAAGCACTGAACTTGACGCAAAAGACAATTCTGCGGTTGTAAAGTCAATGACGTTGAGAATCCGCCTATTGACAATTAGCGGCGTGACGGTTCAAATACAATAAACTATTTATTTGGTAAAACCCAAGGTTTATCTTTTACCATTGTCTTCTAATATTAAATGAATTGCAAAGTTTCCTTTTGTTTAATTTGGCGATTGGAGACAACTTTGGAATTCCATCTATCATGTTCATTAAATATTATTGCTTATATAACAATTACACGAAATACCCAATTAATCCAACTACCGGCTTTTTTAAATTGAAGCCCGGGAATTGACCCGCGTATTTCTAAAATGCGAGTCGATTTGTTTCCTTGGGTGGGACGGTGACTGACGGCAACGCACGATGCAAAATTTTCTTTTTCCTTACTCTTATGATTTAAAGTTTTCTCCTAGCATAGATAATAATTTTTTACGTAAACCTATATGTGAAAAATCGTTTGGATTTTTGTATATTTAGTTTCGTAATACTGCTGTGCTTTATGGAATTATTTCACATTGAGTATTAACTACCTCAATTATATGGACGAATTTAAATGATTCCATTGTATATAATATTGTTTTTGCTGTTTGGCAGGTAATAGCAATTGCTTTTTTATTCTATAGCCAAAAGCCATATTTTAAGGACCTAGAAAAAAAATTACTTAGTTCTAATGATGAATGTAAAAATATAGAATTTCTCTTCATATACTGTAAGACGATTCTCTTGAAGCAAATCTGTAACTATAATTTTGTTTTGTGATCATTTTTGATGGACTGAGTCGCAAATTACATATTAGCTAGGTTCAATTGGTCATAAGTTATTTGCTATTTTTTGTATCCTATTACAATTACAATACTGAAGCCGTGAACTCAAAATCAAATGCGAGTGCGAACGTGACAGTCACCCACGATCAAGAAACATCGATCATCGTCGCCGTTACAAAATCTTTTGCCAACAATTATCTCGAAACAAAGGAAATATAATTCGTGGATATTAGGTTTCAAATCAAGCATTTTCGTAATAGGTTTAATTAAAAATGACCCACTTTTGGAACGCGATGTAGATGTGAATTTTTTTGTAAGCCATTCACAGTGGAAGTTCTAACAATTGTTAAACTTTGCAAGTCGCGGAATGTGTTGTTCCATGACAAAGTGCCTATTTGTAGGAGTTGGTTGTCTGTACATTACCAGAATAAAAATTAGCCAAATCTAAGAATGTTGAAAAGTCGTAAATGAAAATAATGATTATATATATATGACAATGTGGCCACCCCAATTAATGTGAATAAGAAATGCGTTTTAAATCTACCTAGTGGCAAGTAAAATTTCGTTTAAGCAGCCCAACAATATTAGAAAATTCTTATGTTTTCGAGAAAATAATATCCCTCATTATGGGGTTGTAAGTCGCGTATCTTTTTAACCTGTTTATCATGATTATCCCACAAATATTTCGTCCATAAGAACTCATCATTTTTTATATTGTACAATTTTTTATGAGAATTTTCTTCATCCTATCGTTGGTGCTTGCTAATTGATTCTAACTCAAAGTTTTAAAAAAAATACGAAAGCATATAAGGCCTGAGTTGAGTTGAGTTCTTCATCTTCGGGGTTGAGTCTACTAATTTTAATGTACATCTCTTTTTTACTTACTCAATATTAAATGGAAAAGGTACATTTTACGAATATCACCACCTTCGCACTTTCGTTATTATATTTTTTTATGCAGACATAAAAAAATGAACAAAAAACCAATACTAGTGTTAAAATTGGTATCGTTTGATGTTTACGGTGGAGCGATCTAATAAAAATATTATTTTGTTCTGTTCTGGTAATTGTTATGACAATCATTATATCGTGTCTTCAAGCTGCTATTGGCGAAGTGATTTTAGATGTATAACATTTTAATAGATAGAAATATAGCACCAAGTTGCTGCACTCTAAGTATTCGAGATTTTTTTAGCTCCAATTTTAAAGCAACCGATTTAGGGATACCATGACAACGTACAATACGATAAAGTTGGTTAACTTTTTTTAATTAGTATTATTCTCAAAACAATTATCTAGTTTTCAGAGATGATTACGTATTTACTTCACAGTTCAAAAAAAATCTGTTCTCTATTATTTTTGTAATATTTAATCGAATTTCATTATTTCCATCCTAAGATATTCAAGATATTCAACGAACCCTTCGTTAAAGCAGGAAGTAATGCGTATTACTTTTGTGTTCTTAACAAAAACTTCAACATCTTTCATTTTCAAGATATTTAAACTATACGTGCAGGCCAGTAATTCGAAGTTAAACCAAGTTTGTGTCAATAACAATTAACATGTTTTATCCCTCAAAATGATAAAATTAGTAGAAACACCTTTCACTTGCATATCAGAAAACTATTACAACGCATAACCTTAATTATTGACAAACATTCTTTAGTCCGGTAAATTGTTTGTAACGGTTTCAATTTATTAAAAATGTCAATTAATCTTTAATCAGATCGACCATTATATCCTACCTTCTAAGATGTCGGTTATGGACATCTTCGTTCAGCAATGTGCATCTAAAATCATTTTTATGTCATTATTATTCCTGAGATTTATCAGTGACTTAAGTAGATTACCGCTAGTTTTCAGTTGTGTGAGTACAATTGTGGTGTCAGGACAACATGTAGAAAATGAAGTGTAATAACTCTTAAGCTTTAGGCTGTTATCTGTAATTGCGATATGTAGGTGCTTGAGCAACCTGGGTGTGCTGTTCTATATAATTCTATATTCAGCTAAAGAATATAATCTTTGCATGACTTGCTTCTTTTTCTGAGTTAAAGATTCCAGTTTTTAAAGGGATGTTTATTTAATGGTATCCATGAGAAAACGACTGGAAGCATGCTTTACTTGGCAAACATTTTAAATACAAACAATCCGGTTTTTTTCAGATACTTCGTCAGTACGCTTCTTCAGTTCCAGATCTACAAGGCACTGTGCCAGGCGGCAGGTCAGTATGTACCTGGCGATCTCAAGAGACCGTTGCATAAGTGCGACATATACAGGAGCAAAGAAGCGGGAAGGATACTGACGTAAGTAAAGAGTTGACAGCAAAACAATTCGATTTAACTGAAATAGTCCCACTACTGCAGCTAATCTAAATTTTTTAGAGCAAATTTTATTTAAAGGGACACTGGTAGTAATGGGATAAGTGTCATACACGTTATTACTAATTTTGGATGCTTTGAACTTTTTTGACCATTTTGACCATTTTTGATGGTGACAATCACAACGGTGTACGTGGTAATTGTTTCGTGCAGGTCTAAATTAATAAACAATTTTTTAAAGTGTTTTCCAAAGTTTTCTTTCACACAATAACGCGTTTTACCACAAACCGAAACTCAATTTTACGTACTTGACGCGCGCTTCGCCAACCAAGTTGGCATCTTCAGGAGAAGATTAAAACAGTACGCAAAATTGAGCTTCGGTTTGTGGTGTAACGCGTTATTGTGTGTTAGTGCAGTGCCGAAGGTTCCAGTCAACAGTTTGACAAAGTTTTCTTTGTCAGTAATTTATACAGGGTGTTTCCATAAACATGCGCCAACGCACGGCAGTATTGTACTTGAACATTTTAAAACGCACTAGTTCTAAAAAATGAATACTAAAGAAAATGATGAAAATATACATCATCTATGAGCGCTGACGTCTTTCGAAAGACCCGTACATCCGAGAAAATGTTTTTTTTGGAAAGTAAGTTTTATAAATTAATAATAAACTGTGGAATGTGTGTCATTCAGAAACAAAAACTGAATTCGAGAATAAATCAAAAATTGTTATTCTTTACCTATTTAAATAAGTTAAGTAAGTATGTATTTCAGATATTTAAAAAAAAATGAAATAATACATATCGCTCTTTTCTGATGATTAATTTTCTTTAATGTTAAATATTTTGACTTTCTATGTATACCAATTTTTTGCAGAGGTTTTTGAAGAATTTCAGTAAGAACATATCGGTATAATAAAAGTAATCAAACAACAAGAACGTTCCATTTTCCGCTTTATATCAATAAGCAAGAGAAAAGTCAGGAACTGTCTTCTACCGCGTAATTTGCCTGCCTTGTCTATCTCGCCGTTTTCAGTTTAGATCGAGTTCACCGCTTGGCCGTCGTGGCAGGAAAATCGAGATTTTATTTTGTTTGCGGCAACAAAGGAAGAACTATACGGCGGCGAAGTCTTGCAAGGTGGCAAGGTCGCGGTAAATTAGATCGTATCCGTTCCAAACGCGTCGGATCCGTCTAATAATATAAATAAATAAGTTGCGCAAGATTGCAATCGAATTTAAAAGCTTTGAAGTCACGGTCACGTGGGCTTCGGTGAGAAAAAAAACGAACTACATAGATACATAAGGAACGTATTGAGTAACGACGAAAATTCTGCTTACTTTCAAAGTCAAATTTAATAAAAGGGATCAATTATTAAAGTGGGTCAGAATGCTCGAGCGGAATGTTTTTTCGAACGACCGAGTGACTAAAAAAGCAACAAAATTTCGTCCCGCTTTACAGTTTACATTAGAAAGGTATTGGTATGGATTATTTTGTTTCAACTCTGGTAGTTTTCAATTCCCCAAGTGTTTGGACCGTAAATAAATACCGGGCACGACTTGTGTCTTTTATCTAAACGATTATCGCTCCTGCTCGCGGCATTTGTGGATAATGCAAATCGTGTCTTTCCTGTTGAATTCAAATTCAGATCATTTTGCGAAACAGAGACCTTATATTTATGGGCTAGTACCGGAAACACTTACGAAAGCGCCTATAATACGGGCTTCGCATGATCGTGTCGTAATGGCTATTTAAACATTTACTCAATGAACTAAAGATAAGCAATGCGAGCTTTGAAACAAAACTTATTACCCGAGGCAGTTCGGAACAACTCCACAAATTATAGAAAACTTTAAAACCTTTAAAAGCTAGTTATTTGCTACGACTTATCGTACGTTTTGTCCTATAGGACAAGTCCTATCTGGTAAAACGGAGCATGTAAATAACAGAACGTACATCTTATCTCATTGAAGTGAAATGCAAAAACAAGTCGGAGAATTGATGTGCAGAACAAATTTTAGCAAGACTAATCAGACAACACGGTGCTTGTACGTGCGAGCACCGTCCGTTTGCAAATACTTGCGCCAGTCGTCTGGTTTATTTCTTTTAGCGACTTCGTATGTGCATATTGATCATATTGTTTTTTCATAGGATCTTTTACACTGCTCTGGATTCATGATGGATACCTTCAGTCACCACCATTTAGGACAAACTGACTCAAAAACAGTATACATTTCTCAAAACAGATGTTTTGTATTTCGTTTTCTTTGATCAATAAAACGTACGATAAGTCGTGGTATATAAAACCTTAATACTTTAAAACGTTAGCTTTATTAAACACTGCGAGTCACTTCAAAAGTTGCCGGTACTTTAGGCACATGGTGGCAGCGATTGGACACTCATGTCACACGTCACTCATTCAATGTATGATGATGTTTTGCGAAAGTGTTCCCAAAAACCAATGGTCGCACAAAAAATCATGATATGTAACAGGTATTAGAGATTCTTCGGACAAATTTTAAAGGATCCTGATTTTCGAAAAATTATTTGCGGATTTTTGACTAGCTGCTATAATGTGACCGACGGTCATTCCAAACAGAAGAATACATTTTTTTTCTGCGAGAATGCATTTTACTTTGCTATTTGAGAATCTCAACTTTCTGTACGATTTCGTTTAGATTAGCTTTACATTGTATGAAAAAAATAAAATCACCTATTACTGCAAGAAGTTTTTTACGTGTCTAAATAACTGCAATATGAAGCAGAAACATATTTTTATTTATTTGTTTGAGTCATTAATTTCTTATTAATTATTATCTTAAAATCGACAACATATTATCGTAGTATTGGTTGGTTTACATTTCATTTATTCTAGCAAAGTCTATATATGGAATAAATTGACTTTGATTCTGGTAGGAAAAGTGAAATGAGAAGCACTTTTGTGCTTCTCATTTCATCTTCAAAAACTATTTTAGTTAAACGAAATTTTACAAAGTTAATTCATAAATCCAGTTGCGGGTACAAAGTTAGGTGATTGTTGATCGATCTTTACTGTCTAATAAATTACTAAATTACTGTTCTAAGGTGTAGAACAGATTGTTCTTCAATGACGGTGCCAACAACTTTATTCCGGGCCCATTACGCACGATTTACGGTAAAAGTCTAACGCATAAAACCAACACTCGTAGGAACATAAACCACACATGCGGGAAATCGATTTTTACTGCCTATCAGATGTCACGATCCACACACATTCCCATATCGATACACGCAAAGAGTTATGCAACATTTTGCTTTGATTTTGCGATGAAAATATTTCTTCTTCTTTATTTATTTTTCTGCATTACAACATTCATTGACCTGGTCAATTAATTAAGGATTAAATGAACATACCCAAAAGTGAAGCTGTCAATTTTTTTATAAAAATGTTTCGACATCATGGTCATATTAGGTCTAGAAAAGAAATATTTAAACAGAATAAAATAACGTAAATAACTTAAATAAGCGTCAAGTTAAATGCACACAGTTACTCAATTACTTCGTCACTAATTTACTCCCTTGGTTTCGGTGATTTCAAAGGTTTTTACTAGTTCTCATGTAGAATTTTAACAGAAAAATTATGAACCGTTTGACAAAAGATGAGAAGCGAAAGCTGATTTGCTGACTGTTAAGTCCTTTTTACTACACTTTGATGTTAGTGAACCCTGATAGAGATATTTTTCTACAATTTATAAATGTAAGACTGATTCAACTGGACTCAATTGCATTGAAAATGAAAAGATTTATATATTCTCATAAATCGCAGATTACTTAGTGGTGTTTATGTAGTACACATACAAAAATAAAAAATTTTCAAAAGTCGCAACAACGCTTCATCGATCACGTAATAATACAGCAAGTAAGTATGAAACGTCAAACACAATAATAACTTTTCACTGATTTACTGGATAAAATTAAATTATAAAGTATTGTGTATTACAATATTAGTGTGCATCAATATGATACTACAAACGCTGGAAGACAAATTTAGATTTAAAATAAATAAGAACTGAAAGTTCAGATTTTTACGAAATTATATATTTTGACATGACAATTGTTTCGACAACACCGTGTCTTTATCAAATGTGTAAACGGTGTTGTCGAAACAATTGTCATGTAAAAATATATAATTTCGTGAAAATCTGAACTTTCAGTTCTTAGTTATTTTGATAAATGGTTCAGTTCAAATTTAGATTTTTTCTAAAAAAAAACGAAAGTGACAGAACGTGTTTCAACTTGTTGATATATTAATAATATAGCGAAGATTATTTTAATTTTAGTATTGTTATTCGTATTACCTATTAATTATAATTTTATTTTTAAGACAATACTTAAATTATCAATTGTCTATTTTATCAATATTAATAAAAATGTCGAACTAACGATCTTACGACTTTACCGTAAGATGAGGTAAGTCAAAAAGTAGATAATTACGAAGATACATGACGCCAACATTTGGTTATACTCTTTCTTTTATGGAATTTTCTCGCATCCGAGATATTACTACAGGGACGCACCTAATCGAATGCTCTGGCGATACATCTGTTATTAGAAAAGTTACTGATGAAAAAATAAAACCAAATTAAACTTTTGACCAAACGCTGTCGACAATGTATTGATTTTCTGTGGTTATTTATGCAGATGCGGGGCTTTTTATTGTCGAGTGTTTTTGTTCTATATTTTATAACTATTTTTAATGCGGTTAAAAGGAGAAAAAGGAGTATTACTGAATTATTGAAAATTTATTTCAAAACTTTCCGAAATCATTCGGAATATTAAGAAAACCAAACGCTTGCTAACCGTTAACAGTTACTTTTTTCACGTCATTAGTAAATTTAAGTTTGGTTTAGTTAAATTAAACTTAAATTAGACGAAAATTTTTAACTTATAACTGCCGTTAAGTTAAGTAGATTAAAAGAAGAAGAACGATGATGTTATTATTACTATAACTA